AATGCAATGTGTGATGACGAGTCAATCATTTTCAATCGAAATACATGTTTCATTATTGTTATTATTATTATTATTATTATTATTATATACAAATGATAAATAATTTATTAATATCGTGTGATATAAATGCTTTATAATTGTTTTTTTTCTATTTGATTCGTGAAAAAAAAAATTGTCAAAGAATTATAAAAAAAAAACAAATACAAAATTATACACTTATCATAAATGGAGAATGAGGCCAACATTATTTGATTCTCACAGAGGGGGATAATTATTGCAAGTAATGACGATTAACGCATCGTTTAAATACTATATATATATTTATGTGTGTGTGTGGTAAACTTATCAACAATAACAAAGGCCTCAATTTTATTTTCTTAATTGTATATCCAATGTTTAGCAAGGAATTGAGAAATTTTCTTGGATTAACCGCGCGAGAGAATTAAAAAATCGAAGGATAAATTTATTTTACTTTTTCAATTTTTATTTTATAAATTTAATTTTTTATTTTTTATTTGGATATTTTCTAATAAATTTTATTTCCTTCAAAATTTTTTTTAGTTTTTTATTTTTTTTTTTTTACTGGAAAATTAATTCAAAATATATGTTTTTTTTTTTTTTTAATTGAATATTTATTTATTTCAAACAATAAAACGAGTTAATTTATTTTATTTATTAATATTATTAATTATTAATTTATTATATTAATTTATTTTTGCGGTTTTTTTTTTAATTAAATATTAATTTATTTTTGCGGTTTTTTTTTAAATTGAATATTAATTTCTTTTTTTGCGGTTTTTTTTTTTTATTTAAATATTTTAATTTCTTTTTGATGTTTTTTTTAAAAAAATCTAAATATTGATTTATTTTTTGTTTTCTTTTCAGAAAGAATTATTTAATAATTCTTACATAAGAAATTTTCACCAAATCTAGCATCTGATACTCACAACTCTCACCTTGTAAAATTTCACCTCACGTCAGAGCCAGCACGTTTGGAATATTTGTGTTTTAAATATTCATTTCTTTTCTTTTTTTTTTCTTAATCAGGTATTTATTTCATTTTTATTTTATTTATAATTTATTTTAATTTTGATGATTAAAAAGAAAAGTCGAAAGCATTTTAAAATATTGCTCTCAACTTTTTTTTTTTTCTTTTTATTATATTCGAAAAGATTTAATTAATATTTTGAGATTTCTAAATTCTATATTTTCAGAGTTTTTTCTTTTCTCGAAATATGTAAATTTTTCTTTATATATATTATTTTTAATATAATTCAAAAAATTTTTGTCTAATAAAAATTCCGAGTAAATAATAAATTTAAATTCAATGAATTAAAAATGTAAAATAAAAATTAGTTTAAGTAAACAATTTTGTAATTTATAAAAATTCAGTTAAATGGAATTTCTATTAAACAATAATTGAAAGAATTTTTTGAATTTATTAATTAATTGTTTTATTATTATTATTATTAAATTATTATTTTATTATTATATTATTAAAATTTGATTTATTTTTTAGATATTTATTTATATTTATTTATATTTATTTATATTTATTTATATTTATTTATATTTATTAAAAATTTTTTTAAAAAATTATTAAAAATATTATTAAAATTTGGCTAAAAGTAAATTATAGCTAATAAAATTCAGTGAAAAGTTAAATTCCAATAAATTAATTTTAGAGCGTCCACGTGCGTTTCAAATAATTAATTGTTGACAGTAGAATAATGAAACATTTGTCAATATAATAAATTATGACACTTCAATTTTAATAATAGGGTCATTACTATAATCATAATAATAATAATAATAAAAATAATAATAATAATAATTGAATATTCACTGTCGATGCCTGTTTATCCCGTTTTAGCCTCGATAACATCTTTCTGCTCCAATTAATAATCTTCTCTACGTATACATATATATATATGAACAAAGATGCAAATATATCGCAGAACTGCGAAGTAATCGATTATTTTTAAGATGCGACAAAATTTGCAAATCATTGAAAAACATTGTAATTAAACTCCAAAAAATTAATTTCATTTATACAAATTAATTAATTTTTGATAAAAAAAAAAAACAAATTAGTTTATAAATTTACTTTTTGAGTAAAAAAAAAACAAATTTTATTTATAAATTAATTAATTTTTGAGTAAAAAAAAACAAATTTTATTTATAAATTAATTAATTTTTGAGTAAAAAATAAATTTTCTGTATAAATTAATTAATTTTTTTTCATAATGTAAAATTTAATTAATTAATTAATTTTTGAGTAAAAAAAACTAATTTTTTTTAAAAATTAAATTTATTATTTACTCAAAAAAATTTTTTTCTATGTAAAATTTAATTAATAAATTAATTTTTGAGTAAAAAAATAAATTTTCTTTATAAATTAATTAATTTTTGAACAAAAAATAAATTACATTTTGAGTAAAAAAAACAAATTAATTTTTAAATTAATTAATTTTTCTAAAAAAATAAATTAAATTTTATACAAAAATAAATTTTCATGAATAAAAAAAAATTTTCAGTAATATTAAAAATAGTTAAAAAAAATAACAAATTTCTTTAAAAAGTTAAAAAGAAAAAGTAATTTCAATTTTTTTAAAATTCTAAAATAGTTAAAAACCATTAAAAATTTGTTTAAATATTGAAAATTGTTGAAAAAACAATTTAAAATTTCTTCAAATATTTGAAAATAGTAGAAAACAAATATTTTTTTTTCAATTTACAATAGTTAAAAAAGATAACAAAATTTTTTTTCGTTAAATAATTAAAGAAAAACAAAATAAATTTAAAATTAATTAGGTAGGTAATTTATTAATTAAAAATTATTTTTTACTCAAAAAATTTTTTTCAATGTAAAATTTAAAATTAATTAATTAATTTTTGAGTAAAAAAAACTAATTTTATTTAAAAATTAATATTTTTTACTCAAAAAATTTTTTTCAATGTAAAATTTAATTAATTAATTTATTTTTCAGTAAAAAAAACTAATTTTATTTAAAAATTAATAATTTTTTTACTCAAAAAAAATTTATTTTATCAATATCAAATTTAATTAATTAATTAATTTTTGAGTAAAAAATAATTTTTTTTTACAAATTAATTAATTTTTGAGCAAAAAATAAAAATTAGTTTATAAATTAATTAGTTTTTGATTAAAAAAAGGACCAAATTAATCTATAAATTAATTAATTTTTAAATAAAAAATAAATTTAATACAAAAAATTTTTCAATCATATTAAAAATAGTTAAAAATAATTTAAAAAAAAATTTTGTTTTAAATATCTAAAATAGTTAAAAACAAAATTGCAAATTTCTTTAAATAGTTTAAAAAAAAACAATTTCATTTTTTTTTTAAATTCTAAAATAGTTAAAAACAATTAAAAATTTGTTTAAATGTTAAAAATAGTTAAAAACAATTAAAAATTTGTTTAAATATTAAAAATAGTTAAAAACAATTAAAAATTTGTTTAAATATTAAAAATAGTTGAAAACAAATTTTTTTTTCAATTTACGATAGTAAAAAAAAAAAACAAATTTTTCGTTAAATAGTTAAAGAAAAAACAATTTAAGAAACAAAAAAAGCAAAAAATGAAAAGATTTATTATGAGAAAATTAAAATTAATATTTAGTAAAATTTCAAAAATTGATAAAAAAAAAATAAATTTTTTTTTGAAAATAGAAAAAAAAAATTTTTATTTAGAACAAATAATGTTTTCTAAGTTTTTGCTCAGAAATTCCATTGTTATCAGCAAAATAATTTCTGAGTCATTTCTCTCTCTCTCTCACTCACTCTCTCTCTTTTTGTCTCTATAATTATTATGTTAATCGTTTTTTCGGAGCAGATGCTGGAAAAGAGAAAAGGATCAATAACCTCATGATAATAATGGGTAATTATTAAATAATCATTTGGCTTTTTATTATAAATTTTAATAATTATTAACATTTTCTCAAAGGGTACTTTCAGGTCTTGACCTCGTTGAGACAATGATTAAGTGAATTCTCCGAGCGCGTAAAAGAAGTTTTATTATTATATTGATAAATAACGTTACTATAATAATTTAAATTCACAACATCGTCATTGTCATTTTTTTTTTTTTTTTTCACATCTTTTTTTATATTTAAAATTTTCTTCTATCGAATAAATTTAATTTAATAATAATAATAATAATTATAATAAAAAAAAATAATAAATATTAATTATTATTTATTAATTTGATAAATTTTTGCTTAAAAAGTAAATTTTCTTTTCATTTTTAATCTTTTATTTGATAAAATTATTTAATGACATTGAAAATCATGTTTCGTGACCTTGAAAGAAATCTTAATTTTCAATTAAGTCAGTGACACAAGAAATAAGAGATAAAAATACGAAATTCAATTTTGTAATTCGCAAATTATCTTTTATTCCATTTTTTTATCTATTTCAAATTTTTTTTTTTTGATTAATTTATCAAAATTAATTATTTCCGCTTTCGGTTTTGATTATCGAAAAAAAGTGTTACATAACCTTAAATTTCTATTTTAGGAATTTGAAATATTTTTTTATCTAACATTTGTTATTAAATAATAATATTAGAAATTTAGTTGGAAGATTCCAAATACCAATTTAATTATAATAAACGTGACAATAATACGAAAATTTATATTATTTATTTATTATTTATTATTATTATTATTTATTTATATTATATTCCATAACTGCTCACGACTTTTTTTTTCTCCAAATTCTCGTAGACTCGAACACTTGTTTTATTTTAAAATTTATTCGAAATGTTTTTTATTTCTGGGTATTTAATAAATTAATAATTAACAAAAAGAAAAAAAAAGATACACAGTTTGTTTATATTGTTACGATTTCTCGCACCTTTTGTGTCACTTGTCACTATATATGTACTTCATTCACAGATTAAAATGACGTGAACCGGAAGTATTCCCCCCCACCACTTTTATCTTTCATCTGACAGCCAGCTGTAGTAGTAGTAGTAGTTGTTGTATATCTCATTACTATACTTGTCAAAGCCGCAGTTAGTTATAGTTGTAACCTGCGCTCTCACATTCAGTGAATTTAATTAAAGTACTATCGTTTATTGTTGTGATAATTAGTGTAATTTTTCATAATTCACAATTTCCATACACTTTGTTTAAAAAAAAAAAAACAAAAAACACTTCTTCCCCGAAGTTTACCACGTGAAAGTTGTTTTCTTTCCAGTAAATTCGAGAATCGTTTTGCAATCACAGTGGAATGAATGTTAAAACGTGTTTTAAAATTTGTGCCAAAGTTTCAAATTAACAACGTGAAACATATGATGAGTGAAACAACGAGTAATGATGAAGTTCACATGACAACGGTAGTGTACTACTTTATTTATAAATATATTATTACTATCATCAATTTCATTGTGTTTATGTTTACAATATTTATTAATATAATCAGTTATGAATGAGAATTCATTTACAAATTTTTGAATTATATTTTATCAAATACATTTTACAAATATAATTTAATTACATAAATATAATATTTATATATTGAAAATTAGAAATTAGAAATTTTAATTAACCGCGCCATAAGTAGGAATCGGATGTTTAATTTTGTGATTTCAAAATAATAATTATAATCACTCTGCAATCGTTGCTTCATCGTTTTCTAATTTTTCTTGTTTGTAATAAAATTGTCCTCTACTTTCACAATTTCCCCACCGTAAGTTATTTATATCTTATAATATACTGGTAATTATATTTTATTTAAAATAATTATCAAATATGTATAAATTTCAAATTAATAGAAATTATAGAAATTCAAATTTTCGCCAATTTTTCACATAACCTAAAAAGCGATTTTTTTCCTTTTTTAAAAAAATGATTTTTATAATGTTAATTTTTATTTTTTTTTTATATATGTTATTTCAAACAAACTAAGATAAAAAAAATGTTAATTCTATGTGATAAAAAATAATGCAATTTATCGATTTTTTCCCATAACCTAAAAATCGATTTTTATTTGTTTATAATATATAAAAAAAAAACCCAAATATATAATTTATAGTAGAAAAATATTTTATTTAAAAAAAATATTATTAATATTATAAATTATTATTATTATTATTTAAATATTTTTAAAAAATATTAATAATTTTTTTTTATTAAATATTTGTTAGTTGAAGTAGAATAATTTATTTACTGTAAAATTTATAGTTTTTTTTTTATTAATTTGTAAAATAATAAAATTATTAATATTAAATATTGTTTTCCTGAATTACTATTATTATTATTATTATTTAAATATTTTTAAAAAATATTAATAATTTTTTTTTATTAAATATATGTTAGTTGAAGTAAAATAATTTATTTACTGTAAAATTTATAGTTTTTTTTATTAATTTGTAAAATAATAAAATTATTAATATTAAATATTTTTTCCCTCGATTATTATTATTATTATTATTATTATTAGTGGTTATTATTATTATTATTATTATTTATATAATTATTATTAATTGTTTATTTATCAAATAATTTTTTTTAAGTAAGGTTTTTTTATTTATTTTTTTTTTTTTTATTTATTAAATTTATTTATTAAAATCAGTTATAACTAGTGTAGAAAATACAATATATTTTAAAAAAAAAATACAAGATATGATGCATTGTTAATAATACTTATTTCTTTATCAAGAAAATTCTCTATAATGATAAAAGTGAAGAAAATGAACTGAAATGAACGCATACAAATTGCTACATACAATATTGTGAGAATAATTTATTGATAATAAAAGTTCAGAATAAGAAGGAAACTTTGAAGCAAACTTATGAAATAAAAGTAAAAAAAAATATTAAAAAAAAAATAATAATAATAATAATAATAAAAAAAATAATCATATTAATTATTACTAATAATAATAATGACAGCAATTATAATTATTAATAACAATAATAATTATTATTAATTAATAATAATAATAATTAATTAATAATAATAATTAATTAACAATAATAATTAATTAACAATAATAATTAATTAACAATAATAATTAATTAACAATCAATGAAGATTATAAATTAATAATTTATTTATTTTTATTATATTTGTAAAATGAATATATTTATAAAAAAAAAAAGTTTTTAATATAATTTTAATTAAATATTTGAATTATAATTATATAAATTAAATGAAAATTAAAAAAAAAAAACAAAAAAAATATTCATTTTTACAGCATGAACTTATAACAAAACATGGTTATATAGCTGAAACACATCATGTTTGGTCGGAGGATGGTTATCGTTTGGAATTACATCGGGTTTTGTGTCGTGCACAGGAAAATGGAAAAAATCACAATACTCAAGAATTTAGAGACGCTAATTGTAATTTAGAAAATGATAAATTACCACTTGAAGTATTAAACTCAAAAAACAGAATCTCTAAGCAACCAATTTTAATTAATCATGGCCTTCTATCATCATCGGCCGATTGGGTTCTACTTGGTCCACGTAAAGCACTCGGTATTTAAAATTTTGAAAAAAAAATGAAAATTAATATCTAACATTTAAAATAAAAAAAAATAAATAAAAAATAAATTTTTTTTTCATCATTTTTGCAATATAAATAAATAAATGTTATTTAAATTTATTGATACTATAATTATTAATAATTATTAAATAATTAAATAAAATTAACTAATAATTATTAATTATATTTATTTATTAATATTTAATAATTATTAAATAATTAAAAAAATTAAATAATAATTATTAATTATAATTATTAATTAATATTTAATAATTATTAAATAATTAAATAAAATTAAATAATAATTATTAATTATAATTACAGTTTATTTCTTTGCATACCAAACAGGGTTTTTTTTTTTTATTAATTAACAATTAAGATGAAAATATTGCTAAACATTTTTCTTGTAAAGAGTAAAATAATTTTAAACTGTATTTTTAATTTATTTTTTAAAATTCGAATCTTTTTTTTCTCTATAATTTAAATTTTATTTCAGCGTATATTCTTTGCGAAGAGGGCTATGATGTTTGGTTAGCAAATGTCCGAGGCAATAGTTATTCGCAATGTCATAAAAATTTGACTGTAAAGGATAGAGAATTTTGGAATTTTAGGTAATTTTCTATTTAGTTTTATTCTTATTTTACTTTTTATTATTTAGTATTTATTAATATTGTATTATTATTTTATTTTCTTTATTATTATTTAATTTTTGTTATTAATTTTCTTAGTATTTTCTTAGTATTTTTTTTTTTTTTTTATTTTATTCGTTTTACTTTTTATTTTGCTATTATTTTGTTATTATTTTATTTTCTTTATTATTATTTTTTTTTTTTAATAATAATTTTTTTTTAAATAATTATTTTATTTTTCATTTTATTTGCTATTATTTTTTTGCAATTATTTTATTTTCTTTATTATTATTATTATTTTTTTTTTAATAATTATTTTTTTTTCATTTTATTTGCTATTATTATTTTGCAATTATTTTATTTTCACTATTATCCTTTTATTTGTTACTATAATATTTTATTATTATTTTAATGGAATTTTTTTTTTTTTTTAAATTTTGCAGTTTCCACGAGATAGCAATTTACGATGTTCCGGCAATGATTGATTATGTTTTGGAAAAAACGGGTCATTTAAATTTATACTATATTGGCTATAGTCAAGGGACAACGTCATTTTTTGCAATGTTAAGTGAGAAACCGGAATATAATGCAAAAGTGAGATCAATGATAAGCCTCGCGCCAATTGCATTTATGTCAAATCAAAAGAGTCCATTACTCAAACTTCTTGTACGATTTTACAGTGTTGTGGAAGTGAGTCTCTTTCTCTCTCTATCTCTCTTATTATTATTATTTATCTATTTTTTGTATTTATTTTCGTATTTATTTATTTAAATTATTTTTTTACTCATTTTTTTTATTTATTTTGTTATTTATCTATTTTTTTAAAATTATTTAGTTATTTATAAATTATTTTGTTATTTATTTATTTAAATTATCTTTTTACTCATTTTGTTATTTATTTTATTTATCTATCTTTTTAAATTATTTTGTTATTTTTTTATTTAAATTATTTTTTTACTCATTTTGTTGTTTATTTTGTTATTTATTAACTTATTTTGTTATTTATTTATTTAATATATTTTTTTACTCATTTTTTTTATTTATTTTGTTATTTATTTTATTTATCTATTTTTTTAAATTATTTTGTTATTTATTTATTTAAATTATTTTTTTACTCATTTTGTTATTTATCTATTTTTTTAAAATTATTTTGTTATTTATTAACTTATTTTGTTATTTATTTATTTAAATTATTTTTTTACTCATTTTGTTATTTATCTATTTTTTTAAAATTATTTTGTTATTTATTAACTTATTTTGTTATTTATTTATTTAAATTATTTTTTTACTCATTTTGTTATCTATTTTATTTATCTATTTTTTTAAAATTGTTTTGTTATTTATTCACTTATTTTGTTATTTATTTATTTACTTTTTTTAATTTATTTTGTTACTTATTTTTTTTGTTTTTATTATTTTATTTTTCTTAATAATTGGTTTTAATTTTTGTTATTTTTATTTTTGTATGAATTTGAAAAATTATTATTATTTTTTTATTTTTTAAAAAAAAAAGTTTGTTTCAGTGGGGCTCATTTTATTGCAATATACATCAATGGTTTCCACGACATCGTTTTCCAGCTCGCGCTTTAGGAACATTTGTACGTAACAGTCCCGATACATTGACACGTAGTTTTTGCAATTGTTGGTTTCATTTAATCGCCGGTTTTGGAAGTAATCAACTTGACAAAAAAATGTTGCCATTGATATTTGGTCATTTCCCAGCTGGAGCATCGGCGAAGCAAATGATTCATTTTAGTCAACTTATTTTGAGTGGTACGTTCCTTTCAATTATTTATTTATTTATTTAATTAATTAATTAATTAATTAATTAATTAATTAATTAATTATTTATTTATTGTTGTTGTTGTTACAGAAACATTTAGAAAGTTTGATTATGGTCTCTCAAAAAATTTGCTTATCTACAAAAGTACACAGCCCCCAAAATATAATTTAGAACGAGTTAAAGTTCCGGTTTATATTTTTTATAGCGAAAATGATTTCCTCACACATCCGGTGGTAAGTAATATTTTTGAATAATTTTCTGAAAATTTAATTTAATTAAATAAAATAAATAATATAGTAATTATATTTTATTTTATATAATTATCAAATTAATAAATTATTTAATATAGGATGTTCAGCGGCTCGCCGAAAAACTTCCGAATGTTGTCAAAAATCATAAAATAGAATACAATAAATTCAATCATATTGATTATCTTTGGGGTAAGGATTCAAAAGTTCTTCTCTACAATTATATTCTCAAAGCTTTAAAAGACTCGTAACATTATATATTATTTTTAAAGAACAAAATTTCCCTCCTTAAAAAAAAAAAAAAAAAAAAATCTCAAAACTATGTAAAAAGAGCATTTTTAAATATATATATAATATATAATAATTTTATTTTCTAAGAAAAAAAAAGAAAAGACAACAAAAATTACAATAAAAATGTCAGTAAACATTTTTGCTGTAAATTTTTTTAAGTATAAAAAAAAAAAATTCTGTCATAGAGAATGTGAATGAAAAAGTTTTTAAATGACAAAAAAAAAAAAGATTTTAAAAAAAATTTAATTACAAAAATAATGGAATAATAAAAAAAAAAAGAAAAAATTATTTGAAGAAAAGGAAACGAAACATTATTCTTAAAAAAAATCTATTTTAAAATTTTGAGAAAATTAAAAAAAAAACAAAAAAAAAAAGTATTTTGTTCGAAAGGCTGGTACCAATCGGCATTTAATATTTAACAAAGAAAGACTGTAATATGGAAATTAAAACAAAATAAATATATAATAATAATGTGAATAAATGAAAACGAATGAAATGTCGTGTGTATTTTTGTATGAAAAAAAAATTGATATTTCTAATTTTATAAAGAAAGAATGAATGAAAATATTTTTTTCTTTTATATTATATATATATACTTATATTGTAAATGTGACAAATTGTATTTATTTGATATGAAAATTCATTAAAGGAGTTTTCTATATAATTTTGTCTATTCAATTTAATAATTAATTTTCATGATTAATTAATATAATAATAATAAATGTAATAAAAAAATAAAATATTAAATTAAAAATATTAAAAAAAAATATATATTTAAATATTAAAATAATATATTATTAATAATAAGTAATATAATTATTAATAATAATTATTATTATTAAAAGCGCGAAAAATAAATTAGAAATAAAATAAATAAATTTGAAATTTAAAAACAGAATTCTCATTGGTGGATTTAATTTCTCCCACCGCCAATGAGAGCGTACATTGTCCTTAAGCGTCATTCACAAGCCCTATTTTTTGTGCGCGCGCATTCCACATTGTTGTTTGAGGTTATGACACAAAATGTCAGTTTTTTTTGTTTGCATAGTTTACGCGGTAGTTCTCTAAAAACAAAATAAACGCATTAAAATTGTAATTAATTAATAAAATTAAATGTAATAGTTTCACGATAATCGAGATATTGTTATTTACAAGTTAATTTTCAATTCTCGTCAAAGGAATAGAAAACTTCAATAAGTGAATTAAAGGTACAAAAATTTGTTTTTCACTTCTTAATTTAATCATTACAAAAAGCTACAATTATATATTAAATTTCACATTTATTGCAATTAACTATATAAATATATAGTGTTTAATATCGCAGAAAAAAAAAAAAAAATTATGGAGAGCAACGATGACGATGATAATAAATTGTCAAAAAATTATGAATTTTCATTTGAAATTGACATTGACGAAATGAAAAGTGACAATAGCGTATTGTCATCGGATTCAGAGACAAATGGTTTGGAAATTGATGTATCAGAAGTTGATGATAATTATGAAACGAATAATATTATACGTAATAAAAGAACAAACACGATTGTTGATGCACTTGATGGTTTGGACAAAATGGAGGAGGAAATTGAAAGGCAATTAGATGCAAAGGCGGCGAAAACAAATTTAACAGCGACAAATGTTAAAAATATATTAAGACACGTTATAACAAATGAACATGTTAGGGCAATGGTTCGTCGAAGATTGAATAAAGCCACCGATGATGATTGCATTATTTTCGAGCCAAAATTGACGCGATCAAAAGCAAAGTAAGTCATCATTTTTTTTATTATCTTTTTTCATTTTTTTTTTTTTTTTTTTTTCGTTTTTATCATTTAGTAATATTATTTTTTTAATTTTCACGATTTATCTAATTTTTATAACAAAATAAATAATATAATAAATTAACATAATACTAATAATAATTGAATTTTAGGAGATTTTGAATTAAAATTTTAATAAATTAAAATTGCTGAAAATTTATTAACAAAATTTCAAATAGTAATTGAATTTTGCAGAATTTTTAATTAAAAAACGTTTTAATACCTAAAATGTAAATACATTTATATAAAATAAAAATAGAATTTTTTTAAAGACTTTTTTAGGAACAAAATTTGATTATTTTACTTTAGAAATTGAATATTCGTTTTTTTTAAAGTGAAATTTGAATGATAAAATTTTAAAAATTAGGTTTCGAAATGACACACTTTTTGTACTTTTTTGATACTTTTTTTCAACAATGCTAATTTTTTACTACTAATTTTGGCCAAAAGCCACACTAAATTCTACCTTTTTTCAAGAAAATAATTTTAAAAAATGACAGAATTCAAGAATTTTAAATTTTAGCGAATTTATTTGATTACTAAAAGCTCGTGAAGTTGATGATTTATTATTGGCTGCGTCAACTGCTGCTTTATATAATTATTTTTTACACGAATTTTCATTTTTCAAAATTGCATTTAACATAATTTCGTTTTTAAACGATTTTTTACTCAATAGAATTTTTAATTTAGTAAATTTTCTTCACAGAATTTTTAATTTGGTAAATTTTTTTTGACAGAATTTTTATTTTTCAAAATTCTCTTTACCCAACTGTTTTTTTTAAATAATTCTAATTTAACCGAAATTCAGAAAATAATTGAATTTTAAAGTATTTTAAATTGAAAAATGTTTTAAAGAATTGAAATGCCAAGATCTTGATTAAAATTATTGGAAATAATTATTTCAACAAAAAAATTGAATCATAATTTTTTATAATAATTGAATTTTAGGAGATTTTTTTTTATTTAATTGAATTTTTGAATAATTGGATTGAAATTATTAATTTAGCAAAGAATTTTAGATACAAAATTTAGTAGTGATTGAATTTTGAAAGAATTCGAGTTAAGATTTTTAGAAATAATTGAATTTTGGAAGAATTCGAGTTAAGATTTTTAGAAATAATTGAATTTTTAGAGATTCTTAATGAAATTTTTTGAAAATTTTAATTTTTATAGATATTTTATGAGCTTTAGACAATAATTAAACTTTGGAGAATTTTAAATTGGAAAATATTTTAAATAATTGAATTTTCGAAAATCTTGATTTTATTTAAATAAATTATTAAAATTAAATTATTCAAAAAAAGGAATTTTAGATATAAAATTTAGTAGTGATTGTATTTTAGAAGAATTTGAGTTATAATTTTTGGAAATAATACTTAAAATTCAGGAGATTATTAATTGAAACTTTCATTTTGAATTTGTGAAATTTTTTTTAAAAAACTTTAAACAATAATTGATTTTTTTGATACTTTTTTTCGACAAGGCTACTTTCTTACTACTATGTAATTTTGTTCAAAAGCCACTAAAATGCTACTTTTTAAAAAAAAAAATTTTTAAATGACAGAATTCAAGAATTTTAAATTTTAGCGAATTTTTTTTCGATTCCTAAAATCTCGGAAAATTGATGATTTATTATTGGCCGCGTCAACTATGGCTTTATATAATTATTTTTTATACGAATTTTCATTTTTAAAAATTGCATTTAACATAATTTTTTTTAAACGATCTTTTACTCAATAGAATTTTTAATTTGGCAAATTTTTTTTTGACAGAATTTTTATTTCTTTTTATTTCTTTACAAAATTTCTCTTTTTTTAAACAATTCTAATTTAACCGAAATTCAGACAATAATTGAATTTTAGAGTATTTTTAATTGAAAAATGTTTTAAATAATTGAAATGCCAAGATTTTGATTAAAGTTATTGGAAATAATTATTTCAACAAAAAATTTGAAAAAAAAACAAAAAGTTAATCGAAATTTAACAATAGATAGTTTTTTTTTTTTTTATAATCAGGAGAAAAATGATGTTAATTTTATTTCTCAGAATTTTTCTTTTAATTTTTTTAGACAAGAAAATATTTACACTTTAAATGTTAAATTTAGAAAACTAATTTTACTTCATTTTAAAGATGTCACTTTTTTTGATACTTTTTTTTTTTTTAAATTATACTTTCTCATACTTTTCTTAGTCTTTTACTACGCTTCGAAGGCTGAAAAATGAAAAATAAGTTTTTAAGATTCGGGAAGGCAAAAAAAAAAAAATTAATAAATAAATAATTGTAATAACAGAATATGAATTGGATTAAATGTTTTAAGGATCGGATAATGGAGGAAAATAATTTATTTTAGAGAATTGGGTGCATTGGGTCAGCCAAATATTCCTTGGCCAACAACACCAGTGAAAACAGCTTCAGCTGAAGTTCAAGTTTTAATTGAGGAAGAACTTCCCGAGGATTCATCGGACGAGGAATATGATCCAGATCAAGATCAACAAAGTGACGACGATAAGGAAGTGGACGATGATAAAGAAGCTGATAATTCAATTGGAAGTGATGTTGATTCACAGCCATCAACGCCAGCAAATTCACATAATGATTCTTTATCGCAGGAGGCAAAAAATGATATTCAATATGATTCGGAGGGAGTTTTTAAAATTCCCGAGTTCGTATATATTTCTATATAATATTCTATATATATTACTATATAATATGTGGATGTAAAATATTAAATTATAATTATAATTATAAATTTAATAATTATATTTTTATAATTGTGAATTGTAGAATTCCTCATACTCTAACGGAAGAGGAAAGTATTGGACAAAGAACACGATCGAAATTATGTCTCAGTGAAACGCCATTGGAACATATTGAACAAGCATTTATTCCACCGGATATTACAACTGATATGTATGACTATGATTGTGATTTAGATGAAGAATGGAGGGATTTTCTTAATGAATTCACTCAGCCTTTGCCTCAAGAATTAAATGTTGATGATGATCCTGAAGCCGATCCGGAATATAATATTTTAGAGGAAGACGAAACGGAATTATGTAAGTTTTTTCAGGGCGAATTGAATTTCCCAATAAAAATTTAGAATTTTATTTATTAAATAAAATTTTCATTTTAATGAATTTTATTAGAAACTAGCAAAATTAAACGCGCGCAAGCGCGCCAAATTCAGTATTTACTTGTTTGTTATAAAGAAATTAAAGATTAATATTATCAATAATAATTTAATTTATTAGAATATTATTACATATTAAATGATAATAATGAAAATTATATGTTTTAACAGGCCTCGGATTATACGACTTTTTCCGACTTTTTTTTCAAAAATACGACTTTTATCGACTACTTTTAATAAAATGCGACATTTTTTTTTACATTTGAAAAAAAATTTAAATAAAATACATTTTTTTAGTATAAAATGTAGATCTTCTTCAGATCTTCTTCAATTCAATTATTTAACAAATTTTGAACTAAAATGATTCTTCACTAAATTAATTATTTTTAATAATTTTAATGAAATACATCACAAATTCAATTATATCAAAATTATTTTTCAATTCAAATTTTTATGAAATTTAACAATTGTTTATAATTTAAAAAAAATATATCACAATAAAATTGAATTATTTTTTAAAAATTTCAATTCAAAATAAACTAAAATTCAATTATTACCCGAAATTTTAATACAAAATCAATTAAAATTCAATAATTATCCAAACTTTTCAATTTCAAATTTAATTATTTACCAAGTTTTCAATTTAAAATTAAATAAAATTCAATTATTTTCTAAAAATTCTATATTCAAAATTAATTATCCAAATTTTCAATCAAAAATGAACTTCAATTAAATTATTATCAAAAATTTCTAATTAAAATTCAATTATTTCCCAAAATTTTCAATTCAAAATGAACTGAAATTTAGTTATTTTCCAAATTTAAAATGAAAATTAAATTTCATTATTCTCAAAAATTTGAATTGAAAATTAATTGAATTTTCAATAATTTGAATTTAAAAGCATCTAAAATTTAATTATTTATAAAATTTTCCATCGAAAAATTTTTTGTTTTTGAAATTTAATAATTTTAATTATAACTCTAAGGAAATTCAATTATTTTTAACTATTTTAAAAATATTCTTTGAAAATTCAAAACTATCTGAAACCATTTTTCAATTAAAAATGATTTTCAAATTATTGTATTTTGTCCACATTTTCTAATAAATTTTTAGTGAAATCATCTAAAATTTTAATTACAAAACACTTAAAGTTTCAATTAATTTTAAAAATATCAATTTTAAATTTTTGAAAATTCAATTAAATTTAAAAAATGTTTTCCAAAAATTGTTTGATAAATTATTTTTAGTTCTGTAAAATTTAATAATTGTTTGAAAATTAACAATATCTTTTGAAATTTAATTATTTCTAAAAATTTCAACTTTAACCCTTCGAAAAGGACTATTAAAAAAAAAATTTTTTATTTAAAAATCTGTAAAATATTTTTGTTAAAATAAAAAACAAATCCACTTTTTTCGGAATATAAATCGACTAAAACGACTTTTTTGTGTCTTTAAGTTGATTCGAGGCCTGTGTTTTTATAATTAATATTTAATAGGTATTCGTTGGCCCCTGGTACCTTAAAAATTAATTTTTAAAAATAAATTTTTTTCAAATTACTATCTTGTACGAAATTTCCTGGCGCATCTTTTTTCTTATCATAAATTTTTTGTATTTGTTTACAATTTTTGAATCAATATACAACTTTAAAATAAATTTCGTTGGTAAACGTTGTGTACTTCAGCTTCGTGAATTGAATTTTCGAATTTGGAATTTTAATGAAACTTATTCCGAAAATTGGAAACATAATTATACAACTTTGGCAAAAATGAGAAAAAGAATTGTCAAAATTTGACACGTCATAAGATTACTATTCAAAAAAAACACGTGAAATTAGAAAAGGCCAACTTCAAGTTAGGACAGAAGGACAGACCAAGCATTTTATTATTATATAATAATTTGTAAATGTAAATGTTTAAATAAAAATTTTTTTGCTTTTAGTGGATAAAGAGGAATTTCGAATGGATAGAGCGGTAAAAGTTTCACGAAAGGAAGTGAATAATTTAATGGACGAATTATTGGAATATGCGAATGAATACGCGCATACACATTCAACAGATAAGGAAATTGTTACAATTCAAGAAACACCGAGAAAGAGAAAATCTTCTGATTTTATAAATCCACCGATACAAAATAATCCAATGGTATGACAAAATTTTTAATAAAATATATTTTTTTATTTAAAAACAAAATAAAATTTTAAGTCAGTAATTCTTTTTTTTTTTAAATTAATTTCAAATATTGAAATTTAGAATTTTTTAAAAGATTTATCTTTTATTTTAGAAATTTGTGCAAAAATTTACATTTATCTTTACTATTCTTTTAAAAAAATTTGTTGTAATCTCATTTTAGAATTCGCCGATTGAATTAATATCAGTTTTATCAAAAGCTGATTTACCACAATTTGTTAACAATGAACAACGTCATTTACTTAATATTCAATTAAGACAACACGTTCAACTTATGTCACAACAATTTTTGATGTCCTACAAACATCCGGAATATCATAATTTGTCAAAAAGTTGTAAATCAAATATTGAAAGTTTAAGGTAAAGAAAAGAACATTATTTTTTTTTGCCCCCAATTTTTCTTTAAATTTCAAAAAAATTCCCTTCTTTTCTAATTTATTTCTTAATTTAATAAAAAAAAAATATTTTAAAATTAAATACTTTTTTTTTTAAATTCAGATATTTAAGTTCCGGTCCAGAATCAGCGTTTAATGTTGATAATTTACCGTATGCATTGCAATTAATAAGCGATTTTGAGGAAAAATTTAAAGATGAAAAATTTTACGAGGAATTTAGTAATTTTCTTGCTGAAGATATGAAAAAAGGAGCAATGAAAACACATCGTATTCATTCGCATAAATTTCATCCATCTATGGAGAAATTAATAATGGAAAGTAAAGCGTTACCATATCCAAATCTTTTGCCCCATATGTATACGAGAGCCGATGTTAATAATCGAAAATGTCGTGTTTTCTTCAAATCAGAGGAGAAGTAATTATTTATATTTATTTTAAATAATTATTTATTTAACTTTAAAATATTCATTTTTCTAAAAAAATATGATCAATTTTTTTTTTCTAAATATTCTATAAAATAAAATTTCTTTTTTTTTGCTTTTTAGTTTGATTGCTTTGGGTTTGGAACAATTTAAACCATTTCTTTTGAGTAAAGGAAAAAAAATTCACAAATTTAAGACATATTTAATGAAGGATGTTATTCGTTTGACACGAATTTATCTACTTCCAGTTCGTGACAGTAGTTCGATTTATAGTCTTATTAAAAAATACGAAAATCCTCATACTGATGGTCCAATTAGGGTAAGAATATAATTATTTATTCTTCGTTTCTTATTTTAATATTATTATTATTTTTTTTTTGTACTTCAATTTCGATTTTACGACAGTAGAAAAAGGAAAAAATTCTTTTAAAAATTTTTCAAATTAATAAAGATAACTAGCAATATTAAACGCGCGCAAGCGCGCAAAATTGAGTATTTAATTGTTTGTTATAAAGAAATTAAAGATTAATATTATCAATAATAATTTAAATTTATTAGAATATTATTTCATATTAAATGATAATAATGAAAATTATTATTATATGTTATTAAATTATATATAAAATTGAATTATTTTCCAAATTTTCAATTTAAAATTCAATTATTTACCAAGTTTTCAATTTAAAATTAAATAAAATTCAAATATTACCCGAAATTTTAATTCAACATCAACTTAAATTAAATTATTATCCAAAATTTCAATTAAAATTCAATTATTTTCCAAAATTTCGAGTCAAAATTAATTATTATCAAAATTTTCAATCAACAATCAACTAAAATTAATTATTATCAAAATTTTCAATCAACTAAGATTAAATTATTTTCAAAATTTTCAATTTAAAATTCAATTATTTACCAAGTTTTCAATTTAAAATGAAATAAAATTAAATTATTTTTTAAAATTTTTATTCAAAATTAATTATCGAAATTTTCAATTAAAAATGAACTTAAATTAAATTATTATCGAAAATTTCAATTAAAATTCAATTATTACCCGAAATTTTAATCCAAAATCAACTTAAATTAAATTATTATCCAAAATTTCAATTAAAATTTAATTATTTTCCAAAATTTCGAGTCAAAATTAATTATTATTAAAATTTTCAATCAGCAATCAACTAAAATTAATTATTTTCAAATTTTCAATCAACAATCAACTAAAATTAAATTATTTTCAAATTTTCAATTTAAAATTCAATTATTTACCAAGTTTTCAATTTAAAATAAAATAAAATAAAATTCAATTATTTTTTAAAATTTCGATTCAAAATTAATTATCGAAATTTTCAATTAAAAATGAACTTAAATTAAATTATTATCCAAAATTTCAATTAAAATTTTATTATTTTCCAAAATTTCGAGTCAAAACTCATTATTATCAAAATTTTCAATCAGCAATCAACTAAAATTAATTATTTTCAAATTTTCAATCAATAATCAACTAAAATTAAATTATTTTCAAATTTTTAATTTAAAATTCAATTATTTACCAAGTTTTCAATTTAAAATAAAATAAAATAAAATTCAATTATTTTTTAAAATTTCGATTCAAAATTAATTATCGAAATTTTCAATTAAAAATGAACTTAAATTAAATTATTATCCAAAATTTCAATTAAAATTTTATTATTTTCCAAAATTTCGAGTCAAAACTCATTATTATCAAAATTTTCAATCAGCAATCAACTAAAATTAATTATTTTCAAATTTTCAATCAACAATCAACTAAAATTAAATTATTTTCAAATTTTCAATTTAAAATTCAATTATTTACCAAGTTTTCAATTTAAAATAAAATAAAATTCAATTATATAATAATAAAATGCTTGGTCTTTCCTTCTGTCCTAACTTGAAGTTTGTCTTTTATGATTTCACGTGTTTTTTGAATAGTAATATTATGACGTGTCAAATTAAACTTGAAAATTTTAGAAATAATTAAATTTCAAAAGATATTGTTAATTTTCAAACAATAATAAAATTTTACAGAACTAAAAATAATTTATCAAAAAATTTTTTGGAAAACATTTTTTAAATTTAATTGAATTTTCAAAAGATTTAAAATTGAGATTTTAGAAATTAATTGAACTTCAAGTGATTTTAATTAAATTTTTATATGATTTCACTAAAAAATTTATTAGAAATTACAGACAAAATACAATAAGTTGATAATCATTTTTAATTGAAAAATGGTTTCAGATAGTTGAATTTTCAAAGAATATTATAAAAATATTTAAAAATAATTGAATTCCCTTAGAGTTATAATTGAAATTATTAAATTTCAAAAAATTTTCGATGGAAAATTTTAGAAATAATTAAATTTTAAATGCTTTTAAATTCAAATTATTGAAAATTCAATTAATTTTGAATTCAAATTTTTTAGAATAATTCATTTTTAGTTGATTTTTTATTGAAAATTTTGATAATTAATTAACGGATTGAACGAACTTACCTTAAGTGAAGATCAATCCAAATTGTATGAGCTGTCTCGTCCGAATAGATCACATACATGTAGTACCGAAGTACTGCTTGTTCCGCCACAGCAATTTTAAAAAATAAAAGTTTTTCGCGCCTCCGATAGGTGGTTTCCTCCTGTTCCTCCTATTTTCCTCATTACATTTTAAAGTTCAGCATAAATCGCATTTGGGGTAGTTTTTATTATTTAGGGTGTGGTGGGTGTGATCTATTCGGACGAGACAGCTCATACAATTTGGATTGATCTTCACTTAAGGTAAGTTCGTTCAATCCGTTAATTGTATTTCACTGTCTCGTCCTTCTAGATCACATACATGTAGATGTTTAAAGATTAATGCGATTTAATGTTTTTTTTTTTTTTTTTTTACTTAAAGTGATTAATTATATTCCTTGTTAATACATGGGTTAAAGTAACAGCTTAAGATAACCAAAGGTAAAATACCTCATAAAATGAAAAGTTATAAAGTGAAAAGTTTAGTTTACATATGCTATCAGAGAGAAAAGAAAACAATCAAGTGAATGGTCTATTATTGAACTGTAGACCCAAAAGTCTCTCTAATTAAGAGCGGTCGGTTGTAGAACCTAGCGAATGTTGACGATGTCGCTGACCAGCCAGCTGCCCGGCGAATGACCTCAATATTTACTCCTTTCCTAGCTGCTGCTGAAGTCACAGCATGTCGAGTGCTATACCCTGTGAATATGGTAGTGTCAATTCCGCACAATTCCAACGTTTCTCGTATCCACCTGCTAATGGTCTGCGAAGTGGCATGGTTATGAGGCTTCTTGTGAGTGAGAATAAGAAAAATATTATTTAACTCACTATCTCTCATTCCTGAAGTTTTTTCGATGTAGGTACGTAAAACTGATGCTGCGCAGATCTGAGGTTGATGCAAGTAGGTTGGAATCTCCAGAATAGGTTGAAACGTATTCTTACCCGTGGTCTTGATCTTATCCGTTATTTTTATTAAAATAGGCTCTCTTTCCAAATTTACATTTTCTAGCCGTATGAGAGACAGAGTCTGGATCCTTTGGGCAGTGATGAGTGCTAACAGTGTTACGAGTTTACGCGTCAGAACTTCTAGCGACAACTGCTCATGTGGGTACCAGGTTGCCAATTTATCCAAGACTTGCTTCGGATCCCATGTAATGTCGTACTTGTGCCTGCGTGGCCTTAGCGTTGATACTCCCTTAAAGAATCTGGAAATTTGAGCATCACTGCCAAGCTCGTTTCCCATGATTAAGGACAGAGCAGCTCGATAAGTGTTCGCCGAACTAAAGGATTTCGTTTGCTTCAGAGACTCTGTAAAGAATCTTAGTATTTCTGATTTTGAATTCTGATATATGTTGATTCCTTCCTTTTGACAGAAATCCCACCAATCTTTAATTGGCTTCGAGTACTGCTTGAGAGTTTTCTCCGATATCGACTGCAGCATCACATCCGCCGCCTCCTCCGTGGCTCCTCTTATTTTGAACGCTTCCCTGATAATCGAGCTGCTACCAGGGAAAGCGTGTGATGAAGAGGATGTGTCTTCCTGTGGGGAGAGGATAAGAGATTAATACTCGGTTCTAAACGAATAATTTCGGACACAATTAATGAAGTAAACAGCGGATACCAAGGTTGAGTGGGCCAGAAAGGTACCACTACAACCCCGTCTGCCTGGTCTAATTGAATTTTTTGCAATACACGAAGTATTACAGAAAATGGGGGAAAGGCATAAAACGAAAGATTTTCCCAATTCATAGTAAATGCGTCCACGTTAACAGAATCGGGGTCTCTTAGCCAAGAAACATATTGTGCGCATTTAGCATTGGCTCTTGACGCAAAAAGATCAATATTAAAGGGGCCTAACTTTCGGCTGATCTTCTGAAAGGCCGAATATGCCAGTTCCCATTCTGTTTCCTGGGGAAGTACACGAGAACCTTCATCTGCTTCTTTATTCTCTTTGGAAGGCAGATACGACGCGTAAACCCATAGTTCACGCTCTTCGCACCAGGTCCAAATTTCCCTAGCCAGTTGTGTCAAATGTGGGTATTGAATCCCACCCATTCTGTTTACATATGCAATAGCTACTGTATTATCCATGCGAAGCAGTAACTCACAATCTTGATCCTGCCTCGCGAAACATTTTAACCCCAAATGAGCCGCTTTGAGTTCGAGAACATTTATATGCAATTTTCTCTCATCAGCGGTCCACAGTCCGTATGTTTTTTCGCCATCGCAAAATGCCCCCCAGCCTGTCAACGATGCATCAGTGAATATTTCTTTGCTAAACTTTAGTTGTCTAATTGGATTGCAAGAACTCGTAATTTTATCTGCCCACCATTCCAGATCTGATTGTACTATGTTGGGGACTGTAATCCGAGCCTTGAAATTATTGTTGGCTTTCTTCAAAGCCAAAAATTTTTCTCGCTCCAGTCTCTTTGTGTACAGCCAGCCATATTTAATGGCGGGGCACGCAGCAATTAGATTGCCTATAAGTCTCGCTAGTTCTTCGATCTTGCAGGATTTGTTTACTAGAAATTTTTTAATAAATGAAAAAATTGACTTGCGTTTCTTATCGGTTAATTCTAACTGAAACCTAATGCTATCAATTACAAAACCTAGAAAGATGCATCGCTGAGCAGGTTTGAGTTGACTCTTATTTTCACTCACTATAAACCCTAATGATTCAATTAAAGAACGAACAACAGAGACATGCTGCTGGCACTGATTTAGTGTTTTGGCGATAATAAGGATGTCATCTAAATATATTACCAATATAATGCCTTGACTTCTCAATTTTTGAACAACTGGTTTGAGAAGCTTGGTAAATGTGACCGGTGCAGTACAGAGACCGAATGGCATACTCGTGAATTCATAAAGGATTCCCCTGAAACAGAAACGTAAGAACTTGCGATGTTCATTAGCAACAGGGACCATAAGATAGGCATCTTGAAGGTCCATTACTGACATGAAGCACTTTTTATGCACGAGGCGTAAGGCAGTCTTCATGTCCTCAAGTTTAAAGTGCGGGGCCCTCAGAAATTTGTTCAAATTTTTTAAATTTAGGATAAAACGATCGTCTCCATTTGATTTTGGCCTTAGAAAATATGAGGACAAAAATTGACCCTGACACGAATTGCATTTAATAATTGCCCCCATATTAATCAATTTATTTATTGCTGTTAATGTTCTTGCCTCATCTTCATCTGACAAGAAAGGAAGGGTTGGGGGGAAATTCTGTTTGGGTTCACTTTCAAAAGGCAGATTATACCCGTGAACGCAATTTATTATGAATGGGTCATTCGTGATTTTCTGCCACTGACTTGTGAAAAAACGCAGTCGACCTGCTGTTTCACTTACCGTTAACGCTTCTGACGATGCGTCGTCTGGTACCGAGAACCCTGATAACCTTGAGCCCCCCCCTTCTTCCAACTCGTCTTCGAGTTGTTCTTCTTGAAGGGGGCTTTCCAGTTTAAATGCTTTGAACTGCTTGTCTCGGATGTTTTGACCATGTTGTTTTGGGTATTTTTTGTTGAGTGATGTGAGGTTTTGGAGATATCCTTACCCGATTTCTCCACTTCTTTAGCTGTTTTTAATTTTTCAGCTAACGTTTCTCCGAAAAGCAACGTATCCACATTTGTGTCGTCTGCTATTGTTTTTAACCTCAAACTGAACGATGGGATTATAAACGACCTGCGTGTTATGGACATCCCATGTTGAAGGTCAGTCAACAGTCGACCCACATCACTGATGGACTCGAAAATGCCAGCAATGTCCTTGCTATCTATAGGTTTTAATGTTTTGTTGGCATCTAAAATGACAGTAAGCACTTTACCTATCGCGCTAATCGCTGCGCCTAGTTGTGTTTGAGACACCACCTGAAACTGGTCCTTCCTTACTGCCAATGCGCCCATACTTGTCTTTATTTCTGGATTGAGCCGTGGTGCTCCCATTGTTTTACAATTTTCTGCAGGATGATATTTTTTGACAAGTGTTTGACGTGTGTCCTTTGACAAGCCTGCTTCTAATATTTTTGTCCAAAGTTCTGCAATAGAACTATGTACGGCAGCACTGTAGACATTTACCTCAGGAGCGCCATCTCCCAACAGTTTCAACAACTCGTCTGCATTGGTTACCGACTGTTCATTGTCATCTCCTGTCGATGGATTTTTATCACCATTCGAATTTTGAATTATCTTAAGAGTATGGTCACCTCCTGGGGACTGGCGAGGACTTCTTGATCTAGAACGACTACGGGAAAAACGTGGCGTGTCTCGCGTACGACGCTCTTCGTTATCCCTTCTTGTCGGGCTCGGGCAAGGCGTTTCTCGCAGATAACGCTCAGTGCCTGTACCTCTCGGAGAATTGGACTCGCGATCCAAATCTCGTCGTTGCCGATCACGCCTCGATTGCTTCGATATTATCGAGAGACTTCCATCACTGGAGCTTGATTCATCAGATGATGAGGAAGATGGCGACGATGGCGACCGTTTGCGCTTCATCTTCTTGATAGCTTTTTCCATTTTTCTTATTTTCTTATCAAACTTCTTCTTCTTATATGATTTCTTTTTCCTGGAGCGACGTCGCTGCTCCTTCTCGGATTCCGATTCCGAAGTTAAACCCATTTCGATTATTGTTTTACACGATTATAAAATATTGTCCCGATAGACGTGTGCAGCGGAACGCACAGAACAACGTAATGAGGAAAATAGGAGGAACAGGAGGAAACCACCTATCGGAGGCGCGAAAAACTTTTATTTTTTAAAATTGCTGTGGCGGAACAAGCAGTACTTCGGTACTACATGTATGTGATCTAGAAGGACGAGACAGTGAAATACAATTTTGAATTGAAATTTTAGAAAATAATTGAATTTTATTTGATTTTAAATTTAGAAAATAATTGAATTTTCTTTGATTTTGAATTGAAATTTTGGGAAATAATTGAATTTTGAATAATAATTTAATTTAAGTTCATTTTTTATTGAAAATTTGGATAATTAATTTTGAATAGAAATTTTAGAAAATAATTGAAGAATTTTATTTCATTTTAAATTGAAAACTAGGAAAATAATTGAATTTTAAAAGATTTTGAATTAAAAATTTGGAAAGTAATTGAATTTTCTTTGATTTTGAATTAAAAGTTTGGGAAATAATTGAATTTTAGTTGATTTTGGAATTGAAATTTTGGAAAATAATTGAATTTTTGTTAATTTTCAATAGAAAAATTTGGAAAATATTTGAATTTTAGTTGATTTTAAATTAAAATTTCGGATAATAATTGAATTTTATATGATTTTAAATTGAAAATTTGGAAAATAATTGAATTTTAAAAGATTTTGAATTAAAAATTTGGAAAGTAATTGAATTTTCTTTGATTTTGAATTAAAAGTTTGGGAAATAATTGAATTTTGAATAATAATTTAATTTAAGTTCATTTTTTATTGAAAATTTGGATAATTAATTTTGAATAGAAATTTTAGAAAATAATTGAAGAATTTTATTTCATTTTAAATTGAAAACTAGGAAAATAATTGAATTTTAAAAGATTTTGAATTAAAAATTTGGAAAGTAATTGAATTTTCTTTGATTTTGAATTAAAAGTTTGGGAAATAATTGAATTTTAGTTGATTTTGGAATTGAAATTTTGGAAAATAATTGAATTTTTGTTAATTTTCAATAGAAAAATTTGGAAAATATTTGAATTTTAGTTGATTTTAAATTAAAATTTCGGATAATAATTGAATTTTATATGATTTTAAATTGAAAATTTGGAAAATAATTGAATTTTAAAAGATTTTGAATTAAAAATTTGGAAAATAATTGAATTGTCTTGGATTTTGAATTGAAATTTTGGAAAATAATTAAATTTCAATTACAATTTTAAATAATAATTCAATTTTAGTTGATTTTTGATAATTAATTTTGAAATGAAATTTTAGAAAATAATTTTATTTTATTTGAATTTAAATTGAAAATTTGGAAAATTAGTGAATTTTAGTTGATTTTGAGTGGAAATTTTGGGTAATAATTGAATTTTATTTGATTTTAAATTGAAAATTTGGAAAATAATTTAATTTTAAAAGACTTTGAATTTAAAATTTAATAATTTAATAATTAATAATCTGAGGCCTATAAACATATAATTTTTATTTTTATCATTTAATATGGAATAATATTCTAATAAATTTAAATAATTATTGATAATATTAATTTTTAATTTCTCTATAACAAATAATGAAATAATCAATTTGGCGCGCTTGCGCGCGTTTAATATCGCTAGTTATTTTTTAAAATTTCGATTCAAAATTAATTATCGAAACAATGTCAAAAAAACATTGAAAAATTTTAACCAATACAAAATAATGTCAAACAATACATTTAAAAAAAACAAAAGACCTATAACAAATACTAACTTCACGTGTGGACAGAATGAACGAAAGATATTCACGATTATTATATGTAATTTTACTGAAATTTTTTTTTTATAATTCCTTTATTTTTGCAGTATTATCTTTCAACTGGCAAAGCACCGGCGACAATTCACGTGATTACTTTGGATACAGTGTTGAAACCACCACAGGAACAATCAATTGAATTATTACCTCAAATATGGCGAAAATTTGCCCACAATGCTAATCAAGTAAAATGATTCGATTTTAATTTTTAATAATTTTAGAAAAATATTTTAAATAAAGATAAATAATTAAACTTTGAAGAATTTTGAATTGAAAAATCAAATAGAAATTTAAAAAGAAATTTCAAATTTGAATATTGTAATAAATAAATAAAATTGTAATTTTATTTTTCGTTTAGCCACCAAAGGAATTAGAGAAGCAACCAAAGGAAATTGATAATCTCATTAATAGTGAACTAATGGAATTTATTGAAATAAATCCTGGAAAGCATCTTTGTAATCCAATTGTGAATATGATGCCATCGGTAAATTTGTCAAAGCGGAAAACTACGAGAAAAAGAGGAGGAAGTGGCGGCACTGGAAATAAATCAATTGTACACATTGAAATACCATCATCGAATTCTCAGGAAGAAATGATTGTTCCTGAAATAATGGACGTCGATACAAGTATGGAAATTGAATTTTTAGATAATGACAATCAACAATCGAAGAAAATAAGTCCACGTTCAACGAAAATTCAACGTAATTGTCAATTAAATATTACATCGCCTACAATTCAAGTTTTTTCCAATGAATGCGCTGAAGAAATGATAGTACCAGAAATAATGGATGTTGATACAAATGTTGAAATGGAAATTTCAATGGATCAGAGTGAAAATCAAAAACAAAAATTACCACAATTAAGACAAACAACGCCACGTTTGGCAAAAATGCGTAGCGCACAAAATATTAAATCAATGACACAATCAATGATTGCAGGTAAGGAAATTTCTTCAACGAGTGGAATTACTAATAAAACAAAAGGTGGTAAAGTTTTGTTAGCTGCTGAATCGTCAAAAAATTCCGAATTCTCATCAACATCGTCTGTTAAAGGAGTAAGTTATTTTAATTTAATACCAGTTTTTTTTCAATTTAAATGAAGAGCAATTCAAATAATTTAAAAAAAAACATTTCTACTTAATCTGATTTATAATTTTTATTTTTTTTTTTTTTTGAAAAATATTACAAAAAAATCTTAAAATTCCTCAAAATTGTAATAAATTTTAATTAAAAATGTGTTGAATTTAAAAAAAAACATTTTTGTATTAATTAATAATTTATTATAATTTTTCTTTATTAAAAGTTAATTTAAATTGTTAGAAAAATCAATTGTTTAAATTTCTCGAAATAATTATTTTTTAAAAAAATAATTATTAAATATCAATAAAAATGGTTAAATAATTAATGTAATTTAACTCTAAATTGTATTACAAAAAAAAAAGAGTTCAAATTATATGGTTTTGTAAAAAAAAAAAAAAAAAAAGTTCTTTTATCGACAATAAACATTTTCAAATTAATTTACAATTTTTGCAAATTATTGAATTTTTAATATTTAATAAAAAAAAAAACCTTTAAATAATTCCAAATTTCGTTAAAAATTTGGAAAATAACTGAATTTTTTGTTAATTCTGGAGGAAAAAAAAAAATTTGAAATTAAAATTTTGAAAAATAATTGTAGGATATTTAAAATACCTTTTTAAATAATTCGAAATTTTTTGTAGAATTTAATCGAAAATTTAGAAAATGAATTGAATTTTTCAATATTGAAAAAATTTATTTTAATTTCAAAAAGAACTTAAATTTAGAAAAAAATAAAAATTAATTTTAAAGGACAATGAAGATGAAATTGCGGAATTAATGAGAGCGAGTACAACAATAAAAAAGAATGCAGTTGTTAATCGAAAAAAAGCAAAACAAGCGCGCGAATTAGAAAATATAAAACGTATGATTGATTCGGAAAATGAATTAAATACCGAGGAAAGAGCAACGAGTGAGTATTATTTTTCATTGTCAATTATTCAAAATGATGATTATTTAAATGAAAGAAATAAAATTATTTTCGTTTTAATCAAGTTTTATGCTTTATTCAAGAATTTGCCGAATCATATTTACAAAAATTACATACAACACTTGAATCATCGGATCCCGAGACATTTAAGGCGATTATTAAATTATTTCTCGAATATAGCGAGAAACTTGATAATATTTTACAAACGGAAAATGAAAATGAATTAAAAACCGATGAGGGTTTGTTACTTTTTAAATTTCAATTTACGTACTTTTAATACCTAATTAAATAATAATAATAATTTAATTATATAAATAAATAATTTTTTTTAATTTTGATAATAAAATTGTTTTTAGGCAAAAATGAGAGAAAATCAAAATTAAATGATTTACCGGGAACAAAAGATATGGTGGCTGTTAATTTTTATCGTGAGGTTTGTGAGAAATTAAAAAATTATCCCGATATGTCAACGGATTTTTTATTATTTCTCAATTCATATCAAGCTGGTATTGTTAATAAATCATTGGAATGGATGATGTTACAAAGAATGCAAGAATTTGTTCAAGTTGCACAAATTTATTTTGCCAAACAACCATCGCGTTTAACAAAAGTAATGCAATCAATTTCACAACTTGCATCGGCGCCTTATACATCATTGAAAAATGTTCACGATGCAATTAGTCCAATTCTTAAGGGAAGTCCAATTGTTATGGATTTATTTCTACAAGTTTTTCCCCAAGGAAAACCGCCAGAGAGGTAATTATTTTTAGTTTTTTAAATTTTATTTTCTAATACTTAACAAAAATTTAAATAAAAAAAAAAAAAATTGCATAAAAAAATCTAAGTAAAAAGATTTATTAAAAAAATTTTATTTAGATTTTTTTTTAAATATAAACATAAATTAAAAATAAAAATCTGGAAAAAATTTAGATTTAAAAACTGTAGAGAAAACTGTTTTTTAATTACCTAATATCATTTTTCTTTCATTTTTAATTTTTGTTAATTTAAAATAAAAATTTTTTTGATTTAGTACAAGGAGAAATATTTTTTCTCTTTTTTATTTTAGTTTATTTGCGCCGCAATTTTTTGAAAATATCACCTGTCCAGTTGGTCCACATGACAAAAGTAAAATTTCGACTCTTGATCTTCCGGATTTATATGAAAATATTGAATTACCTGTATCGACAACACAGGAAGATCCTTACGGTGGGGAAAATTGTAAATGTAATTGTCACAATTCCTCGGATTCAAAGCTCAAAAGTGGAAATGAACATTGCGCTTCCTGTGGGACAAGGGTGAGAAAAATTTCTTGTCTTTCTTTCTCTTTTTTTTTTTATTAATAAATAATAATTTTCGGAAAAAAAATTAATTGTCACAGGCTTCGAAGTGATACATTAGGGTAAAAATACTTGAAAACTGAAAATATAAAAAAAATACCGACACAGAAATCTACTATACCGACAAATGGTAAAACAGTTTTTTTCGAAAAAATTACCGACCTTGAAATTTACCTTACCGATTGATGATAAAGAAATTTTTTTGGAAAATGAAGATACAAAAAATTACCGACACAGAAATCTACATTACCGACTGATGGTAAAACAGGGTTTTTTTAAAAAAAATAACAATAGAAAATTTACCTACCTAGAAATCTACCTTACCGACTAATGGTAAAACCGTTTTTTTTGAAAAAATTAAAATATAAAAAATATCGATACAAAAATCTACCTTACCGACCGATAGTAAAACAGGTTTTTGACGTTACTAACTTTTTAAAACTGTTTTACCATTAGTTGGTAAGGTAGATTTCTATGTCGGTAATTTTTTATATTTAAATTTTACATAAAACTGTTTTACCATCCGTCGGTAAGGTAGATTTATAGTCATTTTTCAAAAAACTGTTTTATCATCAGTTGGTAATATAGATTTCTTTGTTGGTAATTTTTATATCATCATTTTCCAAAAATTTCTTTACCATTAATCGGTAATGTAGATTTCTAGGTCGGTAATGTTTTATATTGTCATTTTTCAAAAAACCTGTTTTAATATCCGTCGGTAAGGTAGATTTCTAGTTCGGTAATTTTTATATTTTCATTATTCAAAAATTTTCTTTACCATCAATCAGTAATGTAGAGTTCTATGTCGGTAATGTTTTGTATGGTCATTGTTTCAAGAAAACCTGTTTTACCATCAGTCGGTAAGGTAGATTTCTAGGCCGGTAATTTTTATATTTTCATTTTTCAAAAAATTTCTTTACCATCAGCCTGTAAGGTAGTGTTCTGTGTCCGTAAATTTTATATTTTTCTTTTTTAAAAAAAAACGTGTTTTACCATCCGTCGGTAAGGTAGATTTATAGTCATTTTTCAAAAAACTGTTTTATCATCAGTTGGTAATGTAGATTTTTTGGTTGGTAATTTTTATATCATTATTTACCAAAAATTTCTTTACCATTAATCGGTAAGGTAGATTTCTAGGTCGGTAATTATTATATTTTCATTTTTTTAAAAATTTCTTTACCATCATTCAGTAATGTAGAGCTCTAGGTCGGTAATGTTTTATATTTTCATTTTTCAAAAAAACCTGTTTTACCATCAGTCGGTAAGGTAGATTTCTAGGCCGGTAATTTTTATATTTTCATTTTTCAAAAAATTTCTTTACCATCAGCCTGTAAGGTAGTGTTCTGTGTCCGTAAATTTTATATTTTTCTTTTTTAAAAAAAACGTGTTTTACCATCCGTCGGTAAGGTAGATTTATAGTCATTTTTCAAAAAACTGTTTTATCATCAGTTGGTAATGTAGATTTTTTGGTTGGTAATTTTTATATCATTATTTCCCAAAAATTTCTTTACCATTAATCGGTAAGGTAGATTTCTAGGTCGGTAATTATTATATTTTCATTTTTTTAAAAATTTCTTTACCATCATTCAGTAATGTAGAGCTCTAGGTCGGTAATGTTTTATATTTTCATTTTTCAAAAAAACCTGTTTTACCATCAGTCGGTAAGGTAGATTTCTAGGCCGGTAATTTTTATATTTTCATTTTTCAAAAAGTTTCTTCACCATCAATCGGTAATGTAGAGTTCTTGTTCGGTAATTTTTATATCTTCATTTTCCAAAAATTTCTTTACCACTATCGGTGAGGTAGATTTCTAGTTCGGTAATTTTTATATTTTTATTATTCAAAAATTTTCTTTACCATCAATCAGTAATGTAGAGTTCTATGTCGGTAATGTTTTGTATGGTCATTGTTTCAAGAAAACCTGTTTTACCATCAGTCGGTAAGGTAGATTTCTAGGCCGGTAATTTTTATATTTTCATTTTTCAAAAAATTTCTTTACCATCAGCCTGTAAGGTAGTGTTCTGTGTCCGTAAATTTTATATTTTTCTTTTTTAAAAAAAACGTGTTTTACCATCCGTCGGTAAGGTAGATTTATAGTCATTTTTCAAAAAACTGTTTTATCATCAGTTGGTAATGTAGATTTTTTGGTTGGTAATTTTTATATCATTATTTACCAAAAATTTCTTTACCATTAATCGGTAAGGTAGATTTCTAGGTCGGTAATTATTATATTTTCATTTTTTTAAAAATTTCTTTACCATCATTCAGTAATGTAGAGCTCTAGGTCGGTAATGTTTTATATTGTCATTTTTCAAAAAAACCTGTTTTACCATCAGTCGGTAAGGTAGATTTCTAGGCCGGTAATTTTTATATTTTCATTTTTCAAAAAATTTCTTTACCATCAGCCTGTAAGGTAGTGTTCTGTGTCGGTAAATTTTATATTTTTATTTTTCAAAAAAAAACGTGTTTTACCATCAGTCGGTAAGCTAGATTTCCAGGTAATTAATTAATTTTAAATCTATCAAAAAATTTTTTTTATTTTATAACAATTTTTTATTGTTTATATCTTATTTAAAATTTAATTTAAAAATTGAATATTTTTTTGTTTAAAAAAAAAACTAGTTTCTCAATGGTAGAATTTATCTTCAAACATCTGAAGGTTTACGACCGGCAAAAATAACATTTCCCGGTGAAAATAATGAAAAATTGGAGAATATTGCACGTGTCTCATTGAAACAAGCGGAAAAATTTATTCACGCCCCACCAACACAACAGAAACGAAGGAGAAAATCATCGAAAAATGATTCAATTAACGATGAAACAAGTAACAGTGGAAAAACAATGTCAACAATTGGTGCATTTAAAATATCACCAATTAAAGAAGCAACAATGACAATGACAACAACAACAACAACAGCAACAACAACAATAACAATGACGCCATCATCAACGTCAATGATGATGATGACGACGGTGATGTCGACAACAACAACAACAACATCATCATCATCATTATTATCATCATCAACAACAATGATTCACGATGAAAATTTGGAAAAATTAATAGCAAAACCAAAACGTGGTCCAAGATCACCGCCAAAAAATGCTCAACAACCATCAACAAGTGGTGTTAATAGTAATAAGAGAACAATTTTAATTTGTAAAAAGAAACGTGATTTAAGAGGTGATTTTAAACGTGATATAAAACAAGAGAAAAATTCACAAAATAGTTCCAATGAATCATTGTCGAATCAAATTCAACAATCGGAAGAATTTATGGAACATTGTAAGTATTTTTTTTTTAATTTCAGAAAAAAAATAATAATAATGGGGCGCCTGATTTTCCCATAAAAATTTTCATTTTAAAGTATTTTATAAGAAATAATTATTTTTTAGCCGAATTTCACAATTTTCGAATAAAAATTTTACAAATTTTCTTAAAACGAATTTTTACTTAACAAAATTTTAAGCATCGAATTTTTGTCAGAATTTTATTTTACATGTATTTTCTTTATATCTATTACTTTTTATTTAAAAGAATTTTAATTTAAACGAATTTTGAATTTAACAGAATTATATCATTCAATCGTATTTTTTAAATGAATGAAATTTTAATTCAACAAATTTTTAATTTGTCCCAATTTTTATTTTTACGAATTTTTTTGTCGCCGAATTTTGTATTTGTTCGAAATTACAAATTAACTGAACAAACAATCGACAGAATTTTAATTCGTCCAAAATTACAAATTGACCGAACAAACAATCGACAGAATTTTAATTTGTCCGAAATTACAAATTGACCAAACAAACAATTGAAAGAAAGTTTTTTGGCGCAATTCTTGAAAATTGACCAATCAAGAAAATTGTGATTAATTAATTTTAAAAATTGCGCCAAAAACTTTCTGTCAATTTTATAATTTCGGACAAATGAAAAATCGATGTCTTAAAAATTCGGACAAATTAAAATTCGTATGAATTAGAATTTTTGTCATTTAAAAATTTCAATCACATGAAAATTCAATTGAATGAATGAGAATTTTTTTAAATTGAAAATTCGATTAAATTAAAATTTTCTTTTATATAAAAAGTCATTTAAAGAAAAATGATTGTAAAATAAAATTTTTGCCAATCAAAAATTTGGGTATCTAGTTTAAAATTTTGTAAAAATTTTCGTATAAAAAGAAATTCTATATTTCAATATTAAAAAAAAATAAAAATATATATTTCTCTTTGTTTTTTACAGCAAATGTGAAAATTGACAGTTTTATTGATGATGACGATAGAAATTGTGGTGTGGAAAAAATTGCCATGAAATCAATAAAATTATCAGAATCAAGTGATTCTGATGGTAGTGTTTCTGAATTAATTGATGAACCATTGGAAATTAGACCATGGTCCAGACAAGAGGATGCAATTCTTTTGCAAAGTATTAAAAAAGAATATTCAGAGAAGAGTTTTGTCACTATAAGTCAAACATTGGAAAATCGTACAATTCAACAGGTAAATGAAAAAAAATTAAATTCAAAAAAACAGAAATTCATTTTTTAATAATTTCCATTGATTTTTAGAAAAAAAAAAAGAAAATTTCCTTGTTCGAGAAAACCATGAACAAATTTCGCGTAATCCGCGAATTAATTTTGCGAAAATCGTGACTTATTAAAATATTCGCGAAAATTAATTTTATATAAAAAATATTGCTTTAATTTTTGTTTTTTTTCTTTTTTTTCCAGGTAAAAGATCGTTGTCAAATGTTATTGACGCTTTTGGGAAAAATTTCTTAAAACTACACACAAAAAAGGAATTTATGATTTTTATCAATTATTTGAAGTGTTATAAATACTTGTAAATACTTTCGGCAATCTGTGATAAAAAAAAAAACAAGTTGTAAATTTGTTCATTACATGAACATTTTGCTTCCTCTTTACGATCAGCAAAAAAAAATTGCTTCCTCGTGAAGAAAGCATAAACATTGAAATAAATATACAAAAAGTAATATAATAATATAAACATTTGAGTACCTATAAATTTGAGTTAAATTTAAAGAATTAATGAAAGTTAAAAATTCATATTTTAACCGAAATTTCGAAATATTAATGAAAAATAAATAGAATTAATTGACTTTTCATTTAAATTAAAAAAACCTTTCTTTATTTTTCCCCGTAACAATTTCCTATTACCGGTACAATTTTTTTTTTTGTAATATTATATAACTTATATTTGTGAGATTTTTTAATCACTCGAGGGAAATAATTTCTTTGTTCTTTTTTTTTTGTAATATATATATATACAGTTTAATAATTCCCGCGAGTGAATAGAGCAAAAAAAAAACACTTTCTTAAATCTAAATACATAAAAATGTACGTTAAAAAAAAGTATCTAATTTTGTTTTCTTTTTTATTACAATGAAAATAGTTATTTTTTTTAACGTACGTTTTATTTTTTTTTACACATAATTTTGCTTTTTTCGTCAAAATTTTTTTTCGTGATTTACAAATGAAAGTACTGAGAATAAAAAAAAATTTACTAACTTTAAATTTTTCTATTTTGAATTTCTTTTCTTTTTATATTTACAAGGGAATATAAATTTTTCTGTGCCCGAAATTTTTAATCACTGTTATCGTTTATTTTTTAATAGGTTTTTTTTTATTTTTTATATCAATTGCCAGTGATTTATCAATATTTTTCATTTATCCTGCAATTTCATTATCAATTTTGGGTTTTTTAATTATTATTTGCCTTTCTAGTTACCACATTTTTTCATATTTTCCCATGCAGTATCTAATAATAATTTATAGTTATCCCTTTTGTTATTATTTGTTTGTTTTTTTAATTCTCCCGTAAAATTGCCAAACTTTTTTTTCTCTTTAATCGTGCGAGAAATGTTTCTTAAAAAATATAAATTAATTTACTAGGAGGAGAGCTAAAACATAATAAACTTATCGTAATTAATTAAAAAACAAAGAAACAAAAAAAAAACAAAAAATTAAGAAAATAAATGTTATCTCTGTTAGAGAATCTTAAACAATAAAGTGAAATTTGAAGAATGAACTGATTAAATTAACAATAAAAGTTTTTAATTTTAATTTTAATTAACAAATTAAATTAACATTTAAAATTGTTAATTAAAATTAATTGATTAAATTAACAATAAAAGTTTTTTAATTTTAATTAACAAATTAAATTAACATTTAAAATTGTTAATTAAAATTAATTGATTAAATTAACAATAAAAGTTTTTTAATTTTAATTAACAAAATTAAATTAACATTTAAAATTGTTAATTAAAATTAATTGATTAAATTATCAATTGAAAATTTGTTAATTAAAATAAACAATTTTTGTGTATAATTCAAAATTATCGAATTCTGCAAATTTTTTTAAGTGACGATACTTTTTAAAAAAGAAAACAAAAAAAATGTAAATTAATGCATGCGGAAAAAATAGGTGAGAAGAAAAAAAAAAAAAAAACAAGGAGAGCATTTTTTAAAATACTTCCATATTGTCGACGTCACCAATATCGAGAATATCTTCGTAATCAATTTCTTGTCTCCCCGGTGTTGGATGCTCCGAATGATCAGGATCATCGGTCACTGGACTTGGCGGTGGATTTGAAACCGTTCTCTCAGAATCCAATGGCGTACGATCCATTCCTTCGCCACGTCTCAATCTTGCCTCCTCTGCAATTTGTTTTGTCGAGAGTTCTGCTCTTGTCAATAGTGCCGGTAAATCTTTATCAGATCCATCTGAGAAAACAAAAAGTAATAAAATAATAAATAATAATAATAATAAAATAATATTTTCAAAATTATAAAATTAATTAATAGTCCAAAATTTTTATGGAACTAAAACATTATTTTATTTCCATAAAAATTATTAATTAAGAATAAAATTAAGAATTAATTTAAAAATTTTTTTAAGAATTTTTTTTTTTTTTCTTTTTTTTGGCTTTATTTCTGTTTGAAAATTAATTTTTCAAATTTTATCGAAAATAAATGATAATAATAATAATAATAATAATTACTCTCAAGACGTCGCATAAGTTCTTTTGTTTGTCGTCGCCTTTCATTTGCATCCTGTTGCTTTTTTTGTTTTTCAATTTCTTTTCTGTCAACATAAAAAATTTCTCTTATCTTTTCCTGGGGCAAATGATCATCATTTTTGACAAGATAAAGATAAACGCCACCTGCTGTTCGTCTACGTGATCCATTCATTATTAACATACCGCCTTCTTGTTCAATTTTTTTTGTTTTTTGAAAAAAATCAATAGCCTTCTCTTTGCCCAGAATGTCGACGATTCTTCCTAAAAAAAAAAAACAAAAAATGGTGAGAGAATTACAAAAAAAAAATGTTACGAACATTGACGTTAAAGTGTAAATATTTTCACGTTTAAAAAAATTTCAAAAAACAATTTTGAAAAATAAAATTCACATCATTTTTCTCCTGATTATTTAAAAAAACAAAAAAAACTATCTATTGTTAAATTTTGATTAACTTTTTGTTTTTTGGCACAACTATAGGAGCGTATGATTTATTCCATAAAAATGATTTTTCACATAAATTTTTATTTTACAAAATAGCATTTAACAGAGATTTTATTTTTTTAACGAATGCTCACTCAACGAAATTTACAAAAGTACCGAATTTTTATTTGACAGAATTTTTATTTTACAAAATTTCTCTTTAGCCAACTGTTTCTTGAAAAGAATTCTAATTTAATCTAATTTTTAATTTATTAGAATTTTCATTTAATATAGAATTTTAAGTAATTCGAATTTTTAAATCCAAGAACTTGGAATCAGCTTACTTATATAAAATATTTAGTATTTTAAAACAATAATTTTAATTAAAATCTCCAAAAATTCAATTATTTCTAAAAATATTAACTCGAAGTCTTCCAAATTTCAATTATTTATAAAATTTGTATCTAAAAATTTTTGATTAATTAATAATTTCAATTATTCAAAAATGCAATTAAATAAAATATTTTTTAATTAAAAATCCTCTAAAATTCAATTATAGTTTGAAACATTGTTAATAATATTCAGTAATTTTAATTTACTAAAATTTTAATTAAAAATCTTCAAAAATTCAATTATTTCTAAAAAATCTTAACTCGAACTCTTGCAAAATTCAATTATTTATAAAATTTGTATCTCAAAAATTTTTGCTTAATTAATAATTTCAATCCAATTATTTAAAAATTTAATTAAATAAAACATTTTTTAATTAAAAATTCTTTGGCTTTTGGACAAAATTAGTAGTAAAAAAGTATAAAAAAAAAGTAAAAAAAAGTGTGTCACTTCGAAGCCAGAAAATTTAAAAACAAATCTTTCGAAAATTATATGATTTAAAACAGTTTTCAATTGAAAATTTCCCTAAAATTCAATTATTGTCTAAAGTTTAAAAAAAAAAAAAAATTCACCAATTAAAAATGAAAGTTTCAATTAATAACCTCCTGAATTTTAATTATTATTATTTCTAAAAATTTTAACTCAAACTCTTCTAAAATACAATCACTATACTAAATTTTTTATTTAAAATTCCTTTTTTGAATAATTTAATTTTAATAATTTTCAATCAAAAATTTTCGAAAATTCATTTACTTAAAATATTTTCCAATTCATAATTCTTCAAAGTTTAATTATTGTTTAAAGCTCACAAAATATCTACAGAAATTAAAATTTACGAAAATTTTCATTAAAAATCTCTAAAAATTCAATTATTTTTAAAAATCTTAACTCGAACTCTTCCACAATTTAATTATTTCTAAAATTCTTTGCTAAATTAATTATTTCCAATAAATTTCATTCCAATTATTCAAAAATTCAATTAAATAAAACGTTTTTTAATTAAAAATTCTGCAAAATTCAATTACTATTTAAAATTTTGTTAATAATTTTCAGCAATTTTAATTTACTAAAATTTTAATTCAAAATCTCCTAAAATTCAATTATTATTAAAAATGTTGATTCAAATTTTTTGATGAAATAATTATTTCGAATAACTTTAATCAAAATCTTGGTATTTCAATTATTTAAAACATTTCTCAATTCAAAATACTTTAAAATTCAATTATTGTCTGAATTTCGGTTAAATTAGAATTATTTAAAAATAAAACAGTTGGATAAAGAGAAATTTTGTAAAATAAAAAATTCTGTGAAAAAATTTACCAAATTAAAAATTTTATTCAGTAAAAAATCGTTTAAGAAGAAATTATGTTAAATGCAATTTTTAAAAAATGAAAATTCGTGTAAAAAATAATTATATAAAGCGGCCAATAATAAATCATCAATTTTGCGAGCTTTTAGGAATCGAAAAAAAATTCGCTAATATTTAAAATTCTTGAATACTGTTATTTTATAAATTTTTTTTTTCGAAAAAAGTAGCATTTAGTGGCTTTTGGCCAAAAATTGGTAGTAAAAAAGTAGCTGTGTCGAAAAAAAGTATTAAAAAATTAAAAAAGTGTGTCACTTCGAAGCCTGATTTTAAAAATTTCATCATTCAAATTTCGCTTAAAAAAAAAAAAAAAAAAAAAAACACGAAATATTCAATTTCCAAAGCAAAATAATCAAATTTTGTTCCAAAGATATCTGAAAAAATATCGATTTTCATTTTATAAATGTATTTATATTTTAGTTATTATTAAATTATTATTTATTTTCTTATAAAAATTAGATAATAATAATAATAATAATAATAATTTCATAAAATAGTTTTAAAAATTTAGAAAATAATTAAATTTTCGTATAGACGTTTAAGAATTTTAAATAATTCAACATTATTGTTACTATTTACTATTATTTTGATATAATTAATAATATTAATATTATTATTATATTATTAATTATAATTTATATAATTAACAATAATGTCGAATTATTTAAAAATTCTTTTAATTAAACGTCTATAAAAAAATTTAATTATTTTCTAAATTATTAATAAAATTTTACGAAATTTTTAGTATTATTAAAAATTTTTATAATTAAAATATCTACGAAAATTCAATTATTTTAGAAAAAAATTTTACGAAATTTTGCAATTATTTAAAAATTCTTTTTTTATTAAAATATCTATGAAAATTGCAATTATTTTCAAAATTGTAATTCAAATTTCACGAAACTGTTTCCCCCCCCCCCCCAAAGAAAATTTAGATATTAAATTCTAGGAAAATTCAATTATTTTACCAAAATTTTACGAAATTTTGCAATTATTTAAAAATACTTTTTTACTTTATTTATTTTACTTTACTTTACTTTACTTAAAATATCTATGAAAATTGCAATTATTTTCAAAATTGTAATTAAATTTAATTGTAATAATTAATTAACATCATTTAAAAATATTTTAATATAATTAAACATTTTGTTTTGAAATTAAATGCAATTACAAGAATTTTAAGGTGAAAAAAAATTAAAAAATAAAATAATTATTCTGATTATTTTCATGTTAATAGCAATAAAAATAAAAATAATAAATAAATGAATGAATTAAAAGACATAGAGGGAAAAAAAGGAAAAAAAAGTTGATTCTTACTGATAAGAACATCCTTATGTTCCGAAAGTTTAGCAGCAATATCGGCAGCAACATCAGCATCACTTGATTCTAAATTAACATTAAGATCCGACATAACACGTGATGAACCTTTATGATCATCATCATCATCATCATCATCATCAACATTATTCGTATTATTTTGCCGTCTTTTTCCTAATCTCAATTTAACATTACGTCTCTCGGCATAATTTCGTTTATTCGTCAGTCTTGGCTCATTATTTCTTTCCTCGTCTGATGAATTATTATCATCATCATCATCATCATCATCATCGTCATCATTATTTAATTTTGATAATTCTTCACGTTTCTTTTTAAATGAATAACCTAATGTAAAATCATAACTTTCAACTGTTCGATCTGTATAATTATTTCTTGTCACTCCACATGAGACAAGATCCTCAGTTATTGATTCCTCTTGAACTTGCATATTCCAAATTTTAAATTTATCATTTTTATTTTTATTTCTACATAAATTATCAACTCGTTCGGTGCGCTTTGGTTTTATTTTGATTTTTGGTCGTTTTGTTTTTAAACGCGCTGTTGTATCAGAATCGGAATCGGAATCCGATGATTCCAATGTAACATCATCTGATTCATCATCGCTGTATTTCATTTTATTACCAATTTCATCACGTGATGATTGTATTGCATGTGGACGTTGAAGAACATTATAGGTACCAAATGCATCTTCCGGCTGTTAAAAATTAATTGTTATCATAATAATTATCTACAATTATCTTTAAATTAATAAAATTATATCTAAATAGTTTAATAAAAAAAAAAAAATTGAGAAAAATGTTTTAAAAAAACTAAATTAACAAAAAATAGATAAATAAATAGATAAAGATAATAATAATTATCTACAATTATCTTTAAATTAATAAAATTATATCTAAATAGTTTAATAAAAAAAAAAAATTAAGAAAAATGTTTTAAAAAAACTAAATTAATAAAAAAATTGTTAAATTACTATTAAAAAAATAAACTATTATTATTATTATTATTATTATTATAAAAGTTATAAAAATCATAATTATCTACAATTATCTCTAAATTAATAAAAAAAATTGTTAAATTACTATTAAAAAAAAATTATTATTATTATTATTATTATTATTATTATTATAATTATTTCAATTTTGTTTTTTTTTTCGATAATTTTTAACGATGTTCTATTTTTTCATTTATTAATATAATTTTTGGTTTAAAACCATTTTAATTTTATTTTAAAAAATTTGTTTATTTTTATTAGTGAACTGTTTTTTTTATTTTATAATGAGAAGCGTGAATAAGTTTTAAAATTATTTTTTTTAAATTTGACATTTTCTTTTAGTCGAATTTTTCTTTCTTCGTAATATTTAACAGAAATTTCGATTTTTTTTTAGGTTAGAAACAAAATTTTTACTTAAACAAATTTAGAGAATTTCTATATTAAAATTAAAATAATTTATATTTATTTTATTATTATTATTATTATTATTATTATTATAAAAGTTATAAAAATCATAATTATCTACAATTATCTCTAAATTAATAAAATTATATCTAAATAGTTTAATAAAAAAAAAAATTAAGAAAAAGGTTTTAAAAAAACTAAATTAATAAAAAAATTGTTAAATTACTATTAAAAAAATAAATTATTATTATTATTATTATTAATGTAATATAATTATTATAATAATAATTATAATATAATAATTAAAAATAAAAAAGCATGAATGAGCTCTTAAAGAATTTTTTGAATTTAAAAAATTTTTATAATAATAATAATAATAATAATAATAACTTATTTTTTTATTAATTTAGTTTTTTTAAAACCTTTTTCTTAATTTTTTTTTTTATTAAACTATTTAGATATAATTTTATTAATTTAGAGGTAATTGTAGTTAATTATGATTTTTATAACTTTTATAATAATAATAATAACAATAATAATAATAATAATAATAATAATAATAATAAAATAAATATAAATTATTTTAATTTTAATTGAAATTCTCTAAATTTGTTTAAGTAAAAATTTTGTTTCTAACCTAAAAAAAAAATCGAAATTTCTGTTAAATATTACGAAGAAAGAAAAAATTCGATTAAAAGAAAATGTCAAATTTAAAAAAAATAATTTTAAAACTTATTCACGCTTCTCATTATTATAAAATAAAAAACAGTTCACTAATAAAATAGACAGATTTTTAAATGAAAATTTTTTTAAACCAAAAATTAATAAATGAAAAAATAGAACATCGTTAAAAATTATCGAAAAAAAAAAAACAAAATTGAAATAATTATAATTATCTTCGCAAGCAAACGAATTTAGTCATTTTTTTCCGCATATATAAATATGATAAATATTTTGACAGCTATATTTAAAGACAAAAGAAAAAAAGACGACACAAGTTAAAAATTTTCATTAATATTAACGAAATTCTAAGTCATTACAATATTTTTGGAAAAGAATTATTGTGCAAAAAAAAAAAAAAAAATGCCAAAATTAATTGTTTATTGTTATAATTTTTTCAAATAAAATGAAAAAAAATTTTAATTATCGATTTTATATTACTAATAATCAAACCATCTACCATAATAATATAGAAGTAAAAACAATTAATTACAATCTATTTTTCTAAATTTTTTGAGGTTATGTTCGATTTCTGTCAAAAAAATTTTGGTACTGACCTCGTCGTCAAGAACTTCTCCATCCTCAAGATCCAAAGATTCTGCTTCCATAATTTAATAATAATTTCACTCAATGGAAATTAAAAGTAATTTTAACACTTTATTTCAGGTGAATTTAAAAAAAAAAATTGCACTAAGAGCTGAGAATTTTTTTTTTTTTTTTTTTAATGAAAATGACACAATCACAGCTACTACATATATATGTATACATATATATATATATTTAGCAAAATGCAGTAAAATGCAACTGGTTTGCAACGAACTCTCGCGTTAATAAAAAGCACTATTGTAGTTTAATTTTCAATTTGAAAAATATACATTTTCTTAGCAAAGAGAAATTATTTAATATTAAAGGGTTTTCATTTTTTTTAAAATTTCTTTAGGAAATAATTAGAAAAAGTAAAATTTCATTTTTTTTATCGCAATTTAGAAATGTAGTAGTTGTTTTAAGTAACTTGAAGTTGGCTGTATATCGAGAATTTCAAGTACCAACTTTGTAGAATAACTGGCGGGAAATTCAAATCATTACAAAAATAATTTTTTTCCCGTAAACAAAATTATAGAATTGAATAAATAATATTAAATATAAAAATTAATTATTCTAATTAAAATAATAATATTTCGAAAATTCGTAAAATTATATCTTAATTCAATTTTAATGGAAATTATTTAAATTTCTAAAGAAATTATAGAAAAAAAAATATATATTTTCTCTTCCAATTTTATAAATGTTCCTTGCAAAGAAAATTTGTATTTGCAGTTTATTTATTTATTTTTCATTTTTTGCTAAATAGTTTTTTTAAAAAAGATAAAATTTTATATTAAACAAAAAAATTTTTTTTCGCAATAACTTGAAATTGTCCACAATATTTAAATTACCAATTATTAGGGGAAAAAAAATAATTGGCGGGAAATTCAAATTATTTTTCAAATAATGCAAATTTGAAATATTTAAAAAAAACCAATTTTTTTTTGCAGACAAATATTAATAGAATAATTTTAATTATTTCTTAATGGAATAAAATGTGAAAATTTCTAAAAAAACAATTTTTTAATTGAACTTTTCAAAAATTTAGTTTCTTTTGAAATCGAAATTGAACTTTTTCTACACAAGTTGTTATAAAATTTATATATTTATAAAAAAAAGGAATATGGAAAGAAAAATATTACCTTTTTTTTTGGTATAAAAAGTAGTTTAATAATGATAGAAAAAAATTAAGAAATTATCGAAGAAATCCAAAAAATTGTTTTTTAGGTCCTAGTTTCTCTTCCCTCTTTAATTGTGAAATAACTGCTTCATTAAGTTTAATTCCAACTTTGGTTCCGATCTAATTAATCCAAACAAAGTGAAAAAAGAAATTTAAAAAATAACTAAAATTGAATTTAAATTTCAATTAAAATAAAATTTATTTATTTAATTTCTTTTCTTTTTTTTTTAAATTTCTCTAAAATGCAAATAAAATTAATCAATTTTGAATCTAATTTTAGAAATTGGAAAATAATTATCAAACAATTCATTTAAATAAGTAAAAAACTGTATGCAAATTACAGCTAATTAATTTAATTTCCATTTTAGAAATATTTTTAAATATTTAAAAATTTCTAATTAATCTAATTTTTTTTCAAAATTTCTCTAAAATTAATCATTTTAGAATCTAATTTTTTTGATTACAAAAATAATTAATTAGTATGCAAAAATATATCGAAAAAAATCTAGTATGCAAAAAAAATAATTGATTTAAATAAATAATTAAATAAATAAAAAGCTCTAAGCAATTTAGAACTTTTTGCAAATTTCTAATTAATCTAATTTCCTTTTTTTCAAATTTTTTCTATAAAAAAAAAATTAATCACTTTAGAAATCTAATTGTAGTAATTTGAAAAATAATTAATTATTATGAAAAATAATTGAAATAAATAAATAAATATTTTTACCTCTAAACATTTTCCCAAAGTTGTTGATAAAAGACTTCCGTATCCCATTTTTATTGTTGACGTTATTTTTCCATTGGGCATTACTGACATTATTATACTTGCCGCACTGCAAACTTCCTCTTGCGATGTGGGATCAACAATGCAATTATCTCCAATCTACGAATTTTGAGAAAAAGAACATTTTAATTTTGAATTAATTTCATTTTAATAAAATTTTAAAATATTTAAATTAATTTCATTTTAATTTAATTTAAATGAATTTAATTTTACAAAAATATTTTAATATTTACAATATATATTATTAAGTTATTAAATAGTTTAAATTTAAATTTTATTCGATTAGAATTTGTTTTTTCGAAAATAATAAATGTACCTTGCAAACAGTGACAAATAAGGGAAAATTCGTCACATCCAATTTAATACAATCATAAATATCATCTGATAAATGAATATCAGCCTCTGAGCCATCAATTGTTGCCGAAGTGACTTTAGGAATTTCTGTACAATTTAAAGCCGCTTTTACACCAACGCCAACAACGTCAAACAAATTTCCTCCACATTGAAGAATCTAAAAAAAAAAATTTCTTTAATTCTTTCTTTTGTTTTTTTTATTAGCATTTTTTATATAAATAAAAAAATTGTTTCTTGTTTTTTCTATAAATAAAAAAAATTCAACGATTTTCCAAATTTGTTTCCCCTCTATTTTTTTTTTTTAAACTTTATAATTTACTTTAAAAAAAAATTAAAAATTGTTTCTTGTTTTTTCTATAAAAAAATTGAAATTCAATCATTTGCAAATTTTTTTCCTCCCTCTAAATTTTTTTAGGAAAACTAATTTTATAAGTTATTTTATAAAAAAAAAAAAAAAAAAAATTTTTTAAATTGTTACCAAAAATAAAAAAAATTACCAAAACGTCGACAAACATTTTCCAACATTTTTTATGTGGCAAAATGGAGAGAAAATTTAAATCAAAAGTTTGTGGCGATTGATAAGCCCGCGATAGAGCACTGCTTATTTCATTTGCCAAATCGTCACCTCCTTTACCCTCAAAATCAGGCGTTGCATTTGCTGAGCTGAAAATAAAAATCTAATATAGCATAAATAAAAAAATTTTATTTCGCGTAATTCAAATTTTTTATTTTATAATTCAAATAAAAATTAATTTAAAACAAATAGTACTTTTTTTTTTTTTAAAGTAAATAAAATTTATTTGAAAGTAAATAAATATTTATCTACTACATTTTCTCTAGATGTACAATTTATTTAAAAAATAAATTATTTATTAAACAAACAAAATTTATTTAATTTTTTAATCATATAATTAAGTTTTTTATTGAAAAAGATTTATGGAAATAAATAATTTTAACACTTTTTTTTAAATGTAAATTATTTCAACAGAAAAAAAAGTATTTATTTCTATAATTCAAGCTAAAAAAAAAAATTTGTTTTAAAAAGAAATTTATTAAAAAATAATTTTTTGTAAAAATAATGAAATTAATACCAGTCGACGAAAAATTCAATTTTCCCCTCATAAGGCCTATCGGGAAATGGTGTATCAATTTCCATTTTAACTCCAACTAAAATATCACTATTACCCAAACGAACACGAGCCGAACCATTAACTTGTTCCATTAATTTTGTTTCTATTTCCAACATTCGATATTCTAATCGTGATCGTCCATCAATTCTCGAGTCCGACTGTTTAAAAAACAAAAAATAATATAAATTTTCGTAATTATAAAAAAAAAAACAAAAAAAAATATAAATTTTCGTAAGTATAAAAATAAAAAATAATATAAATTTTCGTAATTATAAAAAAAAATAATATAAAAATTTTCGTAATTATAAAAAAAACAAAAAATAATATAAATTTATGTAATTATAAAAAAAAACAAAAAATAATATAAATTTTCGTAATTATAAAAAAAAAAAAAAATAATAGGTATAAATTTTCGTAATTATAACAAAAAAATAATATAAATTTTCGTAATTATAAAAAAAATAATATAAATTTTCGTAAGTATAAAAATAAAAAATAATATAAATTTTCGTAATTATAAAAAAAAAAAATTTCTAAATTCTAAATAAAATTATTCAAAAATACAGAAAAAAAATTACAATTAGTACATTAATCATAAGAATACTAATTTGGACTTTATAATATATATATATATAAACAATTATTAAAAATAATGAAATTAATTTTATTTTTTTTTTATTTCGAAATTTATTCTAAAAGTTAAAAAGTGTAAAATATGGAAATAAATAATAAAATTAATTAATAATAAAAAAAAGTAAACGAAGGCGAAAAGTTTATAAAAACTTTGTATTAATAAGTATACAATGAAATAAATTATTATTATTATAATAAAAAATAATAAAATAATTGTTAGTATTTAAAAAATAATTATTAGTATTTAAAAATACGGAATAAGAAAAATGGTTTTTTAAATGAAAATCCATTTGTTTATATCATAATTTTAAGGTTATGTTCCCCAGGGGGAAACGAATGGAAAAATATAACTCACATCAACTCCATGAAGAATAAATGTTTTCTCAGCCACGCTCAAGGCAATTTCAGCCATAATTTGAAGAAATTTTTCAATATTCTACTTTAATTTCGTTTTTAATTTAGTTAATTATATATTTTTAATTCTTCCACTTTTTCGCCTCTTATATTTTTGTTAAAACCACGTGGTCATTACCATTGTTGCCAACCTATACGATAGTTGTCAATTTACTATATGACCAACTTCACACTTGTTTTATATTTTGTTGTTTTTTTTTTGACGTAAAAAGCACTTATTTTTATTTATGTAAAATAGTAATATATATTTAATATTTATAAATTCAATGAATATATAGAAAAACAATTACAATGGGAGAAAAAGGAGTACATTTAACAGGAACCTCTTATTCTAAACCGAGTATTTTTGAAATTGGTGCTCAAGATTTATTGTCATTATCCCTTGAACCTGCGTTCAATAAACTTCTTACTGTAAGTTAATTGTAATTTTATTTTGTAATTTTAAAAATAAAAGTATAAAAAGTAGCCTATTAGTGAAAATTTAATTTCTTGCTTGTAATTAACATATTTTTTTTGTTTTAAATTGCGCCACCAACATAACCTTAAAATAATGTTCTAATACCCGCGAAATTTAAATTTATTTATTTACTTATATTGAATAGAAATTTATTTTTATTTATATAAAAAAAAAATAATGTAAATATTTAAATTATTTTACGTGGAAAAAATTAATTTCAGGTTTTAGCAAATTTATATCCAGCAAAATTTGGCACTTTTCTCAGATGGAAAGACGAAACTTTTATGTTGTTAAACGGTGCTTTACAACATTATTACCTCTGTCGTCACAGTTAGTTACAAATATTTTTTTTAATTTCAATAATTATTTTCCTATTTTATATTTTTTATTTCCTAATTTTTTAATTTTTTTTTTAATTGTGCAAATATTAATAATAATATAATTATAATAATAAAATAATAATAATAAGTCTAATAATTTTTTAAATAAATAATAAAAAATAAAGAAAATAAATAAATAATTAATTATAATTAGTTAATTATTATACAAATAATAAAGAAAATAATTTTTCAGGCGCTTCGTTTTCTGAAAAATTTTATGGACTGAAAAGAGTTTCTTTAAAAAATTCCAATACAATTACTAAATTAAGTAAAAATCAAAAGCAAGCTTCTTTAATTTTATTAATTCTTTTTCCATATTTAAATAAAAAACTCGATGCTTTGAGAAAAAAATATTCCCTTGAATTATCTAGTCCCAATTGTCCAGTAAGTAACAAAAATTCTTCTATTATTTAAAAATAACAATAATTATTAAATAATAATTGCAAAGAAAAAAAATTTCTACGATCTGGATAAATAATTTGTTTTTGTTATTATAATTTATAATAAAATTATTTTTATCCAGAACGTGGGAAATTTTTTTTTTTTTTTTTGTAATTATTATTAATCGATGGAAAAACTTTAAGTATTTTAAAAAATAATTATTAGTTATTATTTTAATAAACAGTAATTATTAAAAAATTATTATTCAGAATTATTATTAATAATTGCTAAATAATAATTATTGAAAAATTATTATTGAGAAATATTATTAATAATTACTAAATAATAATTATTACCGAATTATTATTGAGAAATATTATTAATAATTATTAAATAACAATTATTCAAAAATTTTGATTAATAATTACTAAATAATTATTAAGAAATTATTATTAATAATTACTAATATAATAATTGTTATCAAATTATTATTATTAAGAATTATTAATAATTATAATAATTTTTTAATAGGTAATTATTATTTAGTAATTATTATTAATAAAATTTTTTAATAATTTCTAAATAATAATTATTACCGAATTATTATTGAGAAATATTATTAATAATTACTAAATAATAATTATTGAAAAATTTTTATTAAAAATTATTAAATAACAATTATTCAAAAATTATGATTAATAATTACTAAATAATTATTAAGAAATTATTATTAATAATTACTAATATAATAATTGTTATCAAATTATTATTAAGAATTATTAATAATGATAATAATTTTTTAATAATTATTATTTAGTAATTATTATTAATAAAATTTTTTAATAATTTCTAAATAAATAATTATTGAAAATTTCTTATGTTTTTTTTTGTTTTTAAACAGAAATTAAAAAGAAGGCTAATAACAGTTTTCATTAGCATTTACTATATCTGTGATACGATAAGAGAAATTTTAAAATTTCAAAATTTATTACTATACACCGCTGGAAAATCAAAGTATACATCGCCATTTTTGAAAATTTTCGATATAACATTATCCTATTCATTTATGAATCCCTCGATTATTATTACGGATCTTTTTTATAAAATCAAAAAAGGTACATTTACATTAAAAGACGGTGGTACAATACTTGAGGAGGTTGCCGTAAAATCATTGGAAATAGCGGCATTTATTTTTCGTTTTCTACAATATTGGGATAAGGAAAATTATGATAAAAGTTTAATTGCTCTTCCAACACCAGCTGCGCCGCCAGTAAGTGTTTTTTTTTAAAAAAGAAAAATTAAATTTCCCACTTTATTGTAAATTTTAATTTTTTAAATTATTTTACTTTCCCATTTATTAATTCAATTTTTAATATTAAAGATAATTAATTTTGAAGAAAATTGAATTTAATTATTTTTTTAAATTGGATATAATTTTGAGAACGAAAAAAAAAAAATTCAAATATATTAGTTTTAATTAACAAAAACAATTTAATTATATTTTTAATCGAATTTAATTTTGTAGATTGAAAAAAAAATTATTTAAATATAGAAAACATTTTTTTTTTTCAAATTTCATCAAGAAAAATGAAATTTTGTTTTTTAAATTGTAAATAAATTTTCAGATTACAGAAAAGGCAAAACAATTTCAAGGACTTTGTCCAATTTGTAAAAAACCATTTCGCACACGAACTGCAGTTGCTACTTCGGGGTAAGTAATTTTTTTTTCTCTCTTTCGTTTTGATAAAAAAGGAAATTTTTTTTTAGTATTTTAATTGCTAAATTATAAATTAGTTTTAATTTAGTAAATTATAATTTTGTTTTAATTTACTAAATTATAATTTAGTTCTAATTTCGTAATTTATAATTGAGTTTTAATTTACTAAATTATAATTTAGTTCTAATTTCGTAATTTATAATTGAGTTTTAATTTACTAAATTATAATTTAGTTCAAATTTCGTAATTTAAAATTTAGTTTTAATTCAATAAATTATAATTTAGCAAAATTAAAACAAAATTATAATTATTATTTATTTTAGGAGGGGTATTTTGAGGAAATTTTTTCCCATTTTTTTTTTTTTTCGTGTCAATACACAAATGTAACATGTAAATTTGTTTTTATTTCTTCAGATACATCTTTTGTTACCTATGCATTTTACCAGTAATACAAAGGTATGGAAAATGTCCTATTACAAATTATCCAGCTATCGAGGACGATTTGATTCGCCTCTATGAGCAGTAAAATTTTATATATATATATATTTATATTTATATATAACTTAAAAATTACCTACATTTTGTAAAAGGAATAAAAAATAGAATTTCTTGCTCTGTTTTCTTTTCTTTTCTTTTTTCACTATTTTAAAAGAAAAATTGATCATATTTTTTGTAATAAAACTCAGTTTAAAAATCAGTTTAAAAAATAAAAAAATTTGTGAAATCTTATTTTCTAATTTAAAATTTTTTTTACCCAACAGCGACTCCAATTTAATTTAGAATAAAATTTGTTAGGTCAAAAAGTATTTTTTTTTTTAAATTTATCAGTCAATTTCCATTCAACAAATTAAAAAATTCCCCTTTTTGTAATTTTCGCAATTTTTTTCTAATTTTACAAAATTTTTTTTATTTCAGTGTAAAAATAATTTATCCGATTTTTTTTTTTTTTTATCTCGACACGTGCGAGTATTTGCTTTTAAAAAAATATTATTACTAAAAAAAAAAATGTAAAACTACTAATGACTTTTCGTATTAAACTTACAAACTGCTATTGTACAATTTATTATCGCATTTTGAGAATATGGCGAGCTTAATTATCGTACAGCTAAAAAAAAACTACAGTAATAATAAAATTATCAAATATCGAAATTCGTTAATCGTTCATCTTATAATAAATTTTTCAATCAATGATTTTAAATTGACATTTGTAATTTTCTAACAAAAGTATAGAAAAAAACAAAAATTATTCAAAGGCACTATTTGGCTCGGAATTGTGCAAAAAAGCGGCTTAAAAAAAAAATTAAAATAAAAACGATTTTTAAAAAAAATAAAATTTTCTAGTTAATTTGTTTTGATAAAAATTTCAATTTTTGATAGAATTTTCATTTTGCGTTAAATTCTAAACGATTTACTATAAGAAGCAAGAGGCGGAAAAAAAAAAAAAAAAGGGAACTTACGAATTGTTTTTTAATCAAAGTTCCTCGAAAAAGGCAACTCTCGCTTTAGTTGAACCTGACTTGACTTTTTTCAATGTACTATATTTATTTTCGCCAAGTCTCACTTGTTCCTCGTGCAATTGATCCAATTCACATTGTTTCTCGCCAACTTTCATTACCTCAATTTCAGAGCGTAATTCCTTTAATTGTTCCTGTAAATTTTTACTCTTCTCCCAATAATCGACGCGTTCTTTTTCAATTTCAATTGACAATTGATCGACATCACCGTCGGCAATTAAATCATACGATGTTAATTCAGGTGACAATGGCTCAGCATCCAAATGTAATGTTTGTAAATCAGCTTGCAAATCCGATGGTAATACTTGTGTCGATGGAAAAATATTCGACACCGGCTGCAAAAAAAAGAAAAAGAAAATTTTAATAATAAATTAATTTAGAATGGAAAAAAAAAAAAAATTACTCACGGTTATTGCATTTGCGTATGCATTTCTGCTGAGAAATTCGAGTAATTTTTCCTTTGCCTCCTTCTCGGCGATTCGAGCGCGAAGTAATTCGTCTTTGAGTTTTTCCGCCTCGACGGCACGTCTCTCGGACTCTTGTACCAATCTCTCGGTGAGTAATTCCGCCTCTCTTGTCTTTCTCTCAAGATGAACTTTCTCCTCTTCTGTTTTCATATTATTCAGTCTAATTCGCGTTATCTCCTGCTCAGCCTCCGAGGCCTTTTGACTAAGGAGCATTGCCTCCTCTTCAGCAACACGACTTTTCTCTGCTAACAAGTCTGCCGTTTCTTCAGACCTTCTCTACTCAAAAAAAAAAAAAAAAATACAAAACAAAAATGTTCAATTAAATTAATTACACAATTATACCTAAATTATTATTATATTTTATTGGATTATTTACAAAAATTTTTCTTCTCTTTTTGCGAAAAATGCAAAAAGAATTTTTTTTATAGTAGGGTCAACCGGGGTAAATCCGAACGCTTTTAGTAAGTTTTAACAATAACATAAGTTTTTTCTTTAAAAAAAAATACTTCCGGTATTCTGGTGCATGAAGTTGTTACTTTACTTCCATAGAACAATTTTATGGGGTAGAAAAAATTTTTGATAAATTACAATCGCAGGAAACTTAGCGTTCGTATTTACCTCGATACTTTGCAACTTTCCTAAAATATGGGGGTAAATACGAACGCCACTGTATTTCAGAAAAATCTTAGGGAAAATAAATTTAAAGTATTGCAATTGTTAAACTTATATAAAAACTCAAAAAAAATACGATAATAAACATATTATGTAATAATGCATCATATATAAATACAAAAATCAAACAGGTTGAAAATTAAAATGCATTACACAATTAAAACCTTCAATAACTTTATCAAATCATAACGGATTTTTGCAAAACATGCTACAGAAAGTATTTTGGAGTGATTGAATGTAAATACAAAAATAAAAGTGAAATTTTTTAAATTCAAAATGGCGTACTTTCCTAAAACTTATTTTTAAAAATGATCAAATTTGCTAACCCTGAAACCCCCCGAGTAACAATTTTCGAGCGAATCCAATGAATTTTTTAATTCTCGTCCGCCATTTTGAATTTTGAAAAACTGACTTCAAATTGGTAATTAGCGACCCCAAAAACCGTAGAATACCAAATTTTATTAAGATCCTGAAAAACTTTTTTCAACAAACCATTTGGCAAAAAAAGTGAAACACTCCTTCGAGAGAACAGAGATTAAGTTTCTGCTTATTAATTACTAACGAGGATACGTATAGAAAGAAAAACTTTTTTCTATGTACTTTTATAATGTTAAAATAATAGTGTAATCAAATAAAAACAATTTTGTGTGGCTTTGATGTAAAAAAAAATTATTAAAAATACCGTTCGGATTTACCCCAGTTTTCCAATTTTCTTGGGTAAATACGAACGGTCTGATATTATTAATAAAATTTTACAGAAGGCAAAAATCAAATATAGTTTCTGTTCTAGTATTCATAACAAACAATTATAAATAATAAAATGAATTTTTAGCTTCTTTTTCTTCAAATACGAGACAAAATACTGAAAGAGTGTCATCTTTGATTTTCAATCTTTTTTGCAATACTTGTTATCTTTGTTTATGCTGTTGCTAATTAACAAACAAAAAATGGGATAATACTTAGAATCTCTTCAAGAGGATCTGAGGTAAAAATTCTCATATCGAACTTATTTTTAAAAATTTTAATTAAGCTGAAATAATTAGCGTTCGGATTTACCCCCCGTTCGGATTTACCCCGACTGACCCTATTTACTGAATAATGAGAAAATCATTTAAAAATTTATTTGTAAATAATATTTAGAAGAAAAAAAAAAGAAGTTTTAAATGAAAATTATTTATTTTTAAATAATTAAAATATTTACGAAACTTACGAGAGCTTCGTTTGCAAGTCGAATTTCTTCTTGATACTGCAAAAGACGCTGTTCCATCGCAGCTTTTTCCCTCTCTGCAGCTTCCCTCAATTGTTTCTCGCGGGCCAATTTATTCCTTTCGATTTGCCTCCTGACATAAAAATAATCACACATTCTTGTTTATAGATTTGCACTAATTAAATGCTATTCAAAAAAAAAATAAATAAATATCTTTGCATGCTTTTTTTTAATTAAAATTGTAGAAAAATATTAAGAAATATAAAATAAAAATATTAATTTATAATAATCAGACCTCGGATTATACGACTATTTCGACTATTTCCGAATTTTTTTTTTTAAATACGACTTTTTTCGACTTGTTTTAATAAAATGCGACTATTTTGAAATTTTTTTTGGAATTTTAAAAAAAAATTTTTTTAATAAAATATATTTTTTTTAGTATAAAATGCAGATCTTCTTCATATTTTTTTTATTTCAATTTTTCTGCAATTACTTAACAAATTTTTAACTAAAATTCTTCACTAAATTAATTATTTTTAATAATTTTAATGAAATTCATAACAAATTCAATTATTTCAAAATTTTATTTCAATTAAAATTTTTATGAAATTTAACAATTTGTTTATCATTTTAAAAAAATATCAAATAAAATAACCAAAAAAATTTTAATTCAAAATAATAAATCAAATAAAATTCAATTATTTTCAAAAATTTCAATTCAACATCAACTAAAATTCAAATATTACCTAAAATTTCAATTCAAAATCAAAGAAAATTCCATTATTTTTAAAATTTTCATTTTGAAATCATTTAAAATTCAATTATTTTCCATATTTTCAATTTAAAATCAAATAAAATTCAATTATTATCCAAAATTTCAATTCAAAATCAATTAAAATTCAATAATTATCCAAAATTTCATTTCAAAATTAATTATTATCAAAATTTTCTATCAAAAATAAACTAAAATTAAATTATTACCAAAAATTTCAATTGAAATTCAAAGAAAATTCAATTATTTTCAAAATTTTCAATTCAAAATCAAAGAAAATTCAATTATTTTCCAAAATTTCAATTCAAAATCAAAGAAAATTCAATAATTATCCAAAATTTCAATTCAATATTAATTATCAAAAATCAACTAAAATTAAATTATTATCCAAAATTTCAATTCAAAATAAACTAAAATCTAATTATTTTCCAAATTTTCAATTTGAAATCAAATAAAATTTAATTATTTTCAAAATTTTCAATTTAAAATCAATTAAAATTCAATAATTATCCAAAATTTTAATTCAAAATTAATTATCAAAATTTTATATCAAAAATCAACTATAATTAAATTATTATCCAAAATTTTAATTGAGATTCAATGATTTTCCAAAATTTCAATTCAAAATCAAAGAAAATTCAATAATTTTCAAAATTTTCAATTCAAAATAAACTAAAATCTAATTATTTTCCAAATTTTCAATTTGAAATCAAATAATATTCAATTATTTTCCTAAATTTCAATTCAAAATCAATTAAAATTCCATTATTTTTAGAATTTTTAAATCAAAATTAACTAAAATTAAATTATTTTCCAAATTTTAAATTTGAAATCAAATAAATTTCAATTATTATCCAAAATTTCAATTCAAAATCAAAGAAAATTCAATAATTTTCAAAATTTTCAATTCAAAATAAACTAAAATCTAATTATTTTCCAAATTTTCAATTTGAAATCAAATAAAATTCAATTATTTTCCTAAATTTCAATTCAAAATCAATTAAAATTCCATTATTTTTAGAATTTTTAAATCAAAATTAACTAAAATTAAATTATTTTCCAAATTTTAAATTTTAAATCAAATAAATTTCAATTATTACCCAAAATTTCAATTCAAAATCAAAGAAAATTCAATAATTTTCAAAATTTTCAATTCAAAATAAACTAAAATCTAATTATTTTCCAAATTTTCAATTTGAAATCAAATAAAATTCAATTATTTTCCTAAATTTCAATTCAAAATCAATTAAAATTCATTTAATTACATTACATTAATTACATTTAAAAAGTGTTATCTGAAATTATTTGATAAATTATTTTTACTTCTGTAAAATTTAATTATTGTCTGAAAATTAACAAAATCTTTTAAAATTCAATTATTTCTAAAAATTTCAGCTTTAACTATTCCAAAAGTATTATTTTTAAAAAAAAAAAATTTATTTAAAAATCTGTAATGTATTTTTGTTAAAATAAAAAAAATCGACTTTTTTTGGAATATAAATCGACTAAAACGACTTTTTTTGTGCCTTTAAGTCGATCCAAGGCCTGAATAATAATAATATAAGTACTGCGGGCTATTGTGTTAAATTAATAAATAAATAAATAAATAATAATATAAATAATGATATAAATAATATAAAATAATATAAATAATAATATAAATAATAATAAAAAAAAATAAATAACGTAAAAATAATTTTAAAAAAAAATGTAAAAAAAAGAAACTAAAACCTATTTTTTAATTTGTCTTATTTTCTGAAAAGAAAACAAAAAATTTTTTTTAAAAATAATTTCCCGAATAAATTCCGTTGTCAGTATTTTTTTTTTTTTTTTTTTGAATTAAATTAAAAATTTTATTTTTCAATATAATTTTAATTTCGAAAGTATTTTAAGCTTTTTTTCGAAAATTATTTTCTTCTTTTTCATTTAAAAATTTTAAATACACATGCAAAAATCGATTTCTCACTGTGAAATAGGAAAAAAAAAAAAAAAGTGAAAAACATTTGGCTTACCTGATCAGATTTTTTGTCGACATCGAAAATAGAAGTAAACTCTAAATAAAAAATCTATTTCGAAAATAATAATTTTTTTGAATCATGCTAGGGGAAATGGGGGGGACGAGAAAATAGTTTAAAAAATCTCATTCAAAAATTAATAAGCTTCTTCCTTCTTTTTTTTGAGTCCAAGAAAGATTTTATTTTTCAATTTTTTTTAATTTTCCAAACTACAAATTGAATTCAAAAAGTAAATTTTTGAAAAAGCAATTATAATTTTTTTTTTTTAATAATAAAATCTTTCTTCAACAAATCAAATTTCACTTTTAACCATTCTTTTTATTCCGCATCAAATAAAATGGGGCGCATAATTTTTCCATAAAAATTAATAAATAAATTCATAAATTTTGTACAAAATTCCATCAAATCGAAAAATTTTGCAACAAAAATAATAATAAAATAATAATAATAATAATAATAATAGTAAAATAATTATTTCTAATAAAATTCTTTATAATTCTAATTATGAATTTCTAATTTTTATCGAATAATCATGCGCCTGCAATAAAATATTTTATCAAAAAAACACACACACACAGAAATAATTGTAATATATTTCCTTCTCTCTCTCTCTTACGAAAAATAGTAAAATACACAGCAAACGGGAAAAAGAGAGAAAAAATAATAAATCAATGAAATTAAAAATAAAAAAAAAAATTTTACCTTGATTTTTCTTCCTTTGCCTGGGCCTTCATCTGCTGGACCTCCATTGAATCGGGCTTCCTTCTCCGCATAAATAGATCATGATTTCCAATGCACAGGTCCAGAATCTTAACAAATAATATTCGAGCAGCTTTGTCACTAATACGTTCCTCCAATCCTAAAACTACAATTCCCTTCACCCAGCTGGCAACATCAGATTTTTTCTTTACCAATTTATTCATCCGAACTTTCTGCGAGAAGAAGACAAAATTTGGCGATGACTTCTCCACTGGTTTGATCACAAACTTCTTGTCATCAAAGCTTATATGCCGGATCTCGGACCACGTGAACGTTGTCTTTGGCGTCAGCTTATTTTCCTTCTCGTAAATATTTAGTCCCAATGCCGTCACACCCAGCCAAAGGTCCGTCTCCTTCTTATTCTGTCAATTGAAATTTTTATTTAATTAAAAAATGTTGATGTTCTTTTTTTTACCGGGGATGATAAAAATTATAATTTTTGTAAAAAAATTTGTGAAAAATGAGTCAAAAAAAAATATTAATAAAATTTGTAAACTCTTGGATTTATTGAAAAATTTTAATTGATTTAACAGTAAAATTATTCAAATTTCAAATTAAATAAAAATATATAATTGTTTTTAATTTCAATTTATCAAAAATTTTCAATATTTATTAAAAAATAATGTTTTTTATTTTATTTTTTATATTAAAAATTATCCTAATTTCAATTGATTTAAGTTTTAAATTATCCGAATTTACAACTATTCGAATTTTAATTGATTGGTGTTGAAATTATTCGAATTTCAATTTGTTAAAAAATTTTAATTGATTTATGTTACAAAATTATTCGAATTTTAATTGTTTTTTTTTCAAAAATTTTAATACAATTTTTTATTAATTTAAGTTTTAATTTAATTTAATTCAAATCAAATTATGAAATTTGATATATTTAAATGAATAAAATCATTTTTAAATAATAGAAAAAAAGAGGAAGGAAATAATAAATTTAATTACTTACGCTAATTGGAAAATAATTAACTCCATACATATCGAGGTCCTGTGCAATTTTCAAATATTCCATTTCAGCTTCGTCGCGTGACATTCCCCGATGATCGGCGTACCAAATTTTTATACGATCCTCCCACATTTCCGGTGTCATTTGATATTGATCAATAACACGTTGCGGTAAAAGATCTTCGCTAGCCAACATTCCTGGACGATGTGAGACTTCATCATAGTCTCCGTACTTAAAAAAAAAAAGAAATCAAACATTTATTTAAATATAAAGACAAAAAAAATTAAATTCATTTAAAAATAAAGATACAAAAAAAATATTAAACAATAAAAAAATGGTAAATAGAATAGAAATTTATTTATTGTTACTACATATTTTATGTTTTAAAACGAAAATAAAAATTAAATAATAAATTAAAAACAAAAATTTAATATAAAGAGAAAAAATAAATCTAAACAATAAAAAATAGAAATTAGAGCTACAATGATTAAATAAAAAAAAAAAATTTTTAATCTGTAAAAAATAAGAAAAATCAAATTTAAATTAAATCGGATTCTTTTGATTTAGAAAAATAAAAATTATGATTTTTATTAATTTTATTAAAAATTAATCACCTTGGCTTGAACCGCGTAAGAAGCAAGTAAAACAGAAGCTTCCGGTGGACAATAAATGTCCATTGAAAGAATTGCTTGTTTAACCTGAAGATAGAATAAATGTTGAGTTACTTCCTGTACAAGTTCCTCGGCAACATCCTCCGGATAAAATTTCGCCAGGAACATAAATGGCGTTGTTGGCTGTTGCGATATTCCTTGATCTTGCACTAAATTACAATATTAATTAATATTTTTTTTTATTTTTTTTTTAAATTAATAATTTTAATATTAGATTTATTTTCTCCATTCTGTACTTATAATATAATTTTCATAATAAATAAATAAATTAAAGTAAATAATTTTAATAATTAAATTGTAAGAAAAATAGTTACAACAACAATAAAAACAACAATATTATTATTAATAATAATAATAATAATAATAATAATTTATGTTATGATAATAAAAACTATTTATTAACATAAATCTCTGCAATTTTATTCCTTCTAAAGATTGAACTTTTTACATTTATATAAAAATAATAATAAAAATAAAATAATAATAATAAATTCAATAAATTTAATTATAAATAAAAATAATTTACTAATTGAAAGGAATTAAATTAAATTCTCGGATTAAAAAAAAAGCCTCGGATTATACGACTTTTTCCGACTTTTTTCAAAAATACGACTTTTATCGACTTATTTTAATAAAATGCGACATTTTTATTTACATTTGAAAAAAATGTAAATAAAATACATTTTTTTAGTATAAAATGTAGATCTTCTTCAGATCTTCTTCAATTCAATTATTTAACAAATTTTGAACTAAAATGATTCTTCACTAAATTAATTATTATTAATAATTTTAATGAAATACATCACAAATTCAATTATATCAAAATTATTTTTCAATTAAAATTTTTATGAAATTTAACAATTGTTTATAATTTAAAAAAAAATATCACAATAAAATTGAATTATTTTTTGAAAAATTTCAATTCAAAATAAACTAAAATTCAATTATTACCCGAAATTTTAATTCAAAATCAATTAAAATTCAATACCTAATTATCCAAAATTTTCAATTTAAAATTTAATTATTTACCAAGTTTTCAATTTAAAATGAAATAAAATTCAATTATTTTCTAAAATTTCTATTCAAAATTAATTATCCAAATTTTCAATCAAAAATGAACTTAAATTAAATTATTATCAAAAATTTCAATTAAAATTCAATTATTTCCCAAAATTTTCAATTCAAAATGAACAGAAATTCAATTATTTTCCAAATTTAAAATCAAATAAAATTCAATAATTTTCCAAAATTTCAATTCAAAATTAATTATTATCAAATTATTCAATCAAAAATTAACTAAAATTTAATTATTGTCCAAAATTTCAATTGAATTTCAATTATTTTTAAAGTTTTTAATTCAAAATCAAAGAAAATTCAATTATTTTCAAAATTTTCAATTCAAAATTAAATAATATCAAAGTTTTTAATTCAAAATTAAATATTATCAAAATTTTCAATAAAAAATCAACTATAATTAAATTATTGTCCAAAATTTCAATTCGAAATCAAATAAAATTCAATTATTTTCCAAAATTTCAATTCGAAATCAAATAAAATTCAATTATTTTTCAAAATTTCAATTCAAAATCAAAGAAAATTCAATTATTTTCCAAATTTTCAATTCAAAATCAAATAAAATTCAATTATTACCCAAAATTTTCAATTTTAAATTAAATAAAATGTAATTATTTTCAAAATTTTCAATTCAAAATTAATTATTATCAAAATTTTTAGTCAAAAATCAAATAAAATTGAATTATTATCCACAATTTCAATTAAAATTCAATTATTTTCAAAAATTTGAATTTAAAAGATTCTAAAATTTTCCATCGAAAATTTTTTAAAATTTAATTAATTTTAATTTAATTTAATATCATTTCATAAAAATGATTTTCAAATTATTGTATTTTGTCCGCATTTTCTAATAAATTTTTAGTGAAATCATCTAAAATTTTAATTACAAAACACTTAAAGTTTCAATTAATTTCAAAAATCTCAATTTCAAATCTTTCAAAAATTCAATTAAATTTAAAAAATGTTTTCCAAAAATTGTTTTGATAAATTATTTTTAGTTCTGTAAAATTTAATAATCGTTTGAAAATTAACAATATCTTTTGAAATTTAATTATTTCTAAAAATTTCAACTTTAACCCTTCGAAAAGGATTATTATTTAAAAAAAAATTTTTATTTAAAAATATGTAAAATATTTTTGTTAAAATAAAAAACAAATCCACTTTTTTTTGGAACATAAATCAACTAAAACGATTTTTTTGTGTCTTTAAGTTGATACGAGGCCTGTTTTTTTTATAATTAATATTTAATAGGTATTCGTTGGCCCCTGGTACCTTAAAAATTAATTTTTAAAAATAAATTTTTTTCAAATTACTATCTTGTACGAAATTTCCTGGCGCATCTTTTTTCTCATCAAAAATTTTTTGTATTTGTATACAATTTTTGAATGAATATACAACTTTAAAAAAAATTTCGTTGGTAAACGTTGTGTACTTCAGCTTCGTGAATTGAATTTTCGAATTTGGAATTTTAAAGAAACTTATTCCGAAATTTGGAAACACAATTATAAAACTTTGGCAAAAATGAGAAAAAGAATTGTCAAAATTTGACACGTCATAAGATTACTATTCAAAAAAACACGTGAAATCAGAAGAGGCCAACTTCAAGTTAGGACAGAAGGACAGACCAAGCATTTTATTATTATATATAATATTAATAGAAATAATATTTAATTAAAGTTACTTAAAAAATTAATTTTTTATTAAAATATATGAATAATTATTTTGTTTTTAGTAAATTAAAAGTAAATAAATGAAAAATTTACCTTTTTTGTCGAGTTTCAGCCATGATATAAATCCTTTCGCGTCTTCGTATTGCAATCCAAAATACCAAGTCTCTCTTAGTCCAATTGTACGACAAACCAAATCGAATAAATCCCGTCCTGTTGCCCTCCACTAAAAAAAGACAAAATTAATTTATTTATTAATCCATTAAGAAACCGAAAAAAAAAATTGCAAATAAAACGAAAATAAAAAATTATCCTAAAGCATAAAAAAGAAGGAAAATTATTTCTCACGAATAAATATTATATAAAAATTATCCCTATATAGAATATACTTTTCGCATAAAAAAAAACAGAGATTAACAAACAATGATGTCATCCAATAAACATTCTTCACGAAGAACAATACCGCGAAAAAAAAATTTTATCAATTTTTTTTTTTCTCCAAAAAAACAAAGAAATGAAAAAGCTTTTTTTAATCGTGTAAAAATATACAAAAATATTGAAAAAAAATGTACGCATTTAATACAAAATATCCATTATATATATAAAACTAACCTCCAAATTGAATTCCAATTCTGCATCGAGAGTACAAACTTTAACTGGAAAAGATTTTCCATTCTTTTTCCTGCGAAATGGTGGCATTTTATTTTTCATTTTTCTGATAATTGTCCATTACGTCGAAAAACTTGTATAAATAACATTATACATTATTTATATATATATACGAGAAGAAAAACTCAAAAGTCTAAAAATAGTCATTTGACTCTTGCAAAATATAAGCACGATCTTCACGATAAATATATATATATATATATAAATAATTTTTTTTTATTTCTTCTTTTATTTCACATTATTGTTATTTAATAGAGATTAATTAATTTCGCAAAATTAACACTATTGAACAAATAAACACACTCTCATTTCATTATACAAAAAAGCTTCAACTATTTCGGGAGTATATGGTTGCCTATTGTCAGGCGTGACTACACTCATTCCCTTTATTTTTAGAGCTCTATCTAAATTGGTATATACTTATAATTAAATTTATTAATTTATAATTTATAAATATTCTTCTTTCATTTACTTTTTTTTTATAAACAAAAATAATATAAATATAATTTTTTTAAAATTTGAAACCTAACCTACAAACAAGTGATTCATATAATAAATAATTAAATCTTTGCTAGATTATTGGAATATTTATCAGAATTTTTTAATTTTCTTTTTGCATTCTTGAATTTAACATTATTTTATAATATTATCATTGGAGGAAAAAATAAATAATTTTAAATTAAAGATGGCGTTGTTTTGAAATTCGCGCACAAAACTGGCAACACTGTACGGGTACGCGCTTTAAAAAAAAAAAAAAAATGACAACAGTGTTTTCGTGTATATTTGACAGTTGTCATTTATTGTTTTTTCAAACATAAATAACAATTATAATTCAATTAATTATTAAATAAAGTTAATTATTATTGTTTTTTTTTATATTGTTTGCTTCATAAACGAATTATTCTAATATATAAATATAATAGTGAAGTGTGATAATATTTTTCTCAACAATTGTCAATTATAACCTTTTTTCAATTTCTAATGATTATTTGCAAAAATAAAGAAAATGAATTGAAAAATTTGCAAATAGAAACAAAAAAAAAAAAAAAATGCAAGTGAAATCAAATATGCTCGAGTGTGATAAATATTAAACAGGGGGAAAAATGTCTTGGAACAAATACAGAGAGAGGCGTCCAAGTCCAGAGGTTAGAATTCAATTATTTTATGTTTCTGTGAATTTGTAATACAATTGTTTTGTTTATATTTCTAATGTTACGAAGTATTTTATTGTTTTTTAAATTTAAATATTTATATAGTGTTATATCCTCATATTTTTTTCACTATTTTTTTGTTTATAAATTTAAAATATTTTTTCCTTCGATATATTTTTTCATCTATTTTCCATGAATTAAATTTTTCTAAATTTATTTAATTTCCAAAGATAATGAATTTTACTTCGTTATATGAATATTTTTTATGTTTTTTTTCCCCAAATTTTGTGAAAAATATCCGTTAAAAAATATAATATCAAAGATTTATGATAATTTTTTTCTATTTATAATTATATTTTCAATTCTTTTTTTCTTGAAATTTGTTAAATTTTCTTGAAATTATTAACTTTGAAAAGTATTTAATTTTTTTTTTTTATTTTCATTATTTTACTTTAGTACTCTTTAAAAAAAAAAATAAATAAAAATAAAATAGTTTAAAAATTAAAAAATAAATTACTGTTAATTTGAAGAAAAATATTTATTTTTGATTCTTTATTTCAAAAAAAAAAAAAAAAAAAAAAAATAGGTCTCGATAAACGACAGCAAAGACTCGAGTTTAAATGATGAAACACATCAAGAGGAAAATGTTTCCGAAAGATCTTTAAGGACAAATCGTGAAAGATGGTTGGAAGATCCAGAACCTGTGGAAAGGCGTCTAAAAATGAAGCAAAACGGTAATATAAAATAAATAATAATCATAAACATTTGATTTTTTGTTTTAAATTTCAGGCAATTCATTAAATTTTAGAGAATTTTTAATTTTTATAATTAAATAATTAATAATAATTAAATTAAATTAAAAATTTTCAAAAATTTAATTTAATTTTAATTTAATTTCGTTTATTATAATTTATTTAGTATTTTTTTTTTTATTAAATGAAATTAATTAATTAATTAATTTTTTCTATAAAATTATTATAATTTTTTTTATTTTTATTTATTTATTTATTTTTTTATTATTTTATTTATTAATTTTTAAATTATCATCGTGTCATTTGTTATAAATTATAATAAACTATAATACTAAATATACTAAATATACTAAATATAATAAATACTAAATAAATACTAAATATTAAATAAATTTAATACTAAATAACTAAATAAACTATAATACTAATAATACTAACTAATAAACTACTAAGTACTAAATACTAAATTTTATTAAACAAAATTTCTAGAACAGGAAAAAATTACAAAAATTTACTTAAAATTTCAATTAATTTTCCATTAATTTCAAAATTAAAAAATAATATTTTTTCTTGAAAATTTAATTAAAAATCTAAACAAGAAATAATTAAGAAAAAATTTTTTAATAACGAATTTTCTTGTTTTTTTTTTGCTTTCCTTTTCAACATTTTGTTAATTTTGAAAAAAATCTTATAATTTAGAAAAAAAAATATTTTCACAACCAAAATCTCTAATTATAGAAAAAAATGCAATAATTAGTTTAAATTTGAATTAATTTTCAATTAATTTCGATTTACAAAATAAAAATTATCATTTTTTTTGAAAATATTTAAAAAATAATAATAATAACAATAATAATAATAATAATAAATAAAATATTTGTTACCATAAAGAATTTTCTTGTTTTTTTCTCTTTTTTTTCTAAATTTCGTTAAATTTAAAAAAATATTATCTCAAAATTAAAAAGAAAAGTATATTTTACTAAACGAAATTTATTTAAAACGAGAAAAAAAAATTACTTTAAATTTCAATTAATTTCAATTTATCAAATAAAATATATATTTTTTTGTAAAAATTAAATTAAATTTTTGAAAAATTTTATCAATAATTGATTATATTACAAGTGTTAATTTTTGTAATTAATTCAAATTAAAAAGATTTTTAAATTGGGATTTTGATAAATTAAAAATTGTTGCAAATAATTGAATTTTCCAAATAATTTTAATTAAAAATAATTTTTTAAAAATAATTGAAATTTCGTAAAATTTGAATTAAAATTTGAAAAAGTAATTAAATTTTTTTGACAGATATTTAATTAAAACAAATTTTAAACACTTGGAAATTTCTTAAAATTTATTTGAAAAAAAATTTAATTTTTTTTGGAGATAATTTAAATAATTTTGAATAATTGAAATTTCGTAAAATTTGAATTAAAATTATTTTAATAATGAATTTTTCTCATCTTTTTTTCCATTTTTTGTTAAATTTGAAAAAAAATATCTCAAAATTTAGAAGAAAAAAAAATATATATTTTACTAAACAAAATTTCTAAGGGAGGAAAAAATTATAATAATTTGTTTATATTTCAATTAATTAAAAAAAAAAAAAAAATTTTACTAAAAAAAATTTCTAGAAGAGGAAAAAATTACAAAAATTTATGTAAAATTTCAATTAATTTTCCATTACTTTCAAATTAAAAAAATAATATTTTTTCTTGAAAATTTAATTAAAAATCTAAAACAAGAAATAATTAAGAAAAAATTGTTTAATAACGAATTTCCCCCCCTTTTTTTTTCTTTTTCTAATAATTTCTTAGATTTGAAAAAAAATCTCAAAATTTAGAAAGAAAATATTTTGTCAACAAAAATTTTCAATTATATACAGAAAAAATTACAATAATTAATTAAAATTTCAATTAATTTTTGCATTAATTTCAAATTTAAAAAAAAAATTTTTTTTACGTAAAAATTGAATGCAAAATTTAAACAGGAAATAATTAAGAAAAAAAATTGTTTAATAACGAATTTTCTCGTTTTTTTTTCTTTGCTTTTTTTTCAATCTTTCGTTAATTTTTAAAAAAATCTCATAATTTATAAAAAAAAAAATATATTTTCACAACCAAAATCTCTAATTATAGAAAAAAATACAATAATTAGTTTAAATTTGAATTACTTTTCAATTAATTTCGATTTACAAAACAAAAATTATCATTTTTTTGAAAATATTAAAAAAATAAATATAATAATAATAAATAAATAAATAAATAATAATAATAATAATAATAATAATAATAAATAAAATATTTGTTACCATAAAGAATTTTCTTGTTTTTTTTTCTTTTTTTAATATTTCGTTAAATTTGAATTAATTTTCAATTATAATTTCAATTTTAAAAATAAAAATTATCTTGAAAATATTAAATAAAATAAATATATTAATATTAATAATCATAATAATAATAATAATAATAATAATAATAATAATAATATTAATAATAATAATAATAATAATAACTTCTGGCCCGAAATGCTGAATCTTAATAATAAATAATAATAATAAATAAATAAAATATTTTTTATCATAACGAATTTTCTCTTTTTTTTCTAAATTTCGTTAAATTTGAAAAAATATTATCTCAAAAATAAAATGAAATTTATATTTTACTAAACGAAATTTATTTAGACGAGAAAAAAAATTACTTTAAATTTCAATTAATTTTAAATTAATTTCAAATTTATAAAATAAAATATATTTTTTTTGGAAAATTGAATTAATGTACACAGAAAATAATCGGTCAAAAAATTTCTATTAATACCTAATTTTACTATTTTTTCTCTTTTTTTAAAAAATATTTTGTTAAATTAAAAAATTTTATCTCAAAATTTAGAAGAAAAATATGAATACCAACCAAAAAAAAAAAATAATTTACTAAATAAATTCACAAAATGAATTAAAAAAAATTACAATTACTTTCAATTTAAATTTCCATAATCAATTTTTGTATATTTTTCGAAAATTTAATTAAAAATCCTAAACGCCAAAAAAATTGCGTTAGGGTCAGCCGGGGTAAATCCGAACGGGGGGTAAATCCGAACGCTAATTATTTCAGCTTAATTAAAATTGTAAAAAATAAGTTAGAAATGAGAATTTTTACCTCAGATCCTCTTGAAGAGATTCTAAGTATTATCCTATTTTTCGTTTGTTAATTAGCAACAGCATAAACAAAGATAACGAGTATTGCAAAAAAGATTGAAAATCAAAGATGACACTCTTTCAGTATTTTGTCTCGTATTTGAAGAAAAAGAAGCTAAAAATTTATTTTATTATTTATAATTGTTTGTTATGAATACTAGAACAGAAACTATTTTTCATTTTTGCCTTCTGTAAAATTTTATTAATAATATCAGACCGTTTGTATTTACCCAGGAAAATTGGAAAACCGGGGTAAATCCGAACGGTATTTTCAATAATTTTTTTTACATCAGAGCCACACAAAATTGTTTTTATTTCATTACACTATTATTTTAACATTATAAAAGTACATAGAAAAAAGTTTTTCTTTCTATATGTATCCTCGTTAGTAATTAATAAGCAGAAACTTAATCTCTGTTCTCTCGAAGGAGTGTTTCAATTTTTTTGCCAAATGGTTTGTTGAAAAAAGTTTTTCAGGATCTTAATAAAATTTGGTATTCTACGGTTTTTGGGGTCGCTAATTACCAATTTGAAGTCAGTTTTTCAAAATTCAAAATGGCGGACGAGAATTAAAAAATTCATTGGATTCGCTTGAAAATTGTTACTCGGGGGGTTTCAGGGTTAGCAAATTTGATCATTTTTAAAAATAACTTTTAGGAAAGTCCGCCATTTTGAATTTAAAAAATTTGACTTTTATTTTTGTATTTACATTCAATCACTCCAAAATACTTTCTGTAGCAAGTTTTGCAAAAATCCGTTATGATTTGATAAAGTTATTGAAGGTTTTAATTGTGTAATGCATTTTAATTTTTAACCTGTTTGATTTTTGTATTTATATTTGATGCATTATTACATAATAGGTTTATTATCGTATTTTTTTTGAGTTTTTATATAAGTTTAACAATTGCAATACTTTAAATTTATTTTCCCTAAGATTTTTCTGAAATACAGTGGCGTTCGTATTTACCCCGGTATTTTAGGAAAGTTGCAAAGTATCGAGGTAAATACGAACGCTAAGTTTCCTGCGATTGTAATTTATCAAAAATGTTTGCTACCCCATAAAATTGTTCTATGGAAGTAAAGTAACAACTTCATGCACCAGAATACCGGAAGTATTTTTTTTTAAAGAAAAAACTTATGTTATTGTTAAAACTTACTAAGAGCGTTCGGATTTACCCCGGTTGACCCTATTTCTCTTTTTTTTACTAAAATTTTCTTAAATTAAGAATATAATTCAGAAACTAATTTCTCTTTTTTTTTTACAGATTGTGTACCATTTTTGGTACAATTAATTCATTCACGCGATCAAAGTCCCGACGTAAGAGAGGGTGCATCGAGCGCTTTAAGAAATGTAATTCATGCATTTGACGATAAGAAAAATCGTGAAAAAGATATATTCGAATTACTCGAACAATTGCGTGACTATTCAGAAATGTTAAAATTAACAATAAATACAGGTTGTTATGGAAGGGAGAATCTCAATAAACATCCAAATAAACAAATGACAACACTAATGAAATTATCATTTAAAGAAAATTATCATCGTGTCATTTGTTATCTTGGTGGTTTACAAACAATAGCCGAATTAATAGAATGTGAACATGCAGCACATGGTTCAGAGACAAATGATTCTGAATGTATAACATTGCGTCGCGATTCAGGTATGACATTGGCAAGTTTAATTGTTGGCGATACAAATAATAAAGCACTTTTATGTTCGTTTCGTGATTTTATTAAAGTTTGGGTCACACAATTATTTAGTAATTGCGAAGAATTACGACAAGTGACGGCGAGTGTTTTTTGTAATCTCTCATGGCGAGCTGATAATGAATCGAAACAAACATTACGAGAAGCACAAGTTGTAACGGGTTTAATGAAAGCAGCAATGCATTGTCGTAAGGAATCATCGTTGAAAACAATTCTCTCGGCACTTTGGAATTTATCAGCACATTGTGCGGCGAATAAGGCGGAAATTTGTGCTGTCGATGGTGCACTTGCTTTTTTGGTAAATATGCTTTGTTATGAATCGCCTTCAAAGGGTTTGGCAATTGCTGAAAATGCCGGTGGTATAATAAGAAATGTTTCGAGTCACATTGCAGTGAGGGAGGATCATCGTGTGATATTGAGGGAGAAAAATTGTATACACATTTTAATACGTCATTTAAAATCCACTAGTTTAACGGTGGTTAGTAATGCATGTGGTACACTTTGGAATTTATCGGCATGGTGTTCGAAAGATCAAAAAACACTTTGGGAATTGGGTGCAATTCCATTGTTACGTAATTTAACGCATTCAAAGCATAAAATGATTTCAATGGGTGCAAATTCGGCGCTGAGAAATTTATTATCGGCAAAAGGTGTTTGTGACACGAGAATACGTAAAAATGATGAGGAAAATTTAAGAAAGAAAAAAAATTATGATTATGAGAGAAAATTTTTGCCAATTAATAATAATAATCATCGTTCTGTACCAACGGCTTATATTGCCAGTGAACCGGGTAAGAAATTAAAATTTTGTATTAAATTACCAGATTATGATGAATCTAAAGAATCATGGAATTATAGACCACGTTTATGTTCACCAGTTGATGAAAATCAGGCATCAACATCAAAATCATTTTCAAATTTTATTAATTCCGATGATGATATTGGCGAGCAACCAATTGATTATAGTAAAAAATATACAGAGAGAAATCAAAAATCAATGGTGAAAAAAGAATTTGATGCGGATGATGATGATAAAGTGAATTTATTTGGTGATTATGTTGAAACTGATCTTGATCAACCGACGGATTATAGTTTACGTTACGCTGAGAACGATACCGATGAAGATGAAACCGATGAAGATGATGATGATGATGATGATGAAGAGAAAGAGAATAAAATTTTAGGTGAATATTTTCCGAGAAATGAACAAGAGGATACAGTGAAAACATATTGTACTGAGGGTACACCATATCAGACGCCATTTAATTTTTCCACTGCAACATCAATGTCAGATTTAAGATGCGATGATGGGAGTATCAATAAAGAGGGTGGTGGTGAGAAGAAATTTTCAAAAAAAATGGATTTAAGAAAAAATTCTGAATTTGTTGTTAAAAATTCACAATTTGATGAATCGCAAGAAATGCAAGAGGAGGAAGAGGAGGAGGAGGAGGAGGATGAAGAAGAGGAGGAAGAGGAAAAACATTTGGATGTTAATTTAACGGAAAAACCAATTAGTTATTGTGTTGAGGGAACACCGCAATGTTTTTCAAGAGTTAGTTCTTTTAGTTCATTGGGAAGTGCTATTGTTGCGCAAAATTTGAGTATTGAAACTGTGTCTGAGGAGGCAGTTGGCAATGATTTGACGACGGATAATATTGATCAACAAGATGTTAATGATGAGCCAACGAATGAAAAAAATAATTCTATCGCTTGTGTGGAACGTGAAAAAAATGATAAAGAAGGTAATTATATATATAATAATAAAATGCTTGGTCTGTCCTTCTGTCCTAACTTGAAGTTGGCCTTTTCTGATTTTACGTGTTTTTTTGAATAGTAATCTTATGTCAAATTTTGACAATTCTTTTTCTCATTTTTGCCAAAGTTGTATAATTCTGTTTCCAAATTTCGAAATAAGTTTCTTTAAAATTCCAAATTCGAAAATTCAATTCACGAAGCTGAAGTACACAACGTTTATCAACGAAATTTTTTTTAAAGTTGTATATTGATTCAAAAATTGTATACAAATACAAAAAATTTATGATGAGAGAAAAGATGCGCCAGGAAATTTCGTAAAAGATAGTAATTTGAAAAAAATATATTTTTAAAAATTAATTTTTAAGGTACCAGGGGCCAATGAATACCTATTAAATATTAATTATAAAAATACAGGCCTCGAATGAACTTAAAGACACCAAAAAGTCGTTTTAGTCGATTTATATTCCAAAAAAAAGTGGATTTGTTTTTTATTTTAACAAAAATATTTTACAGATTTTTAAATAAAAAATTTTTTTTTTTAATAATAATCCTTTTCGAAGGGTTAAAGTTGAAATTTTTAGAAATAATTAAATTTCAAAAGATATTGTTAATTTTCAAACAATTATTAAATTTTACAGAACTAAAAATAATTTATCAAAACAATTTTTGGAAAATATTTTTTAAATTTAATTGAATTTTCAAAGATTTAAAATTGAGATTTTTGAAATTAATTGAAACTTTAAGTGGTGTTGTAATTAAAATTTTAGATGATCTCACTAAAAATTTATTTGAAAATGCGGACAAAATACAATAATTTGAAAATCATTTTTAATTGAAAAATGGTTTCAGATAGTTGAATTTTCAAAGAATACACTGGTCGACAAAATTTAGGTTTTTTTTGCCACAAGAGTAAACGATGGTGATTCTTATAGGATTTTTGACGTAGATTACGAATCTGTAAATGAAATTGTCCCATCACGTCTCAATTTTGAGAAAAACTGTCTCAAAGTGTCAAAAAATCGCATTTTTGGCACTTTTTGAAGCACTATAAAAAAAGAACGCGACGTGATAAACGGCTCAAATATGGCTTAAATAAGAACTAGTACCCTCAACTTTAACCTCCAGAAGCAAAAAACCATGTACCAATAACTCAAAATTGTGGGCAACATTTTTTTACCGCGTGCGCGTCCAGCAGATATTGTTCCCACGATAAAATGAAATAAATTGCTGAAAACGTCGTCAAAGACACAAGATCGATTTAAATTAACTTCAAATTGGTTACTCGGGGGTTTTCGGGGTCGCTGATTACGAATCTGATGTTAGTTTTTAAAAATCCAATATGGCGGATCCAATATGGTGGACGATTTTTGGAATAACTTAACATATTAGTCTGAAAATCGTTACTTGGGGGTTTTCGGGGTTGTTGATTACGAATCTGATGCTTAAAGATTTTATGGTTTTTTATTAAATTGAGTATATAAAAAGTTTTGAGATTGCAAATTATGAATTTGACTTAAAAATTTTTAAATACAAGATAGCGAATCGAATTTGGCGAGCGAATTTTTAAATAGTTCTTGATTTTCGCAGACTTTAGTAATTTTAGTAATTATTTTCATGCCTCCACCTCATTTATAAGAGGAAACAGTTTTTTTTAATAAAAAATGGTTACTAGGTTTAAAATAAATTTAATTAATTTTTGTTATATTGTCAAACAGATTTAATTAATACGGCGTGAAAATGAAAACAACAGAAAACATCAAGCTTCATTTTTAACGTCTACTTTTTTCGTCCAAAAAAAATTAGAAACAAACTGACAGCGAGCTCATCAATTGAACTCCTTGAAAATGTAAAAGAAATAAAATTAAAATCCTTAATGGTGCAAAATAAACGAAACGTCACATTTTTATCTCAATAAAGTTTTTTTTATATTGGATTAGTAAAAAGAAGGTTCATGTAACTGCGTAAAAAAGAAAAAATTAAATTATTCATTAAATAACTCCTTTCAAAAAAATTTGTAGTAATTTAATAGTCAAGCCATGTTAGTTCCGCCATATTGGATTCTGAAAAACTAACATCGGATTCCTATTCAGCGACCCCGAAAACCCCCAAGTAACGATTTTCAGACTAATATGTTAAGTTAATCCAAAAATCGTCCGCCATATTGGATCCGCCATATTGGATTTTTAAAAACTAACATCAGATTCGTAATCAGCGACCCCGAAAACCCCCAAGTAACGATTTTCAGACTAATATGTTAAGTTATTCCAAAAATCGTCTGCCATATTGGATCCGCCATATTGGATTTTTAAAAACTAACATCAGATTCGTAATCAGCGACCCCGAAGACCCCCGAGTAACCAGTTTGAAGTTAATTTAAATCGATCTTGTGTCTTTGACGACGTTTTCAGCAATTTATTTCATTTTATCGTGGGAACAATATCTGTTGGTCGCGCACGCGGTAAAAAAATGTTGCCCACAATTTTGAGTTCTTGGTACATGGTTTTTTGCTTTTGGAGGTTAAAGTTGAGGGTACTAGCTCTTATTTAAGCCATATTTGAGCCGTTTATCACGTCGCGTTCTTTTTTTATAGTGCTTCAAAAAGTGCCAAAAATGCGATTTTTTGACACTTTGAGACAGTTTTTCTCAAAATTGAGACGTGATGGGACAATTTCATTTACAGATTCGTAATCTACGTCAAAAATCCTATAAGAATCACCATCGTTTAATCTTGTGGCAAAATTTTGTCGAACTGTGATATTATTAAAATAGTTAAAAATAATTGAATTTCCTTAGAGTTATAATTGTTAATTGTTAATTTATAATTGTTATAATTATTAAATTTAAAAAAAGAAAATTTTCGATGGAAAATTTTAGAAATAATTAAATTTTAGATGCTTTTAAATTCAAATTATTGAAAATTCAATTAATTTTGAATTCAAATTTTTGAGAATAATGAAATTTTATTTGATTTTAAATTTGGAAAATAATTGAATTTCAGTTTATTTTGAATTGAAAATTTTGGGAAATAATTAAATTTTATTTGATTTCGAATTGAAATTTTGGAAAATAATTGAATTTTATTTGATTTCGAATTGAAATTTTGGAAAATAATTGAATTTCTGTTCATTTTGAATTGAAAATTTTGGGAAATAATTGAATTTTAATTGAAATTTTGGATAATAATTTAATTTAAGTTTATTTTCAATTGAAAATTTAAATAATTAATTTTGAATAGAAATTTTAGAAAATAATTGAATTTTAGTTTATTTTGAATTGAAATTTTTAAAAAATAATTCAATTTTATTGTGATATTTTTTTTAAATTATAAACAATTGTTAAATTTCATAAAAATTTTAATTGAAAAATAATTTTAATATAATTGAATTTGTGATGTATTTCATTAAAATTATTAAAAATAATTAATTTAGTGAAGAATCATTTTAGTTGAAAATTTGTTAAATAATTAAATTGAAGAATATCTGCAGAAGATCTACATTTTATACTAGAAAAATGTATTTTATTTACATTTTTGTTCAAATGTAAAAAAAAATGTCACATTTTATTAAAATAAGTCGATAAAAGTCGTATTTTTGAAAAAAGTCGGAAAAAGTCGTATAATCCGAGGCCTGTAAACATATAATTTTCATTATTATCATTTAATATATAATAATATTCTAATAAATTAAATTATTATTGATAATATTAACCTTTAATTTCTTTATAACAAACAATTAAATACCCAATTTGGTGCGCTTATTTATTATTTATTTACATGTAAAAAAAAAAAATTTTCACTATTTTTTTTTTTTAATAAAAAAATAATTATATTTGTTTAAAGGAAAAATGGTGACATTTGGAAGGGAGGATCATTACGCAGAACAAACGCCGCTAATGTTTTCGCGATGTAGTTCCTTGGGTTCTCTAAGTGGTTTTGAGCAACATTCAATTCGAGATGATCTCAGTTCTGGAATTAGTGATTTTAGGTAAATTTCAAAAAATTCTTCTTCTTTAGAAAAATTAGGTTTTTAATTTTGTTTTTATTTATTTTTTTTATTAGATCTAAATTTATTTTTTTTATCTCCATTAAATTTAAATTAATTCTTTTGTTAAATTAAGAAATCTCTAAATTATTTTTTTTTTGTTAAATTAAAATTGTTTTTTATTCAATTAAAATTTTTTTTTTTATTTTTTGTTAAATCTTAATTTAATTTTTTGTTGTTAAATTGAAATTAATTTTTTCGTTAATTTAAATTTTTGTTTGTTAAATTGAAATTTTTGTTGAATTAAAATTTTTTGTTTGTTAAATTAAAAAAATGTTGTTTGTTAAATTACAATTTTTATTGTAAAACATAATTTTTTTTTTAAATTTAAATTAAAATTGATAATTTAATTTAAATTAAAATTGAAAATAAAATTGATAATTTAATTTAAATTAAAATCGAAAATAAAAAATGATAATTTAATTTAAATTAAAATTGTAAAAAAAATGATAATTTAATATTTAAATTTAACAGAAAAAATAGAAAAAAAATCTCTCTTCTTTTTAAAGACAATGTGAAATTAATATTATTTTCTTCTTTTTTTCAAGTCGAATGACAAGCGGTGTTGTTTCGCCGAGTGAATTACCTGATTCACCAACACAAACTGTTCCACCGAGTCCTCGACATAAACATCAACATCATTCAGAATTTGGAAGAAAATTGCAAAATGAATCACGTCACAATAGTTTCCAAACATCATGTAAGTTATGCCTTCAAATTCTTTCTTTTTTTTTTTTAATGAATTTTCCCCAAAAATCGTTAATTAGAATTTTTATTTTAAAGTATTTAAGTAAAAATAATTTTTTTTTCGCCAAATTTTCAATTTTCGAAGAAGAAATTTTTTTTTTTGTTTAGCGTTTCATCGAGATTTATTTATATTTCTTATATAATAAATACCTAAATAATTAAAAAAAATAGAAAAATTAATTAGAATTATAGAATTTAAAAAAAAAATTTTTAAATAATTATTTTTAATACAAATTTTCAATTTTTCAAATTAGCAATACAATTTTTCTTTTTAAAAATTTTGTTTAAAATAAAATAAATTCGTGTAAAAAAAGAAAATTTTCTGTCGATTGATAATTCGAAAAATGAAAATTCATCTTCTAAAGTAATTTCTCTAATATTATTCAAAATATTCTAAATTCTAATTAATATAATTTTTTAATGGGATAAAAAAAAGAATTGAAATATTGTTTCCATAAATATAAATTTCAAAAATCTCTTTTTTTGGGGAGGCTAAAAAAAAAGGGAAAGGGAGGTAATTTGAAAATGTAATTGTGCGCTTGCGTCACATAAAAGCGCATGCGTTACGTCAATATTTTCATACACCCACACTTTTTAATGTATGGTAAATATCAATGGAGGAAGTCGGCCTGGATGTAAGTTATATACATATATATTTATCATCTAAATATACAAAAAGCCACTTCTTCTTCTTTTTTTTTTTTTTCTAAATCCACAAAAACTAGTTTTTTTTTTCCAAGCGTTAAAAAATTTTACCCGAAAAAATTTCTGTTTCAAAAAAAAAAAAAATTTGCAAAAATCAATGTTAGCGTCTTATTTGGAGGCTTCTCATCGAAATCAATATTTAGACTTGTTCGATTGATTTTCATAGTTGCGAAAAATAAATAAACCTAATATGATCAATTATAATAATAATAATAATAATAATTATTATTATTATTATAAAATAATAATATTTTTTGTAAATTTTTTGCAAATTTCGTTTTTTGGAAAAAATTAAAATTTTTATAAAAATTGAAGGATTTACAGGTTTTTTTTCTTTGTGATTTTTTTAGCATGTAGTAAAATGCAATCGACGAAAAGAAGTGTCTTTGAGGATGAGATGGCTGCATTTAAAGATGAATCGACGCCTCTTGAATTCTCAGCGGCCACGAGTCTTAGTTCCTTGACTATTGATGACGAACCAAAATTACCTAAATTTAGAATAATAGAAAAAAGATCTATTGTTCCTGATATTGTTGAATGTACAGGAAATTCAGAGGAAAATTCACAATTATTGGATAAAAAATTAAATCAACCCGACAATTGTAAAGAGAATGAGACTCTTTCCAACGAAAGGTTTTTATTATTTTTTTAATATTTTGTTTTTTTATTTCTCTTTTTTAATTTTCATTTACAATTTATTATTATTTATTACTACTATTATTATTATTATTATTATTATTATTATTTATTATTATTATTTATAATTATTATTCAATTTTATTTTATATTTATTTTTATTTCGTTTTTTATTTCCCTTATTATGATTTTTGCTTCTAAACGAAATGTAAAAAAAAAAGAAAAAATTATTTAAATTGCAGAAACTTGTTTTAATTTTTATTTATTTATTATTATTTATTACTACTATTATTATTATTATTATTATTATTATTATTATTATTATTATTTATTGTTATTTATAATTATTATTCAATTTTATTTTATATTTATTTTTATTTCCTTTTTTTATTTCCCTTATTTTTTTTTTGCTTCTAAACGAAATGTAAAAAAAACAAGAAAAAATTATTTAAATTGCAGAAACTTGTTTTAATTTTTATTTATTTATTATTATTTATTACTACTACTATTATTATTATTATTATTATTATTATTATTATTTATTGTTATTTATAATTATTATTCAATTTTATTTTATATTTATTTTTATTTCGTTTTTTATTTCCCTTATTATGATTTTTGCTTCTAAACGAAATGTAGAAAAAAAAATTATTTAAATTGCAGAAACTTGTTTTAATTTTTGTAATTATTTATTTTTTAATAGTTTTTGTTTCTATTTTTGTTTTTTTTTTTGCTTTTTTTTGTTGAAATTTATTTGCTGCCAAAATGAAAAAAGAAATTTATTTATTTTTCAATTAATTCTAGATACGCAACAAATGAGGAAAATTCAATAAAATTATCGCCGTCCTCGTGTAATTTACGAAGATACGAGACAAGTTTCACATTAGATAGATTGGATTCGGCATTTAAACGCGGTGGACAATTTGTTTCATTGCGTAAAGTTGATGTTATCGATGCATTAGATTCAGTACATATTTATTGTACCGAGGACACGCCCGATGGTTCAATTTCAAATTTATCAGCACTCTCAATGCCAAGTATTCCCGATGACAATGAAAATATTGATCACAATAAATTATTATACCTGGCAAATCAAAGGAATAAATCATCATCGTCATCATCATCATCATCATCATCATCATCATCAGACGCAGTTTCAAATTCATCTGTCGATAATGAAATTAATTTACGCGAACAAGTCGATTCTGTACAAACAAAGGTATGTAATTTTTTTTTCCCCAAAATTCCAAACTTTTCGAATTACTATTAATTTAAATTAATAATAATTATTTAAATTAGTAATAATACTGAAAAATTAATTATTTATTAATTTAAATTAATAATTAATAATTATTATTTAAAATAAGGGAAAATTAAATAATTTTTGATTATATATATAAATGAAATGTTTTTTTTTTTTGGTAGAAAAAAGTTCCACCTCAGAATTCAGCGCAGAATTCATCACTTGAAGTTCCTTCGAATAGTTGTAATAATTCGGCAAATTCTTTGCTTCGTGATCAATCGTTTAAAGTTGAAAGAACAACGCCTGAACCCTCTGACGATAGTGTCAGTCTCACAGAGGAGGAAAATAATAAATTGGATCAATTAATTGAATCCGCTATGCCAAAGGTGAGGAAAAATTTATTATTTCCAATTTTTTTTTTTATGAATTCAAAAATTAATTTTTTCTTCTTTTTTGAATAAATTATTCTAATACTTTTTTTCCATCTGTAAAAATGATATTTTAAATTCAAAAAAAAAATTGTTCTCTACACTTTTAACTTTATTTTTCATTTTGATTTTTAAATAAAAATTTACAATATAATAATAATAATAATAATAATATTAATAATACTTAATTAATAATAATATTTATTTAATTTTAATTTACAATAAAATACAAAAATTTTAAATTTAGAATTTTAATTTAAAAAATTAAAAGTTATTTTAACTTTACTTTGTTGAATTTTAAAAAATTATTCTTTCAAATGCAAAATTTTTTGTGAAATTAATTTTTTGATTAGTGAATTATTTTGAAATTATTTTGAAATTATTTTTAAAAAATAGAGACGTTTAAATGATTCATCGTCGCTTGCAACTTCGGAACAAAATCTCGAGAGATCATCATCGCCAGTTCCCTCAGTTGGAAGTAATAGTTTTATCGAGGAGGAAACTAATAATAAATTAACGCAACTAATTGAAACTTCATCAGTTCCGTCTTCGCCAAAATTAATTAACATACGAGCATCGAATTCAAATTTGCAACAAACTTGTAAAATTGACAACTCATCTGTATTATTTAAGGAGAATTCATTTATTGATGATAAAATTAGTGCACACGATATATTAATCTTGGAATCGGAGCTGGTAATTATTAAAATTATCTTTCAATTTTTTTTTTTAGAGAGAAAATTCTGTTTTTTTTATAAATGCGTTCTAATTTTTTTATTTTTTCTAATTTTTTTTTTAGACGTAAATTATTGTTTATTTTTATTTCATTTTTTTATTTTGTAAAATTTTTTATATTTTTTTCATATTATTTAATTATTCAATTATTCAGTTTCAATAATATTCAAATTTTTTTGGAAATTACTTTCATTGCATTTTGTTTTTATTTTGTTCTTATTTTGTTCTACTTTTTGCTTTGTTAACTTTGGAAATTGTATTTTTATACGTTCTTTTCCTTATTTTTTTCTTTCTTTTTTTTTCTTTTCGAGAATAATATTTACGCGATATTTAATTAATTTTTTTCAGAGACATTTCAATATTCATTCGAATTCACATTCATTGAGATCGTCGTCGCCAATTGCAAACGAATTTTATCGATCGAATCCCTGTGGAAGATCATCGTCGCCAACAACTTTAATGCCAGCGAATTCGCGAAAAGAAAATTCTTCGCCTACACCATCGGATGATAGTAACAGTCTCACCGAAGAGGAAAATATTAAACTCGATCAATTAATTGAATCCGCGATGCCAAAGGTATTTTTTTCAAAAATATTTCTTTAAATAATAATAATAATAATAATTATAATAATACCAAATATATTTTCATTTTTATTTAGCAAATTGTAAAAGAATTTAAAAAGAGAAAATAAAAATTAATAAAATAGAAAATATAAAGTTGACTAATTAAAAAATAAAATTATAAATTTGTTTTTTTTTTTTTTTTTTACAGAGACAAAATACTCTATCGCCATCGCCAAGATCGAATTCACCGAAATTAGTCATCAGCAAATCAAACTATAATTCGCCCTCGAGAAAAATTCACTCGTCGAGTCAATCGGAAATTTTATTAAGAACCGAAATGGATTTTCCCGAGGACGAAAATAGTCGATTGAATCAATTAATTGAAGCTGGAATGCCGAAAGTGAGTGTTTTTTTTTGGTTATTTATTTAGTTAATTCATTTATTTACAGTGATATTTGTTTTCGATTGTTCAATTTATAGAAAGAGAGAAAAAAAAAACAATTTTCTTTCTGTAAATATTTTTGTAAAAATTTATTTTCTTCTATGAAAAGAATTGCAAAAACAAAAAATTGGCCAAAAAAAAAAGAAATTGTGTTTTTTTTCAATTTTTCAAAAGACAAAAAACAGGATTTCCTTTTTTGGAAAAAAAACGATTTTTTCTATTCGTTTTTATTTATAGAAAAAATTGAGCGTTTCATCGAGATCGTCACCAATTAATGTTCGTTCAAGAACAACAAATTCGTACAATGATCAATCATCGCTTCCATTAATTCCCCAACAAACGTACAAAGCACGAGTGAATCGCGATTCATTCAATGATTTTGCCATTCATAAAGAGAGACTCGATCATCTTATTCAATCTGGAAATCCAAAGGTAATTTATTTCTTTTTTTTTTTTTTTTAAATATTTTCATTAAAAATGAAAATTCTACAATTTTTCGTAATTAATTTTTAATAACTTGAAAAAATAATTCCAATGCCTTTTCAAGGTTTTAAATAATTAGAAAAAAAAATGTAAAATTTAAAAAATATTTTATAAATGTTTTTTTTTTTAATACAATATTTGTGTTGTGCTTTTAAAATATTTTTGACGATTTGTTAAAATTTGTTTAAAAAAAAAGATATTTTTTGAATTTTTTTCTATTTGAATTTAAATGGGGTGGTTTTTTTTTTTTTTTTTTGTCTCTTAAAGAAACGAGGAAATGGACCTAAAATATCACCGACAAAAGTGACGGACAGATCGAATAAATTAAATTCACATGGTCGTCCTTATCATTCAAATCGGCAAAACTTTTTCCGAGGCGATCGAATAAAACCAGAACCGGAAGACGATACATTAAGTTTGACTGAGGAGGATAATATGAAATTGGATCAATTAATAGAATCTGCGATGCCAAAGGTAGGCTGAATTTTTTTTTTCTTTTTTCAAAATTAATAAAAAAGAAAAATGTTTTTTCTTTTTTCAAAATTAATAAAAAAGAAAAATGTATTTTTTTAAATATTTATCTAAATTTCTCTAAATTCTTTTTTTTATCTAAATATTCCTTAAATTTCTCTAAATTCTTCTTTTTCTTCTTTTTATCTAAATATTTTCTAAATTTCCCCAAATTTTTAATAAACTGATTTTTAAATTTGTAAATTTTATTCCAAAAAACTAAATTTAAAAATTCTTTCATTTTTGATAAGAAATTTTTAATGCGAAACAAATTTAATATTCGTTTTCTTTTTAATTTTTTTTTTTTTTTATCTTTTTTATAGAAACAGTCTCAATCATTTCACCGTGGTTCTTCGGGAAGAGTATTGGACGATATTCCAGCCAATAGAATGCTTCCCTATGGCTGTTCATCACCGCCGTCATTTCGGCAAAATTCTTTAAAAACCGGAAGAATGAAAAGCGAACAAAATGAAAATAGAAACAGTTTAACTGAGGAGGAAAATTTAAGACTCGATGAATTAATTGAATCCGCAATGCCGAAGGTAATAAAGGGGGCAAATACAAATAAATTTCATCTAAATTCAATATTTAAAAAATTTTTCAAAAATTAAATATCCAACAAAATTTTCAATTATTACAATTAACAAGAAAAAAAAAATTTCAATTGAAATTCAAAGAAGAGAAAAAAAGAAGAAGGAAATTTAAACAAAAAATTAAAGAAATTCAATAACGAAAAAAAAATTAAAAACTACTTTCAATATTTTGGAAAAATAATTTCGAAAATTTTTCGATAATTCTGAAAATTCTAAAAATACTTTTTCTCTTTTATAATTATTTAATAGTATAAATATTAATTAATTAATATAATAATTATTATTATTATATTAATTTATCGTTTATAATTCCTTTTTGTAATCTAATACAAAAATTAGGTAAATATAAATTGTAAGTTAAAAAAAAAGAAAAAAAAAACTAACTCCACGTTCAAATCTAAAGATTTGGCTGTAAAATAATTTCAGAAACGAAATTCTTCTCTGAAGACGACGACGTCATCAACGACGTCGTCATCGTCATCAAAAATTCCCGAGAATATTTCTTCACATAGAACAAATTCATGTGTTCGCACTGCAAATCCATCATTGCGACGTCATGCCTATGGAAATGTTGGCAAATGGAAATATTATAAAAGATTGAGTTTTTCACGAATTCTTCGATTTATTCGCGAAAGTTATCCCTGATAATAAATTCAATATTTTCTCCTGCGAAGAAAATCAAAAAAAAAAAAAAATGAATTTTTATGTGATCAGTGCAATTAGATATAAGAAAGTAAGACAAAAAAAAAAATACTGAACGAGCTTATTAAAACGAATTATTTTCATGAATAATAATAATAATAACGATGATAAATATTAATTCACGGAAATTACAGGATAAAATCAAAGACTGATAGAGAAAGTTTATAATAATGCATTTTTAGGCGAAATGTGTAATTTATAATTCTATAGATGTCTTTTTTTTGGAACTTTTTAATTTGTAACAATTATAATAATGTTAATAATTAATAATAATATTAACAATAATAATAATAATAATAGTAATAATAATAATGCTTCCATTAGAAACGCGTGAATAAGCTCGGAAATTAATTTTTTTTTTTAATAATATTCATTTGATTGAATTTAATTAGCTAAAAATTTAATTAGCTAGAATTTAATTAGATTGCATTTAATTAGCTCGAATTTTTAAACTAGAATTTTCTAACTAGAATTTAATTAACTTGAATTAATTAACTAGAATGTTAATTAGCTTCAATTTACTTTTAGCCCAATTTTCATTTTTTTTTGTTTCTATTATTTAACAGAAATTTCATTTAATCGAATTAGAATTTTTATTTTAAACTATTTTATGAGAAATAATTATTTTTTTTAAACGAATTTAAAAATTTTTTTTCGAATTTAATACGATTTTCTTTTTATACGAATTTTTATACAACAAAATTTTGTAGCTACCGAATTTTTATTTTACAGTAACTTTTTTTTTACATTACTTTTTATTTACAAGAAATATTAAAAATTTATTTTAATTGGAATTTTTTAATTTAATAGAATTTTTATTCAATTGAATTTTTAAATGACAGAAATTCGAATTCACCGAATTTTTATTTTACAGTAACTTTTTTTTTTACATTACTTTTTATTTACAAGAAATTTAAAAATTTATTTTAATTGGAATTTTTTAATTTAATAGAATTTTTATTCAATCGAATTTTTAAAAAATGACAGAAATTCGAATTCACCGAATTTTTATTTGTCCGAAATTACAAAATTGTCCGAATAAAAATTTGGTAGCTAAAAATTTTGTTGTTTTAAAAATTCGTAAAATTTTATTTCGAAAATTTGTGAAATTTCGTGTAAAAAAATAATTATTTCTAGTAAAATTTCAATGAAATATTTTAGTTAATTAGGAAATGAAAAATTCGACTGAAAATAAAATTTGAGCTAATTAAATGCTAATAATTATAATTAAATTTTGACCTAATTAAAATTCTGTTAAATAAAATTTTTCTATAAAATGAAAAATTGTAACAAATTAATTTTTTTTAACAGCTTATTCAAACGTGTCTCTTTAATTAGATATATTTTTGCAAAAAATTTTCTGAAAAAAAACTGATTTTTTTTAGCTAAGCTCTTTGTGTTAGAAGTTAAAGAACAAAAAAAAAAAAAAAGGCTTGTAAATAATCGATGTGATATCTCTCATTGTGAGAGAAAATAATTAGTTTTCGATTTTTAGTTTTTATAATATAGCTATTTCCTATCAAATATTTTCTAATTCTTCTTTTTTTTTTTGCTTTTCACAAAAATAATTCCTCAATTTTTCTATTTTTGAAAAAATTTTATTTTCCAATTTATGAAAAAAATTCCTATTTTCGAAAAATCCCTATTATTTTTTATAAATTTTAAGAATATTGTTTTTCATGTCAGAAATCTAAGTTTTCTGTATTAAAAAATTTTTTTTTTGTTTCTAAAAATTAATTGCATTTTTTTGCTTTAAAAAAAAATTTTTTTCTATTGTTCTTTTTAATATTTCGAAATTTTCGATATATTCGAAATATTCGAAAATTTTAAAAATTTTCCGACAAAGTGTTTTCTTTTCTTTTTACATTCCGACATTATTTTTATTTTTTTTTTGGAGAAAATACGCTTTTTTTGCTACATTAAAAAAAGTAAAAATATTTTGAAAATATTCTGTTTGGTAAAGTAATTTTTTTTTTTTTTATTTTATGAAAAGTATTTTCGAAAATATTTCCTTTTTTTTTTATTTTTTTATAAATACGACTGTGGTAATGCGCTGTGTATATCGAAAACTATAATATTCAACGTGCCACTTATATATACAAAAATAATATTAAGATTACTTTTTAGGTTTCCTTTTTTTATAAAGAGCAATGTTTTTTAGTCTTCCAAACGTTTTATCATCACTTTTTTTTAATAAAATGTAAATTATAATAATTATAAAATAATAATTATAATTATAAATATAAAATATAAATATAATAATAAAATTGTGATCTGTTTATATATGTATAACAATTTTTAGAAATAAAAAACAAAAATTTATAGTATTTTTATTTTTAAGAAAATTTTTCTAAAAATAATAATTTTCTTTTTCGAATTTCGATTATTTATTAATTATTTATAATTTATTTATTATTAACCCTTTTTATATTTGAAATAAATAAATAATTTATTATTAGGTATTTATTTATTTAACAAATTAATTTTAATTAAATAATTTTTACTATAAAATTAATTTTAAATAAATAATTTTTATTATAAAATTAATTTTAATTAAATAATTTGTATTATAAAATTAATTTTAATTAAATAATTTTTATTAAAAAAAATTAATTTTTATTTGTTTTCTTATGAAGAGAATGATTAAATCATCGTTTTTCTTCCATTTATAAAACATTTTTTTTTAATTTAACACTTCCGGTTGAGATCGCGTGTGACTTAAAACGGTTTGATATTTATGTGTCATTTATAGTGGTGAGAGAAAATAAAAAAAGGGCCAAACTGTGTGTCACTAGAGTAGGTCTAGTTCTAAATTTTTCAATAATTATATATTCTTCCTACTTTAATTGGAAAAAAAATGAAAAAATTTTTTTTTGTAATTTCCAATTTTTTTTTTAAATACTTTGGAATTTTACTAAAATAGTGAAATTTTTTTTTTTTAAATATAAATTACAGAAAAGTAATTCAAAAAATATTTTTGGAAAAAATTATATTCAAATTTATTCGAATTATAATATTTATAAATAAATAGAAATCAAATAAAATAAAAATAAAAAAATATAAATAAATATAAATATAAATAAATAAAAAAAAATTATGAAACTAGTTTTAAAAAATACAAAAAAAAATATATTTTTCAATAATTTCGAAAAATTAAATTTCTTTTTGTGACAAAAAATGTAATTCACCTTTTTCTCACAGAAAAATAATTTTTATGAATCATTTTTCTCAAAGATCAATTTTTTTTTTTGTTATTATTATAATAACTATTTCAAAAAAAATTTATTTTAAATTTATTTTATTTAAAAAAAAAATTTAATTCCTATTCTTTTTTAGGTGCGACAAATTTATTTTATTTAAAAAAAAAAATTTAATTCCTCTTCTTTTTTAGGTGTGACAAATTTTTTTTTTTTTTCCCACAGAAAAATAATTTTTACAATCATTTTCCTTAAAGATCACTATTTTTCTTTTTTATTATTACTATAATGATTATTTTATTCCAAGTGATCAATTTTTTTTTTTCAGCGAATTTTTAAAGTATTTTTCAAATAAATTTAATTCCTATTTTTGAAATTGATACTTTATAATTTTTTTTATATATATATATTAACTTCCGTCTTGTTGGCAGGTTTTTTTTTTTTTTTTGACCCTCCCACTTGTTATTGGATTCTTTTTCTTTTTCAAGCCTTAATTGTAAGGTCGACGTCCTAGAAGTTGGAGACAAGACTTGAAGTCCTTACACGCATGGCCGTTTATTTCGCTGACAAAATTATATGGTTTGAAAATTATTTTTTTTTCTCTTTTTTTTTTTTTTTTTTAATGCTGGTCGAGCATAAAGACCGCTATCCTGTGCGATCCCCTTCGACGGATCCCAATAGTAATATAACATACAAAACTGGCACCCTGGCCTATTTATCATCACGTATAAGAACCGAGGTCAACGTTTCCATCAAAGCATTTCAATTCGAACATTTCAGCCAGATTAATTGAAAAATTTCATGATTTTTTCTCTCACTTTTTTTTTTTTTTTTAAAAAAACCAAAAGGCAAGTTCAAAATTTAAAAAAAAAAAACTAATTTTCAAAAATGAAAATTTGTTGCAATAAATTTTCTTTCTTTTTTTTTATAAAAATCGAAAATAAATATTCTTGAATAGAAAAATAAATAAAAATTAATTTTCTTTTTTTTTTTGTACAAATAAAAAATTGAAAACAAATTTTTTGTGTAAAAATAAAAATCGAAAACGTGTGTAAAAAAAAAAAAAATAATTCTGACCAAGTTTTTGGATAAAAAAAAGTAATTTAGAAAAAAATTTTTGTATACAAATAAAAATTTGAAAATAAATTTTTTTTTTGGCTAAAAAAAAGTAAGACAGAACAAATTTTCTTTTTTTTGGTATAAAAATAAAAATTGAAAAAATAAGTTGAGAAAAAATTCAATAACACAAATGTTTCGAAGTTTTTTGTTTTTTTTTTGTAACTTTGGAATTGAAATTTCTATTTTTTTTTCGAAAAATCAAAAAATTTCATTTTCCTAGTTTTGATAAAATTCTAAATATTGAAATATTTATTTTAAAGTTGAGAAAAAAAAAGTGTCCTTCAAACAGTGAATAAGAAGAAAATACGAAAAAAATTTCGCGAGTGTTTTTAATTTTTTTTTTTGAAGTTTTCTTTATAGTGATTGTGAATTAACGAAAATTTGAAAAGTGCTCAGTGTGTGGGTCTATTGGTGACAAAAGTTTTGAAACAAAAAAAAAAAAAAAAAAAAAAAAATCTGTTTTTATTTATTAAGTGGAAACGGAAGTTCTATTCGAAGGCTTTTATCGCGTCTGACTGGATATAAGCTTTTTTTCGCATTGAATTCACAGCTTTTATTTTTAACAATACAAAAGTAGATTAGGAAGCTTTTGATCAGTTTCACTTTCTTTTCGAAGGTTTATCTTAAATACAAAAGAAAAAAAAAATCGGAAACCAAAAAAAAAAAAAAAAAATGCAATAAAAAATACAAGAAAAAAATATTTTTACATAAAAATTTTGAAAATTAATTTTTGAAAAATTGAAAAAAAATTAGAAGAAAATAAAAATAAAAAAAAATGAAAATTAATTGTCATGAATTAAAATTACGGAAAAAATAAATTAAACAGAAATGAAAATTAAAAAATTAAAATTAACGGAATTATAAATTAATTAATTGAAATAAGTTAAAATTTTCGAAATTATAAATTAATTAATTGGAATAAATTAAAATTACCGAAATAATAAATTAATTAATTCGAATGAGGTAAATAAAATAATTAAAATTAACGGAATAATAAAAATAATTAATTATTTTGTAATAAATGAAATAAAAATTAATGTAGTAATAAATTAACTAATTGGAGTAAATAAAAAAAAATGTAAATAAAAAAATAAAAATAAAGGGAATAATAAATTAATTTAAATAAATTAAATAAAAATGAACGGATTAATAAATTAACTGAAATAAATATTAAATCAAAATTAATGGAATAATAAATTAAAAATTAAAATTAATGTAATAATAAATATAATAAATTAAAAATTACATTAATTCGAATCAATAAATGATTTCGATTAATTTTATTATAAAAAATATTTCTAATATTAAATTATTAATAAAATAATAATAAATTTTATTTTTAATTTTAATAAAATAATAATAAATTTTTTTTAAAATTTTAATAAAATAATAATAAATTTTTTTTTAAATTTTAATAAAATAATAATAAATTTTTTTTTGAATTTTAATAAAATAATAATAAAAAAAAAAAATAGTGTGAAATAAAAATAATTCACGAATTATTAAAATTCTGTTTCAGATGGTATCGAGAATTATTAATTTATTTCTTATTGTTTTAATATCAAATGTAAAATGTGAAAAAACGGGAAATTTGCCAAATTGGTCGGTGGGTTTAAAATTTTTAATGAAAAATTGCCCCCTTGTACCATGGAAGGATCCAGGTGAAAAGAATTTTTTAGAAACACTACAAATTTGTTTACAACGTCGTATTTTAATTGCCGTTAATGCATTCTTTGATGAAGATGTTATTTCAATTTTCGATGGAATTGACCTGGTTCGTCGCAATAAAACTTATTTCACCAATAGCGACGAGCTTAATAGGTAATTAAAATTAAATCATTATTATTATTATTATTATGAAAAGCAACTCGCGCTCACGATAACGAAGTGTCTTATATTTTTTTTTAAAAAAAGGGGTAAAAAATTTTTATATAAGTAACAAATTAAAATTAATTAATTAATTATTAATTACGAGATAAAAATATTTTTTTTTTTTCATTTTTGTCAAATAAAAATAATTTAAATTCCAATTTTTAATTTTTTGCATTTTTTTACTTATTTTATTATTATTATTATTATTATTATTATTATTATTATTATTATTATTATTATTATTGTTATTTTTATTATTTTTTTTTGTTATTATTATTATATTTTTTATTTCTTGAATTATAGAAATTTTTCTCTGTTTTTTTAAATCACTAATTGAATCGTGAAGAAAGGGAGACAAAAAATTATAGGTTATGTTTATGATAGTTTTTACCTTAATCTCTACGTTATCGACTGATGGTAAAGAAATTTTTTTGAAAGGAATGAAAATATAAAAAAAAAATTACCGACACAGAAATCTACCTTACCGATTCATGCTTAAACAGTTTTTTGAAAAACAAAAAAAAATACCTTGATCAATTTTTTTAATTATCTAAAATTAAAATCAGTTTTTGTTTTGAATGTAACGAAAATTGAAAAAAAATTAATAATTAAAAGTTAATAAATTAATAATTAAGTATTAAAAGTTGATTCTCTTTGTGTATATTTATAGTCTCGAAACTATCATAGACATAACCTATAATTTTTTATATTATATGTTCATATGTATATAATTATAATTTATAATAATTTGTATGCTTGTAATAATTTTATAATAATAATAATTATTATTGTTATAATAATAATAATAATAATAATAATAATAATAATAATAAATAATTTTTTTACAGTAATGAAATTAACACTGATCGAAAAAGCAGCGAATCAAGTTCATGGGAAAATTTGGCCGATCGCATATTTCGAAATCGTTTTTTGAAATTTGACATTGGACATTTAACGAATCTTGATAACGTTATGAATTATTCAAAATCAAATGATATTGTCGAAGGTTTGTAATATAAAATTTTATTGTTCACGTTCTTTTTCAAAAACTATTAGTGATGTTTAATTTTTTTTGTACTTTTCGCTTATTTATAATCTAAACTAAATGCCACAATTATTTGTTTTTGAAAATTGACTCAAAAATGTTAAGTTAGATTTCTAAATTACCGACAGATGTGTAGTTTTTTTTGTTGGTCGGTAAGTAGATTATCTATTTAAAAATTAATTGAATTCGCCTGAATCTTTTTACTCGGGGGGTTTTCGGAATCGCTGACAACGAATCTGGTATCAAATTTTCAAAATTCAAAATGACGGATCCAATATGACGGTCGAAAAAAATTTTTTAAATCCTTTCAATTTGTTTAAAATTTGTTACTCGGGGATTTTTGGATTCACTGATTACGAAATCTGATGTTAGTTTTTCAAAATTCAAAATAACGGAGCCGAAATTAATATATAAATTAGAAAAATTTCATTGTTCACATTCTTTCACAAAAACTATTAGAGATATTAAAATATGTTTTGTACTATTCGCTTATTTATGATCTAAAGTAAATGCCACAACTATTTGTTTTTGAAAAATTGACGAAAAATTTTTTAGTTAGATTTCTGTATTACCAACAGATGTGTAGTTTTTTTTGTTATTGTCGGTAAAGAAATTATTAAAAATTTATTAAATTCGCCTGAATTTTGTTACTCGGGGGTTTTCGGGGTCGCTGATTACGAATCTGGTATCAGATTTTGAAAATTAAAAATGGCGGATCCAATATGGCGGTCGAAAAAATTTAAAAATCGTTCCAATTTGCTTGAAACTTGTTACTCGGGGGTTTTCGGAATCGCTGACAACGAATCTGGTATCAAATTTTCAAAATTCAAAATGGCGGATCCAATATGGCGGTCGAAAATTTAAAAATCGTTCCAATTTGTTTACAATTTGTTACTCGGGGGTTTTCGGGTTTGCTGAGTCCGAATCCGATGTTAGTTTTTCAAAATTCAAAATGTCGGATCCAATATGGTGGTCGAAAATTTAAAAATCGTTCCAATTTGCTTGAAACTTGTTACTCGGGGGTTTTTGGGGTCGCTAATTACGAATCTGGTATCAGATTTTGAAAATTCAAAATGGCGGATCCAATATGGCGGTCGAAAAAATTTAAAAATCGTTCCAATTTGCTTGAAACTTGTTACTCGGGGGTTTTCGGGTTTGCTGAGTCCGAATCCGATGTTAGTTTTTCAAAATTCAAAATGTCGGATCCAATATGGTGGTCGAAAATTTAAAAATCGTTCCAATTTGCTTGAAACTTGTTACTCGGGGGTTTTTGGGGTCGCTGAGTCCGAATCCGATGTTAGTTTTTCAAAATTCAAAATGGCGGATCCAATATGGCGAACTTTTCTTCACAAAATTTACTTAAAACTCGTCACTCGGGGGTTTTTTGCGATCGCTGATTATGAATTTCGCCATAAATTATTTCTAATTAGTGATCCATGAAAAAATAAATGAATTTCAGAGGTAATTTTTTTTTTTTTTTTGTTTTTTTTTACAGGAAGAAGACGTCGACGGAAACAGGGAATGATGATGATGTTAATGATGGGTCTTCTTTTAATGGGTACAGTATTAATACCCATGGGTTTTCAATTTCTCGCCGTTTTAGGCGGTAAAGCATTGCTATTGGCAAAAATGGCATTAATGCTCTCAAGTATACAGGGTTTAAAGAGAGTTGCAACAAGTGGAGTGAATTATGGACTTTATCATTCACCAGATGCATGGCACGAGAGAAGTCATTTGGAACCTTCGCAACAAATTTATGAAATGCCTTATCAACAACAACAACAACCTTATCCACACATGAATGGACGTCATTAATGAAAATAAAAATTTATGACGAGAAAAAAAAATGAACTGAGTAATTATATATTTGTAAAAAAAGAGAGAGAGAGAGAGAAAATAATTTTTTTTTCAGTGCGAGGTTGTTTGAGAATTTTTTACAACTTTGTTTTTCCAAGTGTATATATATATATAACATATATACATAAATTGTAAAATATTATTCAACCAAAGACATTTATTTATGGAAGCAGTGCAAAAGTGAAGTTTTTGTATAAATTAATATTTATATAATTAATTAATTTATATAATAATTATAATTATATTGTAATTATAAAATAAAAATTATAAAATAATAATAATTATAATATGAATATTATAATTATATTATAATTATATTATAATTATAATTTACTAATTATATATTTAATATATATATAAAAAAAAGTTTGTAATATTATTTAAGTGTAATATTTATATTTTAGTTAAATAATAAGACTAATAATAATTTATTTATTATTTTTGACAAAATAGAATAAAATTTTGTTTTTTTTTTGAAAAGTGAAATTAATAATAAATTGTAATAATTATAATTTTTTGTAAAGAAATTTTTTTTTTGTCTTTGTTTTATAATGTCTTTTTTTGTCTCTGTTTTTTAAGGAAAAAAAATTAGATTTAAAAAACAATTTTTTTAGTGATATAAAAATATATGTGTAGAAACTTTTTCATATATAATATACAATGTTTCTTGTCGCGTTGAAAGATGCAAACATTCAAAATGAGAATGCTTCTTCTCTTAATATAATTTATCATCGTATTTTCTTAACACGATCTTATCTCAATGCGCAATGACGTTAAAATATACAAAACTGAAAAATTTTCCATTTCGAATAGAAAAACTAAAAAAGACAAAAAACAAAAAATTATCTAATCATTACTTTAGACGTTATTTTTTCATCCCCTAAGTTTTATATACTATATGTGATTCTGCAAAAAAAAAAAAAGAAGAGGATATTTTCATGTCACTTATCTAAACGTCTTATCATTGAATTATTTACTTCAAGAAAAAAAAAAATAATTTATTATTTAAAAAAAAATCGAATTTTTGGAAATTCGAATTATCAAAAAATGAAAAAATAAAAAAAAAATTTTTTAATCGGTTTTTTAGAAATTTGAATTATTAGAAAATAAAAAATTATAAAAATCGCATTTTTAGAAACTCGAATTTTCAAATGTTCAAATTATCAAAAAATTAAAGATTAAAAATTCCACATGTTCGAATTAGTAAAAAATCGAATTTTTAGAAAATTTTATTTTCATATATTCGAATAACGAAAAAACCGAATTTTTAGAAATTCCAATTATTAAAAGTTCGAATTATCAAAAGAGAAAATTGTAAAAAAATTTGAATTATTTAAAAATAAAATTTTTAAAATATATAAATTTAAAAAATTTGGTTTTTTTAAAAATTTGATTTTTTTGGAAAATAAAATTTTCAAAAGTTCGAATTATTAGGAAATCGAATTTTGAAAAGTTCGAATTGTCAGAAAATCAAATATTCAAACAAATCGAATTTTTAGAAATTTGAATTATTCAAAATTTAAGTTATCCAATAGAGAAAATTTATTAAATGTTCGAATTACCAAAAGATCGAATTTTTGGAAATTTGAATTTTCAAATATTCGAATTTCCAAAAAAAAAAAAACCGAATTTTTAGAAATTCCAATTATTAAAAGTTCGAATTGTCAAAAAATGTAAATTATATGTAAACAATTCAAATTATCATAAAATCAAATTTTCAAAGTAAATAATTTTATATAAAATTCGAATTATCAATAAGAAAAATTGTAAAAATTTCGAATTATCAAAAAATTCGAATAGTTAGAAATTCGAATTATTAAAAATGCGAATTATCAAAAGAGAGCATTGTTAAAAATTTGAATTAGCAAAAAAAAAAAAAACAAATTTTCAAATAAACATTCGAACTTTTAGAAATTCGATTTTTTTGTAATTCGAACTTTTTCCTTCCATTTTCTGATAATTCGAACTTTTAATTATTCAAATTTCCAAAAATTCGAACTTTTTGGTAAAAATTTGAATTATAAAAAAAAACAAATTTTCGAATAAACATTCGAACTTTTAGAAATTCGAACTTTTTCCTTACATTTTCTGATAATTCGACCTTTTAATTATTCAAATTTCCAAAAATTCGAACTTTTTGGTAAAAATTTGAATTATCAAAAAAAAAACAAATTTTCGAATAAACATTCGAACTTTTAGAAATTCGATTTTTTTGTAATTCGAACTTTTTCCTTCCATTTTCTGATAATTCGAACTTTTAATTATTCAAATTTCCAAAAATTCGAACTTTTTGATAATTGAAAAATTTACATTTATCTCAAGTGACAGGCTATATAAGTTTAATAGACTTTTGTTTGCAAAAAGAAGGAAGAAAAAAAAAATGAGAAATCGTACAATTTGTTAAGTGACGATAATATTCTTATTATGTGAAGGGTCAATTTGAAAAGTTGAGAAAAGAAATTACATTTATTTCTCCTGCGACGAGTTTATTAAAAAGTTGGATCATTGTCCTTGGATTATGGGAGTGAGAATTATTTTTTTTTCCATTTTATCATCTTTTTTTTTTTTTTTTTTTTTTTTTACAAACTTCAATGCCACTGACTATAATTGAATTGATTTAGTCGCGTTTAAAGTTTATCATAAGGGACGAAAAAGCAGGTGTTTCTCGGTTGGATTAAATGCAAAATTGCTTGGGGCGACGAGAGAGAGAGAAAAAGAAAAAAAAAAAAAGAGACAAGGACAAAAGAACAATCCATTTCCTTAAAATAATATTTTATTTCCAGAATTGTAGATTTTTGATTAAATTAATGTTTTTCTTTTATTTAAATCCATCGTATATGTAAGCAATGAGATAGAAAATTCGTAAGTGGAGGAGTAAATAAACAAAAGGGAAAAACTATAATTAATTTTCAAGTTTTTTGGGAAATATTTATTTTTTCAATTATGGAAATTGGAAATTTGTTTTTTTAATTTAAAACGATTAAATCTTTTCTTATATAAAAAGAAAAGAATTTCGATTTTTTTTAATATAAACAAATGTTTTAATTAAAAAAAAATTAAATTAAAATTTTTAATTAAAATTTTACTAAAAACTATAAAATAGAAATTTTTGGAAAATTTTTGTAATACATTTTTTTAAAATTATAATTAATTTTTATATTTATTATAAAATAATAAATAAATAATAAATTTTATAATAAAAAATAAGAATAAGAATTATAAAATACAAATTAAAAAATTAAAAATAAAGAAAAATTATAAAACACTTATTATAATTATAAATAAAAATTGATAATTACACAATAATTGTACTGTGAAGATAATTAATAAAAAATTTATTTATAAAAAAGAGGGGAATTTTTTTTTTTCAAAATGAATTTTTGAAAGAAAAACAAATATTTGAAATGTAATTAAAATTCCAAAAAAGTGACTTTACTTTTATATGTATGCATTTGCTACTGTTTTTTAGATAACACATAAATGACAAAATAACGCGTACAGCAAATCAAGTAGATGAATTTATTATAGTTCTGAAATACAAGATTAAAAAAAAAAAAAAAAAAAAAAAAAAAATACAAGACAAAATTACCCTACACAACAAATCAAGAAGATGAATTTATTAGTCCTCGTAATGAATATACATAGTTGAAAAAAAAAATATTCCCTACATTGTTAATAATATTTAACATTTAAAAAAAAAAAAAAATATTTTTTATTCAAAATTTAAATGAAATTTTTTTTTTATATATTTTATAATTATAAACTATATAATATAATTTACAATCATAATAATTATATAATTTTAATTATATATAATAAAATTTACAATTATAATAATTTTATAAATAATTAGTAAATTTATAATTAGAAATTTTAAATTTAAATTTTATTTGAATTATGTAATTACATTTTTTGCTCTAGTGTATTTAATTTTAATTAAGAAAAAAAATTGTTTTTTTCTTCTAAACAAATTTTTTTTTCAAAAAAAAAAACGTTCAAACTCAATTTAATAGGGGTTGCGATTTGATGGTCGCATAAAATTAGAAGATTAAAAGCCAAGCGCGCCTTCGATCACAAATTTTCCACAAAGGGGTTTGGAATAAATCGATTTTTACGATTGTTTGCATTTGATGTACCTATAATGTAACTTTGGAGGGATTTTTCTCTCGGACATTGAAATTGTACGAAAATAGACATTTAAATTTTTAATTAATTTTTTTAACCAATTTTATTATTATTATTATTATTATTACCATTTTATTTTTTTACCATTTTTTATTTATTTATTTAATAATTTTTTTTCTCTAACTATATTTATATTTTTTTTAATTTTCTATTATTATTATTATTATTACTATTACTATTATATTATTATTATATTACAGTAACATTTCAGTAATTTTTTTGAACATTTTTTTTTTTAAACGAAAAAACGTACCCAAGCAGGGAATCGAACCCCGAACCTTAGGCTCACCAGTCGAGAGTTCTAACCAACAAGCCAAACTTACTTCTCATATATTTTTTTTTAATTTGTGCTTCTATATGAACAATTCCAATAACAATCCCTGTAATATTACTGTAATTTTACGTGCTACTTGGAACGAAAGTAAAATTTTATAAAAAAAAATAATTCAAAAAAAAGAATATAAGTTTATGATGAACGAAAACGGATTTCCGCACCACCCGCTTGTGAATTTTTCTTGTAAATATTTTATCGAAGAAAACGTGTAAAAAATTCTATTTCATGAATATTTCACATGTATTTTGCGTATATTCTTTATACATATTTATACTTCTTGGGAAACTTTTATTGAATTTCTCAAGTTACTTTTTAAAAACCGTTTTTATTTTTTTTTTCAACTAAAAGGCAATTGAAAAAAAAAGTTGGAAAAGAAAGAACAAAAAGTGTATATATATATATATATATATAGAAGATGATGAAGAAAATAAAAAGAATGATAACAAATGGTAAAAATAAAAATGACAAAAGTGCATCCTCATTGAAAAAAAAAAAAAAAAAAAATGGGGAAGTACCTACGTAGACTGTGTGTTGCTGACGTAGTTTTGCCATCTACGTAAACAGTACCATTAAACAGCCGGAGGTAATATTCTTTGAAGACAGTATATAGTAATGATTTACAATTTTATGAACCCTTCTTATATGAGTTAAGTTTCTTGAGAGAATTGCGCGCACTCTAAACGACAAGCTGTCTAGCTTTTGCGAACACATTTTTCTATATATATATATATATATATATTTTTTTTTTGTTCTCTTATCAATTTTCATCCTGCATTAGTTATTTCATTAAATGTAAATTTTATTGTCTTAAAGTATTATTTAGTTTCATTTATTTTCACTGTACGAATTTAATAACAAAAATACATAATTTATCTTTCATTATTTTTGCAAATAATTTCTTACTAATTTTTTTATTTAATTGTACTTTTTTTCCCGATTTGTGCCTTTTTTTTGTTCTTTTAATATTAAATGTTTACAGATAAAAAATATCACAATATAGAAATATATTAATAATACTAAAACGGTTTTATTGCAAAATAAAAATATAAAAAATTACCAACATAGAAATCTACTTTACCGACTGATAGTAAAACAGTTTTTTTTGAAAAAAGAAAATATAAAAAATTACCGTCATAGGAATCTACCTTGCCGACTGATGGTAAAACAGATTTGAAAATTTCAATGCAATTTCAAAAAAAATTTCTTTACCATCAGTCGGTAAGGTAGATTTCTATGTCGGTAATTTTTTATATTTTTATTTTGCAAAAAAACCCGTTTTAGTATCAGTCGGTAAATTTTTATATTTATATTTTAAAAAATCTGTTTTACCATTAGTCGGTAAAGCAGATTTCTATATCCGTAATTTTTAATATTTTCATTTTTAAAAACATTTCTTTACCATCTGTTGGTAAGGTAGATTTCTATGTCGGTAATTTTTATATTTTTATTCTTTAAAAAAATCCTTTTTACTATCAGTCGGTAAAGTAGATTTTTATGTCGGTAATTTTTTATATTTATATTTTAAAAAATCTGTTTTACCATTAGTCGGTAAAGCAGATTTCTATATCTGTAATTTTTAATATTTTCATTTAAAAAATTTCATTACCATCAGTTGGTAAGGTAGCTTTCTATGTCGGTAATTTTTATATTTTCGTTTTAAAAAACACGTTTTACCATTAGTCGGTAAGGTAGATTTCTGCGTTGGTAATTTTTTATATATTCATTTCAAAGAAAATTTATTTATCAGCAGCCTGTAAAGTACATACCTGTGTCGGTAATTTTTAAATTTTTTATTTTTTAAAAAATTTCTTGACCATCAATTGGTAGGGTAGGTTTCTATGTCAATAATTTTTTATATTTATATTTTAAAAAATCCGTTTTACTATCAGTCGGTAAAGTAGATTTCTATGTCAATAATTTTTTATGTTTTTATTTTTAAAAAAATCTGATTTACCATCTGTCGGTAAAGTAGATTTCTATGTATATTTCTATGTTCTATACCTGTGTCGGTAACTTTTATATTTTTTATTTTTCAAAAAATTTCTTTACCATCAGTCGGTAAGGTAGGTTTCTGTGTCAATAATTATTTATATTTTCATTTTCCAAAAAAAATTCGATACCATCATTCGGTAACGTTTTATTACAAAAAATTAATTAAAATTAAATTAATCAATTAAATTATTATTTAAAAATAAATAAATAAAAAATTATTTAAAAATAAAGTGTAGAATGATTTTGTCGTTTATAAAAATATAATTTTTTATCATTATTTTTGTTATATTGTTAAAATTAATGTTAATCAAATTTTTTGGCTATATTTTTTTTAACTTGATGACTTGATTGATTGAAACAATTTTAATAATTGGTAACCCTGAAATCAATTGTAGATCAGGGTTGCCAATTGGGGGAATTCCCGAAGTCTATAAAATGACAACTTGAAAATATTTTTAGTTTGAATAACAAAAATAATAAAAGCAATAATTTTAACAAAAACAATAATAAAAATTATAATATTAAAAATAGCAATAATAATAATAATAATAATAATAATAATAATAATAATAATAATAATAGTAATAATAATGGTAAGATTAATAATTTTTTAGTTTGAAAAATAATAACAAAAACAACAATAAAAATAATAATTATTATAATTATAAAATAATGAAAATAATAATTATTGTTATAAAATAATAATAAAAATATTTTTATATGAAAATAAAAATGAAAATTTCCATTAATTTTACAATTAATTGGATTTTTTTTTTTTAAATTATTTTTACTATTTGTTAAAGAGTATTTGAAGTTATGACAAATAATAATTTCTTTATTTAATTTAATTTTCTGTATTATCATGGGGAAGTCTTGCGCTGAGAGGAGCAAAGCAATTTAAACATCAGCTATATCTTTTAAGGTTTACTATCAGTTGTAATTCTTTCGTCTTTGTATGTGTATTGTACAAATCGTATGTGAAGAGTGTTAAAAATGTGTATACACATTATATAGAAATGAAGTGCAGTTTACTATATCAGTCTCAAAAGTGTTTTCTTTCTTACCGGACATTTTTTTTTTTTAATTCAAGATTATTAAAAAAAAGTGTTTGAATTTTTTCAAAATGTTTTTAATTAAAAAATTTTTAATTTTATTTGTTTAAAAATTTTTAATTTAATTTAATTTTTATTTCATTTAAGTTTTGTTTAATTTAATTTTCAAAAAAAAATCCAAGTTTTAAATAATAAAAAAAGTTTTTATCCATTAAAGAATAGTTGGTGAAAAAAAATTCGTTATTTAAAAAAATAAATAGTGAAAAATTTGTTTTTTTATGTGCATAGAATTTTTTTTTTTATTTTGGAATATTGCGGGAAAAATTGTTTAATTTTTTTTTTTAATTCTCGTATCTAAAGAATGTCTTGGGACAAAAAAAAAAAATTTCGCATCTTTTCCAAATGATATTTTTTTTAGGTAAGGGAAAAGAATTTTTTTTTTTTTAGAAAATTTAATTAAGTTTATTTTTTTTTTTAATAAAATTTTATTTGTTTGAAAATTTAATTTTTTTTTATATTTGTTTTAAATATTTTTCAAGATGAATTGTTAATTAACAGAATGGTAATTAAATTCATGTCACTCAGCGCGTGTGTGGGAAAGGAATTAATTTATTTGCAAAGAAAAAAATAAATATAAACTCGTAAAATATTATATAAAATCAGAGAAAGAGAGAAATAAAATTTTACAAAAAAAACACGAAATGAGAGTTCTTGAAAGAAAAGAGATTTAATTTTCTTTTGATGCAAAATTCTATTTAAGCTTTTCTTAATTCCTGGTCTCTCTGTCGGTCTCCGTTAAAATTTAAATTCGAATTTAATTTATGTAATTCAAGATAGAAAAAAATATATATAAAATAACAAAAAAATAAATAAATAAAAAAAAATGAGTCTTGTCATCATATATAAAAAAATTTCTAAGAAATAAAAAATGACAAATAATTGAATTCAGTTAGGGAAACGAAAGTTTTAGTTGAATTTTTTAAACATTTCCTCCCTCTCTCTCTCTCTCTCTCTCTCTTAAAAATTTGAATTTCGGAATCATATATTTTCCGGAGACGAGTTATAAATGTCAGAAAAGACTTTGCCCGCAGGGAATTTAAACGCGAAGCATTTATTTATTATTCTACTCGTTTTTTTTTCTTCTTTTTTGAAACCAAAAACGTCTTTTAGTCAGTTTTCTAATTTTTTTTTTTTATTACTTTTTGTCCCAAACACTTCATTAAATTCAAAAATTAGTTTCAAAAATTTAATTAATTCAAATAATTATTTAATAATTGTTAATAATAATAATTTTTATTATTAATAATAATTATTGTTATTGTTAACAAAAAAAAAAGATTAGAAAATAAACATGAATTTTTTTGCCGTCTAAAAAAAAGAGAAAAATTCACAAATATCGAAATTACATTTTTTTGTCTCTCTCTCTTTCTATATATGGAAATGCAATTTTTGAAGCGAGAAGAAATAAATTTGATTATACAGAAGTTCTCTGCGTTTTTTTTTTTTTTATTTATTTCTTTTACGATTGTGATTTGAAGTCGATATATATATTGAAGTCATAAAAAATAGTGAGTGATGTTTCATGAAACAAAAAATAAATAAAAAAATCTTTTTCAAGCAGGAAGTACTCGAGTGTCTTGTGCTTTTTGAACAAGTAAACTTTCCGGTTAGAACGACACGACAACACAAAGGAGATATATACTTTCATTTTGTGTCTGTTGGGAACAACTTTGACAAGGAAAGCAACCAAGGAGGAAAATAAAAAACAAAAAAAAGAAAAAAAGTGGGGGGATAAAAAAAATAAAAGAAGAGTAAAAGGCGCGCAAATTTACTATACATACTCTCCTTCTTCTATATATTTATATACTAAGGATTTTAACGACAATATTTTCTTCACTGAGAGTTAAGAGCAACCAAGTTTCGTTTCTTCAGTCAGGTAGTTTTTTTTTTTTTTTTAAGTTAAAAAATTTCTTTTGATTTAATTATGAATTTTGAATTTTGAATTTTAGAGAAAAAATTTAATAATTTAATAAAATAATTTTTATAACAAAAATAAAAAAAATGTTGTAATCCTAATTAAATTTTTTAAAATTTTCAATTATTTTTTTTTTGCAGGAATTTTTTCATTTAAAGTGACAAATTTTGAGAAAGAGATTGATATGGCAATGATTTTCGGCTTAGCCATGAAACACTGGGACATTCTACTCACGTTTTGGAAAGATAGTCGGTGATATAATTTTTTTTTTTTTTTTTTTTAAATAAACAATTACATAAGCAATATATATTGTTTTAAGGAAAAAAAACGAAACAAAAGGAAAGGGAATCAACAAGCAACGATTTTACGATTCCTAATTTTTTTTTTTTTTTTTTTTTTATCATCTTGTCTCTCTTGTGAAGAAACGTGGGCGTCTCAATATACAAACGACAAATTTTTTTTTTCTTCTCAACTTTTCCGCTTTTCTCTCTCTCTCTCTCTTTCTCTTTCTCTCTGACGCAATTGCAGGATCAAGTATTTTTCAAAAAGAGTTCATCGTATTCTTTTTCCTTGCGCGCACAAAAATCTTATTGTCTTCGCATAATAATAATAAAAAAAAAAAGGTAAGAAACTTTATTTGGAATAAATTAAAAGAGTTTGCAAATTAAGATTTTTTTTTACTTTTTTGGAAAATTGAAAACATTTTTTTTTTCATTTACCGCTTTGTGTATTGTAAAATTATTAATAATTAATTAATATTAGTAGATATAATTAAATAAATAATTATAAGTAGTATAATAATAATTAAATAAATAATTATAAGTAGTATAATAATAATTATAAGTAGTATAATAATAATTATTATTATTAATAATAATACTAAAAATATTTATAAATTTACTATTAGTAAGCATATAATAATCTTTTACATTATATTAAGTAAAAAAAATTTTCAATAGCGACACTGATATCAACAAATTTATTTTCATTTATTTTCAAATAAATCAAAATTCTTGTTCTATGCTTTTAGAAAATTTTCACATATTTTTACCGTTTTAATTTGCTTTTGCAATTATAACCCTAAAAATTGGGTTATTTTACAATTTTTTTTCGAATTTTTAGATATATACCTATAAAATTACCCTTCTTTTGAAAATTTACTCAAAAAAAAAATTTTTTTAATTCCAAAATTTTTTTTTCAATTTTTTACCAATTTTTTAATGTTTTTTTTTGTTTTTTATTGTTGTTTTGCAAATTTTTGGTTAGGAACCTATAATATTGTACTCTAATTTTAAATGTCATTCAAATCAATTGTTTTTAACTTAAAAATTTTATTATTTCTTATTTCAAAGCTAAACATCTTCTATAATTATATTAAGTTAACAAATTTCCAATTCAATGATAATTTTCAATTTTCCCTCTCGTAATTAATCATTACTTTCTTTCTCAACATAAATAAAATTATATATATATAAGAAAAAAAATTGCCATTAAAAAAGTGAGGTTAGAAATTTACTTTCGAGAAAATTATTAAATTATTCCGCGAATATGAATTCAAAGGACAAGAATTTTTCTTCTTCTCGTAAGCGATTTTATTTTTAATGGGCTTTAGATATAATGATAAATTGTTTTTTTTTCTGAAAAAAAAGAAAATTAAACTTGTTCTATCTAATACATTCAGTGAGAAGGCCTAAGCAGAATAGATTCTTGAACGGGAACGCAATCGTAAACGGTAACCTAAGAATGAGTAAGAGAAGGATAGCAAATATCTTTATTCTTCTCTCACTCATTTCCACTAAAACTAAATTTTTTCCCCTAATTTTCACTAGAAAAATAAAAATAAATAAATAGAAAACGTAAAAATTCTTAACTCCAAACGCAAAACTAAAAATTTTTGACACTAATTATGCAAAAGTTATTTAAACTTAGAGAATAGTTTAATAAAATTTAATATAGTTCAATGTAATAAATATATAACAATAATAATAGACATTTTTTTGGAATTTCATTTATTTAAATATTAATTCTAGTTACAATTTATTTATAAAATTTATGAACTTAAGAACATATGGAATAGACATTGTATTAATAAAATAAACTTCACGAATAAACTGTACTAAACAGCAGTGCAGGGCTTGGCACGTAGAAGAGCATCCTTTCTTATAGAACTGTGTGTGTGACTAATTTTGATTGGCCCAGTCTGAACATTTGCTCAATCGCCATCAGTGTAACCAATTAAATTCACTTAAATAGTTTAAAACTTAGTGATCACACTTTTAATACTTCAGATACAATTTACGTAGAAAAAATTACATTTAGGTAAAAACACTTAAAAAAAACCAGTAAAGAAAAAAAAAGATACTAAATTTCCTACTAAAAATGTTACTAAAAATTTAGTGGGAAAACCACTAACTTGGCAACACTGAATTGCGTTTCCGTTCAAGAATCACTTCTTTGGGCCTAGAATCAACTCGACTATATAGTAATCTAATTCTCACACTCGCTACCAGGCGCGTTGTTCTCTCTCAACTGCTCTAGTCAAGCGACATTGAAAAAAAAAGTAATTTTAATTCAAAACAAATACTTTTTTTCAAAATAATTACTATTTTTTCTTTGCTTATGACAGTAAAATAATAATAATTATATTAAAAAAATATACTTAGTAATATGAAAATAATTAAAATTTGCTAATATAATAATTATAATTAGTAATTTATAATTATAATTAATGATATATTAATTATAATTAGCAATATAATAATTATAGAATAGAATTTTTATTTCTTTGACAATATACAAAATATTTGTTTCTTGTCCAGATACAGCCATAATAATAATGTGACGCTCCACGAGAGAAGGGACCTATTCCCGAAATAACATTAGGCTCAGTTTTCCGTGCACCGTACATGAAAACTAAGCCTAATATTATTTCGGAGATAGGTTCCTTCTCTCGTGGAGCGTCACATATTATAATAATTATAATTAGTAATATAAAAATTATGTTTAGTAATTAATAATTAATAATTATAATTATTAGTAATATAAAAATTATATTTAGTAATTAATAATTATAATTAGCAATATAATAATTATAGAATAGAATTTTTATTTCTTTGACAATACAAAATATTTGTTTCTTGTCCAGATAGAACCATAATATAATAATTATAATTAGTAATATAAAAATTATGTTTAGTAATTAATAATTATAATTATAGGCATTTTACCTTGTGACGTCAAAGCCTGGAGGGACAACAAACGAAAAAAACAATAAAGTCAAACAAGTGATTTTGAGGTTAAGTTTTTGAAGTTTTCAACGTTACCAACTGTAGATGGACTATAGTGAAATTATTTTTTGTCCCTCCAGGCTTCCAGCTGATCGGGCAGCCATATTTGAAAGTGAAATACCTAATTATAATTATTAGTAATATAAAAATTATATTTAGTAATTAATAATTATAATTAGCAATATAATAATTATATTTAGTAATTAATAAATATAATTAGTAATTAATAATTATAATTAGCAATTAATAATTATAATTAGTAATATAATAATAATTAGTATATTATTACTATAATAATAATAGTATTGCTGCCCATTATCAAAATGCGTGTGAGGATCGATATATATATATATATATATACACTATAAATGGTTATCAAATGACTGCATTTGACAACCACCATCCTGACCTCTTGTCACACGATACTAATGAAAATTGCAATTGACCACCGGGTGGTTTGGGCAACTCCTGTTTATGTCGAAACTCGCCTAAAACATAATCTCTCTCTCTCGCTCTCTCTCACCTCCTCCTCTACCTACCCTCATTTTCAGGACCGCATTAATACACACAACCAAATAGCAATCAAAAATAATTTTTATATGTTACACTTACGATGACGTCAATGTAATCGAGAAGTATTGACAATATAAATATAATTTTTGATCATTAATATTGACGCGAACCCTTATAGGAAGCGAGAAATTAAGAAGAATTGAAAATAGGTTCATTTTTTTTTGTATCAAAGAATACAGTCACAGAAAAACTATTATTAGCATTACAGAATTTAAATAAATATAATTAATAAATATTATTTAATAAAAAAAAAAAAATTACTGCTATCAGGACTCGAACCTTTTATTTTCGGCTTAGAAATCGGACACCATGTACGCGCAGCTATGCTATAGGTAGATGAATTTTAAAGATATATTTGAATTCCAAGGTTTTTATGGTGTCAAACGAGTTAGAAAATAAAATAAAAAATTTTTAAATACTTTTTTCAATTTTTTTTGTTTAAATAATTCACTTTCTGTTCCTATTTCACGAGAGTAAAACAAAAAAAGAAGAGAGAGACAAATATTTAAAGGAATAAAGGAGAAAAAAAAAGAAATTGACAGAAAGGTGGGTGGAAAAAATGAGATTAGGATTTTCGGAAATTAGGGGGGCGAATATTGGTGACTTTGTCAAATGCGTGGCATTCTATATATATATATATATGTATAGTATGCCGCCGGTTGATGGTTTCCGATTCTCCGGAATGCGCAGGCAATGGAGAGAATCGAGAGAGGTATAGAGAGAGTTGTGCAGAGTATAAGAGCCAACGACAAGCGTCGCGACGCCTCACTGAGCCTCTCTCCCTCCAAAGTTCTTCACCGTTGAACCACAAAAAAATTTTAAAAAAAATAAAAAAAAAAAATATATATATTTAAACTAAATTGTTTTCAATTTTCCAAAAAAAAAGAAATTTTTTCTCGCAATTTTTTTTCATATATATAATATATATATATATATATATACCTCATAATTGTAATTATATAAAACAATTTAAATTTATTGCAGATTTTTAAATAGAAAAAAAATTTTTTTTTTGAAAATGCATCGCGATCGGGTTAATTTTATCAATGCTTCTACCGGCTTCCGGTTATTCTTCCTATTGGCTGGATTTCTAACCGAGATCGACGCTTTCGTTGTGGCCCTACCGGATCCTGCCTATTATCATCAACAAGTAAGAAAAAAAAAAAAATTTCTTTCTTTTAATGTGGGAAATTAATTTTTTTAATTTTTGCAAATTTTCCAACGGTTTTGTATTTAAATTTTTTTTTTAAATTTGAATTAATTTTTTTTTTTTTTTTTCATTTCAAGAGATTATTTTTTACCGATATTTTTTTGCATTATTTTTTGTATGAAATTAAAAATATTTTTGTTTTTCTCTTTTAATTAATTTTATAATTTCTCTTTTAATAAATTTTTTAAATTTGCAAATAAAAAATATTTTTTTTCTCTTTTAATTGGGAAATAAATTTTTTTAAATTTGCAAATAAAAAATATTTTTCTTTCTCTCTTGCTGGGGGAAGAAATTTTTTTTTTATTTTGCAATTTTTTAACGGATTTGTATTAAAATTTTTTAAATTTGCAAATAAAAAATATTTTTTTTTCTCTTTTAATTGGGAAATAAATTTTTTTAAATTTGCAAATAAAAAATATTTTTCTTTCTCTCTTGCTGGGGGAAGAAATTTTTTTTTTATTTTGCAATTTTTTAACGGATTTGTATTAAAATTTTTTTTTGTTTAATTTCGAAAATAAAAAAAGAAATTAAAAATATATTTAACTTTTTTTTCTATGGGGAAGGAAATTTTTTTTAATTTTGCAAATTTTTCACGGATTTGTGTTAATTTTTTTTTATTTAAATTAGGCTGAATTTTTTTTATATAATGATAATAATAATAATAATAATAATAATAATAATAATAATAATAATAATCGGGCTAAATAAAAGAAAATTATTTTTTGACTTTTTTACCGGTATTTTTGAGTTTTTGAAAAACTTTTGTATAATTAATTTAGAAGTTAATTAATTTATTATTCAAATTTAAAAAAAATATTTTTGAAAATAGAAATTTTCTTCTTATATAATGTGATATTAAAATTTATTTTAAGTAAAAAGTAAATAAAAATAAAAAAAAATATAAATAAATAAAAATAAAAAAAAGAATTATTGACTCGTAATCCAATTTTTTAAATTTGAAAAAATAGTGATGTTTTATCGAATATATATATATATATATATATATAAATTCAATGAGTAGTTTGAAGAGGAAGGAAGGAAGTGAATTTAAAAAATAATAGCCATGCCACACTTCAGGGTAAAATGTTTGTGTTGATTCAATATAAAAAAAAAGGATAGTGTTGTCGATAAAACATATATTTTTATTCAATTAATTAAACATTTATTCTAAATTAATATTTATCTTTATCAAAATTTAATTTTTTTTTCCATTTATTTATTTTTAATTATTTCAAACAAGTTTTTTATTTATTCAAGAGAAAGAAAGAAATCGTTCCTAAACAGTACTGTTTAACTTTTCAAGAAAAAAAGAAAAACTATTTATGTTCAATTTTTTTTTTTTATTTATTTTTAATTTTATTTGCTTCTTCATATTCAATTTTAATTTTTCTTGTCGTTTATTTTTGAATTTAATTTTTAATTAATTATAATTAAATAAATAATTCAAATTATTTATAAATAATTCTAATAAATAATTCAAATTATTTATAAATAATTCTAATAAATAATTCAAATTAATTAAATAATTAATTCTAATTAATCGACAAATTCTAATTTAATATAATTTTAATTAATTAAATAATTCTAATCAATTGATTTTACTTTCAATTAATTAAATATACCTTTAAATTTTGTGCAAATAAAATACTTTTTCCTTTTTTATAATATTTAATTTTATGAAAAAATTCTCCAATTTCAATAATATGAATAAATTAATTGTATATATGTATATATAATAAGAACTTGAGAAATTACTTTGATATTTTATAAATTCATTATTAAAAAAAAAGTGTAGGAGGGAGGGGGAGGGGGGTGGTAAGAGGGGCGGTTATTCCGCAATGATTTTTAATTATCTAGTTCGTCCAATTAACGATATTCAGTTATATAAAAAGTAGCCTCCATATTATTATTATTAGTATTTTTTTTTTTTTTTTGAAAGGATTTTTCTCTTTTCTGTCTTCATCAATATTTTTTCATTTTCGTTCATGTAATTCTGCGACGAGATTGACTTGGTCAAATGGAAAAATTAATTAAAAATGGATTAGTACTTTTAAGCATCGATAATTAACAGAAGTTATATCTAAAAAGAAAAATGTCATTAAATTTCTCGCAACAGTTTATTTATAAATTTTATTTTTTTTAAATTTTTTCATAAAAACTACGAGGTTTAATTATTTAATAATTTTTTTATGTAATAAAATAGTAATAATTACCAAAATCATTATTAATTAATTAAAATAGAATTGTATTTTATTTATTGCTATATATTATAATTAATTATTTCAATAATTAGTAATAATAAACAATTTATATTTAATAATATAATTATTATTACAAAAATAAATTAACTAATTAATAAATAAATTAAATGTAGAGGATAAATTAAAAATTAGCACGGCAAGGGAATGTATTACTAAATCGTGGCTTTTTAATCTATAATAGGAAAGAAAACAAAAATATTATTTACCCGCACTAATTTAATGAAATTAAAATAAATATTACGTGATAATTTTTTTTTTTTAAAATGAATTCAATGACTATAAAAATTATAACGCGACAGCTACAAATTACCGCAAACTAAACTTATGTCAACCTAACCTATAAAAAATAGAATGTTAAAAAATTGCGTTTTTATATCTATATATGTTTGTATTGTTGCTTATGTATCTTTTTTCTTTGTACGGCAGTTTTGACCGTGGCCTTTTTTTTAATATTTGAGGTTATTCTTTTAAAATTAATATTTTTTTTTATATAGATATTTACCCTACACATTTGTATAGATAGATAAAACTTTATTTGTATTAATTTCTCTATTACAAGTAACTTCCAGTATAGCTTAAATCATTAATTAAGCCTTATTTATTCATTAATTATAAATTATCTAATTTTGAGCGAGTTAATCACATAATAAAATATACTATTTAATTATCCTATATATCATCGACTAACAATAGCGATTTCAATTGCGTCTACGTTCCTCGACGTTTATATATTATAAACATTCAATATATTTTTCTATAAATTTGCTTCTTTATTGGATTGTATATTGAACAATATAATAGAAAATAATTATTTACTTAGCAGTGATATTATCACATCTTTTATATTAAAAATTATTTTGATTTAGTATTAATTGAAAGATACGTATGATTTTTAATAAAACCAAGAAACCGCAACTGAATTTTCTGTCAACAAAGGCAAAGCCAGTAGTGAACACAGTGTTGCCAACTTGTGTCAAAATTTTACAAATGTCCCTATATAATGTATAGTAACTTTAGGAAAATTTAATAATACCAACATATTAATTTGAAAGTGTCCATAAACGGTACTATTCTATTCTATTTTAAATTTAAATCCAGTGGGACTCGAATGTACGACGTTTAACATTTCCAACGCGCCTTAACGACTGCGGCTAAGTCACATTATTATTATTATTATTATTATTATTACCTATTATTATTATTATTATTAATTATTATTATTATTATTATTATTATATAATACTATAATAATTATTATAATGAGTATTTATATAATATAATAATAATTAATATAATAATATAATATAAAAATATAATAATATAATAATTATAATAATAATAAAAAATAGAAAAATATGAATTGAAGTAAAAAATACGTTTTTTTTGACTTTTTAAGGGAAAAACAAGATTATTAGTGAATTATAGGAGAATAACATCTTTATAGTTATATATATATTATTAGGGAGAGAGAGTAAGAGAGAGGATGTAGAATGAAACCCTAATTGGTTGTTTATAGTATTGTGGATGATCCTGCGAACATATCATCCCAATTATCAATTGCAGTGGTTGTCAAATAAATACGAGTATATATGAACGTAATTTTCCAAATTCCCTTCTAAATTTCACTGCAATGGATACAATTTAGATGCCATATAATTTAATGAAAATCGAATATATATATATATATATATATATATATATATATATATATAATGAAGAAATGTTCTTTTTTCCTCTTTTCAAAAAAAAAAAAAAATTATTATTATTATTATTAACTATTTCAGGGGAATTTTTTTTTAAAAAAGAAAAATAATTTTAAAAAAATAATTAAAACAAAAAAATTTTGGAATAATTTAAAGATAATTTTTATTTTCATAATATATAATTTATTATTTATTTTTATTTATTATTTAATATAATTTATTTATTTATATTATAAATTTATATTATTCATAATTTATTATAAAAAAATTTCTTATTAGAAACTTTTGTTTAAATCAATAAATTTTATTTAATCTTTGTATAAAAACTAGAAAATTAAAAAAAAAATTTTTTAATTTGGTTAATTATAGAAATTCTGTTAAATAAAATTGAATTTAATTAAATAAAATTTATTACATAATAATTTGTTAAATAAATAAATAAAAATAATCATTAATGATAAAAATAATAATAATAATAATAATAATAATATTAATATTAATAATAATAATAATCGTTATTAAAAAAAAAATTCAACTACATAAATAAAAATTCGTCTCACAAAAATTTAGACAATATTCGCAAGTGTCAAAATATGAAAATTTCTATAAAAACTTATTTTTAATTTTTTTTTAATATTAGTTCGAAATTATAATTGTAAATTTATAAAACGCAGATGTTTATTATAATTTCAATAATAATTTTATTTTGAAAAATTTTTTTTCTTGAAAAATGAAAAAAAAATAATTTTGAAATGAGGAGCGAGTGGATTTTTTTTATTTTTATTTATTATCAATATAAATGTAAACGCGAAAAAGAATTAGAGAAAAAGAAAAAAAAATATATACAGTGTCATTGGTGAATGATATCGGATACTTGTAAATAGTAAGAAAGAAAAAAAAGGAACAAATTCTAGCACGGAAAGAGATTAAGAGGATCCGTTTTATCAAGAGGACTAATATCGTCTTCTCTCTGTGATTCTGTGTAATTTCCTGGTTCAGTATTCTCTTTCCGTTCCTTTTTTTTCTTGTTTTTTCTTTTTTTGCAAATCGCGTCATTTTTTCAATTTCACCATATCATTTAGATAATAATAATAAATCTTTTGGGAGGGAAACAAATTTTCAACAAAAAAAAAAAAAAAAAATTTTTTCTACAATTTTTTTAATAAGAAATTTTTCTTTTTTTTCGTATATAAAAAAAATGAATGCTTTTGTTATATAGAGAAATATCGTGAAAATTGCGTAAAAAAGAAAAATTCTAGATTGATTTCCATAAATATATATATATATTTATATGAAAGGAAAGTTTTTGTTATTAAATTGGAAAAAAATTGAATCTCGAAACGTATTGCGGAACAATAGAATAAAGAAGAGAAAATTAAAAAATGTATATGGAAGAGAAAGAGATTAATACTGTTATTTGGACTCGGTATTTAAAAAATATATATGCATTTTTAGTAATAATTTACGGGAAAAAAAATCTTATTTTTCCATTTTTGGTTACTTATTGTTTTTTCATTTCCTGATTTTTTTTTGTATTTTTTTCCGTTTTCTAATTTTATTTCTTCTTATTCGTTTTTTTTTTACTTTTCTTAATATTTATTATTTTATTTATTATTTATATTTATTATTTTATCAATTATTTAAATTATTAAGTTTTTATTATTTTATTAACTATTTATTTATTTATTTATTTTTTATTTACTATTTCCTTTATTATTTTTGTTATTATTTTATTTATTATTTTATTTATTATTTTAATACTTTTTTTTACTATTTTATTAATTATTTTACTTTTTTTATTTCATTTTTTATTACTTGTATTATTATTATTATTATTATTTTTTTTTTGATAACGATTTAAAATGAAAAAAAAATGGTTTTTATAAATAAAAATTTTGAAATAAAAAAAAGAAATGTAAAATTAAAAATCTTTTTTTCTTTTGTCTCTCTTTGAATAGAAAATTTACAAGGAACCACTAATAAGAAGACCCTATTTCAATCGAGAGGAAATAGAAGAAAAAAGCATGCAGAATGAACGTTTTGAAACAATACGACACGAAGTCACAGGTGTGTAATATTTAATTTTCTCAAATAAAAAAATTTTATTTACAAATCTTATCTAATTAAAAGAACAAAAAAGAAATAAAAAATTTTTTTTTTTTGGTTCAATTTTCAATATTTATTAAAACGATAACAAAAAAAAAATTATTCTTCACTATATTCACTGATAAGTAATATATAGTTTTTTTCCATTTCTATATTATATGTGATTAATAAATCAAATAAAAATTTATTATATTTATATTTGACAAATAAAAAAAAAATAACGAATTACTAAATAATAACAATATGATAATAATAATGTGTAATATATTTTAAATTATGTAAAATAAAATATATTACAGATGGAATTTTTTTTGCTTTTAAAATTTTACTGTATAAGTAGTAATAATAATAATAATAATAATAATTCCTTCTGGTTCTTAAAAATTACTAATTATAATAAAAATTATAATTAGTAATTTTTTATAATTTTTTTTTATAGTTAATTAATTTTAATTTTTATAATTATAATTAATAATTTTTATAATTATATAAAATTCTATTAATATAATTAAATTATTATAATTATTTTGTAAGCCGGTATACATTGTTAAATAAATAAATTATTTTTTTTTGTTTCCTATTATAATTAATAAAAAAAAATTGCTTTATTAAAATAAAGATTAAAAATAAAATTAAATAAAATAATTTTTATCGTTTATATTAAAATATAAAAGATAAAAATTATTTTTTAATATAGAAAAAAATTTGTGAAATGCAAATTTTTGATGTAAATTAAAAAAAAAAAAAAAAAAAAAACGTCAATCGTATATCAATATTTATATATGGGGCATTCTACGTGAAATGGATAATCTCGAATTAACAAATTTTTTTTTCGTTTGTCAATTATATTGCTTTAAAATTTTATTGAATCCCATTTTATTAAAAATCCATTAAATGATGGTAAAAATAGGTTAAAAATAAAAAATGGATTTTAAAATTTGTTTTTAAAATTTTTTTAAAATTAAAATTAATCTAATCATCAAAAATATTAATATTCTCAAACAACAGTAAAATTACACAAAATGCAACACACCTATTTTACCGTTTTATTTTAATGGATTTTTAATAAAAATTATTGTGTAATATTTAAAGAGAAAATTAATGAAAAAAGCAAATAAAGATCGGAATATGTTCATTTTACGTAGAATGACCACACACACACACACACACACACAAACACAAATAAAAAAAAGTGGAGACTTCAATTTTGTCAGAAATAAATTCCAAATTGAGGGGTGATGTTATAATATACAGTAAAAATAAAAGGATGGGAAACTAATTCAATTTCTGTGAATGACCAGGCACTCATTTGGATAATTTTATTCCACGAAAAAGGAAAAAAAAACCCCACCAGAAAATAAAGGAACTCTGATAACGGTTAATAAAAGAAAGAAGAAAAAAAAAAAACGTCTTTACTCTCTACAAGCCAATTCTCATTATTACAAATATAATCCTAAATCTCCCTTCACTCAAAGAATTTCCAAAAATATATACATTTCAATTTTTATTTATATTTTTAAAATTATTTAAATTATTTGATATATATTATTATTATTATTATTATTATTATTATTATTATTATAAATAATTATTAAATATTTAAATAAAAAATAAAAATATACAATAAACATTTATATAAAATTAAAGTAGCAATTTTTTCTTTATTTTAATAGATAAAGAAAGATTATTTTGTAAATGAAAAGATAAGTATCTAGATAAAAAGATAAGTATCTAGATAAAAAGATAATTATCTAGATGAAATGATAATTATCTAGATGAAATGATAATTATCTAAATGAAATGATAATTATCTAGATGAACTGATAATTATCTAGATGAAATGATAATTATCTAGATGAAATGATAATTATCTAGATAAAAAGATAAGTATCTAGATAAAAATGTAAACATGAAGAGGCAAAGATAAATATCTAGATTAAAAGATAAGTATCTAGATGAAAAGATAAATATCTAGATATCTATCAATCTACATTTTTAGAAAAATATCTGAATAAAAATATAATTTTCAAAATGAAAATAAAATTTTGTATATGAAAAGATAAATATCTAGATGAAAAGAAAAGTATCTAGATGAAAAGATAAATTATATTTATGAAAAGATAAGTATCTAGATGAAATAGTAAGAAGTTAGATAAAAATATAAATATGTAGATGTATAAAGATAAATATCTAGATAAAAAGATAAATATCTAGATGAAACGATAACTTTCCAGATTAAAGGATAACTTTTCAGATTTAGGGATATTTTTCTGGATAAATAGATAAATTTCTAAAGTAATTGATAATTTTCTAGATGAAATCATAATTTTTCAGATAAATAGATAAATTTCCAGATTTATATTGATTTTATTCTATATATATATATATATATATATATATATATATAATTAGATAAATTTCTAGATAAGTAGTTAATTTTCTAGATAAATAGATAATTTTCCAGATAAATAGAAAAATTACCAGATAAATGGATAACTCTTCAGATTTAGGGATATTTTTTACAGATAAATTCATATATTTCTAAAATAACTGATAATTTTCTAAATAAAAAGATAATTTTTTAGATAATCTCATAATTTTTCAGATAATTAGATAATTTTCCCGATAAATAGATAATTTTCTAGATGAATAGATAAATTTCTAAAGTAATTGATAATTTTCTAAATAAAAAGATAATTTTTCAGATAATCCCATAATTTTTCAGATAAATAGATAATTTTCCCGATAAATAGATAATTTTCTAGATGAATAGATAATTTTCTAAAGTAACTGATAATTTTCTAAATAAAAAGATAATTTTCTAGATAAATCGATAACTTTCCAGATAAATAGATAATTTTCCAAATAAATAGATAATTTTCTAAATGAATAGATAAATTTCCAGATATAAGGATAAATTTGCATATTTTTAAGTGATATTTTTCTACATATACAGGGTGATTTTTATGTTCCGGACCCCCAAAATATCTTGAAAGGAAATAGTTTTTGAGAAAAATGTTGTATACAAAAGTTGTCGGGTTGAAAAAAATCTATTAAATTGTATAATTAAAAAACGGGCCCAGGGCCTTATGTGGGCCCTACAAACAAAAAAGTAAATTTTTCAAATGGAACCAAGTATTTTCCAACTCAGATTCTTGTAGCCAGTGATTTCCTCTTTTCAGACATGTGGTAACTTATGGGCCCAAAGTTAAATTTGGGCCCAAAATTCGATTTTTTGTGATTTTAAAGGTGATTTTAGTGTAACTTAGTTCCAAGGGGTTTTCGGGGTCCCTGATTACGAATATGAAGTCAGTTTTTAAAAATTGTCAATAGCGGACCCAAAATGACTAATTAAAAATGAAAAAAATTAAGGGAAATTATTAAACTTCTTATTTTAGACTTATTTAGCCTTCTAATTGTTAATTAAATGTTACTTTTATTGCTTTTAAATTCGTATCATAAACCTTGGGGTAAAAAATTAGATTTTTACAAATTTTAAATTTAGAGGCTTATAAGGCCCAAAATTCGATTTTTTGTGATTTTAAAGGTAATTTTAGTGTCACTTAGTTCTAAGGGGTTTTTAGGGTCCCTGATTACGAATCTGAAATCAGTTTTAAAAAATTATTAATAACGAACCCAGAATGACTGATTAAATATGAAAAAAATGAAGGAAAATAATGAAACTTCTTATTTTAGACTTATTTAGCCTTCTAATTGTTAATTCAATTTTACTTTTATTGCTTTTAAATTAGTATCATAAACCTTGGGGTAAAAAATTAGATTTTTACAAATCTTAAATTTAGGGGCTTATAAGGCCCAAAATTCGATTTTTTGTGGTTTTAAAGGGGATTTTAGTGTGAATTAGTTCTAAGGGGTTCTTGGGTTCCCTGATTACGTTTTAAATTCATTTTAGTGTAACTTAGTTCCGATGGGTTTTCGGGCTTCTTGATTACGAATCTAAAATCAGTTTTTAAAAATTCAAAATAGCAGACCCAAAATGGCTGATTAAAAATAAAAAACATTAAGGAAAATTATGAAATTTATTATTTTAGACCTATTTAGCATTTTACTTGTTAACTTAATGTTACTTTTACACAGCTCTAAATTTACTATCCTTTGGGGGCAAAAAGGAAGATTGGTTTATTTTTCAAATTTAAATTTTGGGGGCTTATGGGTTCCAAAATTGGATCTTCTGTGGTTTTAAGAGTTATTTTAGTTTAAGGGAACTTTCTGATTTAGAATTGAAAAAAGACACGTTTTAAGTATTATGACGTGTGGAATAACCGGTACACTTAACCTGATCTTAAATTCAATTGATCTAAATTTTAATCTATTCACATTTTAAACTAACTAAATTTTAAGTTGTGTAAAAGTAATGTGCAATTATCAATCAGCAGGCTAAATAAGATTAAAATAAGAAGTTTCACAATTTTTCTTAAGTTTTTCATTTTTAATCAGTCTTTTTGGGTCCACTTTTTTGAATTTATAAAAACTGTTGTCCGATTTTTAATCAGGGACCAAAAAAACCCCTTGGAAATAAGTCACATAAAATAACTCTTAAAACTACTGAAAATCTAGTTTTGGGACTTATAAGCCCCTAAATATTAAAATTTGAAAAAATCTAATTTTTTACACCAAGGTTTATGATACCAAATTAAAAGCAATAAAAGTAACATATTGTATTGTAAAGTAAGAAATTTTATAATTTCCCTTAATTTTTTTCATATTTAATCAGTCATTCTGGGTTCGTTATTAATAATTTTTTAAAACTGATTTCAGATTCGTAATCAGGGACCCTAAAAACCCCTTGGAACTAAGTCACACTAAAATAACTTTTAAAACCAAAGAAAATCGAATTTTGGGCCTTATAAGCCTCTAAATTTAAAATTTGTAAAAATCTAATTTTTTACCCCAAGGTTTATGATACGAATTTAAAAGCAATAAAAGTAACATTTAATTAACAATTAGAAGGCTAAATAAGTCTAAAATAAGAAGTTTAATAATTTCCCTTAATTTTTTTCATTTTTAATTAGTCATTTTGGGTCCGCTATTGACAATTTTTAAAAACTGACTTCATATTCGTAATCAGGGACCCCGAAAACCCCTTGGAACTAAGTTACACTAAAATCACCTTTAAAATCACAAAAAATCGAATTTTGGGCCCAAATTTAACTTTGGGCCCACAAGTTACCACATGTCTGAAAAGAGGAAATCACTGGCTACAAGAATCTGAGTTGGAAAATACTTGGTTCCATTTGAAAAATTTACTTTTTTGTTTGTAGGGCCCACATAAGGCCCTGGGCCCGTTTTTTAATTATACAATTTAATAGATTTTTTTCAACCCGACAACTTTTGTATACAACATTTTTCTCAAAAACTATTTCCTTTCAAGATATTTTGGGGGTCCGGAACATAAAAATCACCCTGTATAAGTAGATGAATGTCTAGATAAGTTTTTAATTTTTTAGATAAAAAGATAACTACCCAGATAAATAGATAATTATCTAGATGAATAGATAAATTTCCAGATAAAAGGATATTTTTTCAGATTTATAGTGATATTGTTCTATACACATAAGTAGATAAATTTCTAGATAAGTAGCTAATTTTCTAGATAAAAAGATAACTTTTCAGATAAATACATAATTTTCCAGATAAAAAGATAACTTTTCAGATAAAAGGATATTTTTTCAGATTTATAGTGATATTGTTCTATACACATAAGTAGATAAATTTCTAGATAAGTAGCTAATTTTCTAGATAAAAAGATAACTTTTCAGATAAATACATAATTTTCCAGATAAAAAGATAACTTTTCAGATAAATAGATAGTTTTCCAGATAAAAAGATAACTTTTCAGATAAATACATAATTTTCCAGATAAAAAGATAAATTTTCAGATAAATAGATAATTTTCTAGATAAAAAGATAACTTTACAGATAAATAGATAACTTTCTAGATAAAAAAAGATAATTTTTTTTTCAAAATAAACACATAATTTTCTAGAAAAAAAAAAACCCAAAAAAATTTCTACATATATGACAATAATTTTCTAAATAAATAAAAATGTAACTGTCTACATAAAAAAAAAAGTTTTTTTTTTTTAGATAAAAAATGAGCTATTTATATATATCGAAAAGAAATTGGATAAAATTGAGTGCGGTGTGTTGATTGTTTTTTTTTTTATATCATGAAAAATGTGGAAAGGATACCTATATCTGTGATGGAATTATATGGTAAAGTGACATAAACGACAAGAGTCTGGGGAGTGAGAGAGAGAAGCACTTTAACAGATTATGCAGTGTACGCGACAACGCAACGTATAACACACACTGCAAAATGCAAGCTTTCAACCCTGTAAATTGAATTCATACTCCGGGATTACTCCCCTGAAAGCAAGATCTTCCTCTTATACTTGAATTGGAAAAATGGACAAACTTCAAATTTATGGAATTTATTATTTTTCAACAAAAAGGAGGGGGAAAAAAAAATTAAAAAATAAAGAAAGAGAAAAGGAAAAACTATTAAAATGATTCAGCATTATGTTGAAAAAGTATTTTTTTTCAATACGAAAAATTATAATGATAATATTTTTTTTTTTTTTTTTTAATTACGATATAATAGAAAAAAATAATATTATTATTATTTAATGGAATTTTTTATACTCGTACATTATAATAATAATAATTATTCACCGAATTTTAAATTTATCCAAAAATTACAAATTTTCCGAACAATCGACAGAAAGATTTCGGCGCAATTTTCAAAAAAATTGACCAATTGGAAATTATCAAGAAAATCGTGATTGGTCAATTTTTGAAAATTGCACCGAAATATTTTTCTCGATTGTTCGTTCGGTCAATTTGTAATTTCGGACAAACGAAAATTGGGCGTCTTAAAAATTCTTTTTTAAAAATCTTTTTTGTCGATTGTAATTTGGGACAAATGAAAATTCGGACAAATTTGAAATTCGGACAAATTTGAAATTTGGACAAATTTGAAATTCGGTGAATTGGAATTTGTGACATATAAAAATTCAAATCAAACGCGCAAAAAAAAACACTTCGCCTGGAACAGCGATAAGTTTCTCTGGAATAGCGATATATTTCTCTAGAATAGCGAAAACTTTCGCTGTTTTAGTGAAACATATCGCTATTCTAGATAAAGATTTTTTTTTTGCGTGGCATAAAAATTCGATTAAATTAGAGGGATTGATTCTTTTTCGATTTTGATTAAAATTAATTTTCTTTTTTTTTTTGAAGCGTATAAAATTTTTCATAATTAGTATATTTTTATTTTGAATGAGATGAAATTTTTTTTTTTTTTTTTTTTTTTTTTTAATACTAATTTGTCTAATGAAAGTAAAATATTTGCATATTATTTTTTTCATTTTGCAGACTGTATGTATGTAACGAGCGAGGCTGGTTTCTTTATTTATAATTCAACTTCAGATGACGAATCACCTTGTGGATTATATTTCATGGCAGAACCAGATCGTATAGTGGAAGTCATTTTCACACATTTTGATGTGCCATGTGAAGGCAATGGATTGGCGTCGGTTGGTATTATTAATTTTTTTTTTTTTAAATAAAATTTTATAATAAAATAACAATAGAAAAAAAAAAAAAAAAAAAAAATGAAAAATGTATAAAAAAAATAAAATAATACAAACAAACTAAAACAACGGTAAAAGAAATTAAAAAAAAAATTACATACATTTTAGATTATTATTATTATTATAATTTTGAAAAATTGAATTCGAAAATTGCTTTCCTTCAAAAAGTTTATCTCTCATGTTTGTTGTGTCTTTTAAAAAGCTATTAAAATGCAAATTAAAACCAAAGAGGCCAAGTAAAAGAAAGTTGAGTGTGTGTCAATAAATATTTTCTTATTTATTTACAAAAATTCAAGGATAAATAAAAAAATAAAAAAATAAAAAAATTTTGCTTATATTTCAATGTAAATTTTGATATAAATAAAAAAATCATTCACATATTTTCAAGTAAACAAAAAAAAAATAAATATATATAAAAATTTTGTTTAATACAAATAAATATTATATTCGGTGCAAATACGTTTTTTTTTTTTTTTTATTTCAAACAAATTTTTATTTTCTTTGATTTTCTTATTTGAAACAAATATTTTGATTTTAAACAAAATTTTTATTTTGAAATAAATAAATATTTAATTTAAACAAAAAAAAATTTATTTGTAATAAATAAATAATTATCTAAATAGAATTTTTTATTTTAAAACAAATAAATATTTTATTAAGCTCCAAAGAGACAATTTTACCCACTTGGAAAGATTTCCCAAAAAAGTGCCCCCTGGAGGTCCTATCAGAATTCCGCTGGAATTTCTAACGTAATTCCGTCGGAATTCCATCGGAATTCCAAAGAATTTCCGATGGGATTCCGATTAATTTTTTTTTCAAAATTTTTAGAGTCCTAATTCCGTCAGAATTCAACCGGAACTTCCAACGTAATTCCGTCGGAATTCCATCGGAGTTCCAAAGCATTTCCGATGGGATTCCTACGGAATTCCAACGGAATTAGGACTCTAAAAATTTTGAAAAAAAAAATTAATCGGAATTCCGTCGGAATCCCATCGGAAATTCTTTGGAATTCCTATGGAATTCCGACGGAATTACGTTGGAAGTTCCGGCGTAATTCTGACGGAATTAGGACTCTAAAAATTTTGAAAAAAAATTAATCGGAATTCCGTCGGAATCCCATCGGAAATTCTTTGGAATTCCTATGGAATTCCGACGGAATTACGTTGAAAGTTCCGGCGGAATTCTGACGGAATTAGGACTCCAAAAAAATTTTTAAAAAAATCAATCGGAATTCCGTCGGAACTCCGTCGGAATCCCATCGGAAATTCTTTGGAATTCCTATGGAATTCCGACGGAATTACGTTGAAAGTTCCGGCGGAATTCTGACGGAATTAGGACTCCAAAAAAATTTTTAAAAAAATCAATCGGAATTCCGTCGGAACTCCGTCGGAATCCCATCGGAAATTCTTTGGAACTCCGATGGAATTTCGACGGAATTACGTTGGAAGTTCCGGCGGAATTCTGATGGAATCCAATCGGAAATTCTTTGGAACTCCGATGGAATTCCGACGGAATTCCGTTGGAAGTTCCGGCGGAATTCTGATAGAACCTCCAGGGGCCAATTTTCCGGGGAATCTTTCCAAGTGGGTTTTCAATTTCTTTTTTGTAGGTAAAATTTTTTTTTTTTAATGTAATAAATATGTTTGAATTATTATTTAAAAAAAAATAATTTATGTTTACAAAAAAAAGAGGAAAAAATATAGGTTTAAAAAATAAAAAAAAAAAATTTTGTTTGCTTTTTTTTAAATAATAGTTTGTCGATGGTTGGGAATTGAATGGGGAATTCTTCCCAAGCCCAGGGGATCATCAATTGCCTTTAGAGCAGAGATTGAGTGAATTTTGTGGTCCGAGGGTAAACAAAATTTTCACAAGCTCACAGAATGCAGCCCTTATTCAGTACCGAATACCCATCAAAGGGAAGGGCTTTACTGTTTTCGTTAAACATCGCCTAAATCCTGCTCGTGAGTATATATAAATAAATTCTCCAATATATATATAAAATATAAATAAGTATTACTTTTTAACAGCAAAAATTTTAAATTTATATTTATCATAAAAAAAAAAATTTTTTAATTCTCTTATTTCCTTTTTTTTTGTTTTGCATAATTGCAAAAAATTGATATTAAATTTTTTCAAATAATAAATAATAATTAAAAAATAATAAAATAATAAAAATTTTATTATTTATTTTTTTTTTAATAATATAAATAATAATTAAAAATTTTATTTTTTTTAAATAATAAATAATAATTAAAAATAAAATAATAAAAAAATAAATTTTTTTTTTTTTTTTTATTAAAATATTATTTTATTTTTACAATTTTTCAGAAATTAAAACAAAAATTGCAACTTTTAAGTAGAAAAAACAGCGCTTGGTCAGACAAGACGAATTATTTATTTTAAAATAAAATAATGTGGAATGAGCAAGAAAAATTTTAATTTTTTTTTAAATAGTAAATTGTGTGATAATTAAATTAAAAAAAAAAAAATTTTCAATAAAAAGTAAAATAATTTTAATCTTTATAGAAATATATAATTATTGTGACAAGACTGAATCACTTTTTCAGTAGAAAAAAAAAGAGTTTGGTCAGACATACGATATCATTGATTCGCGTCAAGTGAAATGACAATTTTAATTTTTCACTGATATATAATTATCTCTCTCGAGAGTAAATTAAACAAATTATTATTCCAAATCAAAATGAATTTATATTGATAAAAAAATTTTTTTTTTTTTATTTAATTAAAATTATCGATTCTTTTCTTATCAGAAAAAAAATTTATTTATATTTGACTATAACTTTTTTTATAATTAATTATTTAATTATTATTATTATTATTATTACTATTGTTATTGTTATTATTTTTTTTATTATAACTATAATTATGAAAAATATGATTATTAACCAAAAAAAAAAAAAATTATTATTATTAATAATTAACAATAATTAATAATAATAATTATTATTATTTTTGGTAATATATTAAATGAATAAAAAAAAATTATTTTTAAATAAATAATTTTTAGCATTAATAGAAAAATATAGGAAGAAAAAAAAATAGTAATTTTCTTCCAAGAAAAAGGAAAAACCTTTTCCTCTAAAATTTATCAAAGATTTTGCATTCTATTTATAGAATTATCAACGTTTTCCTCACTAAAAGGTATAATTTTAGAGTCGCATGAATATTCCACAAAGTTGTATCTTGAGTGAGAAAGTTTTAATTGGCTCGTAACGTGGTTCATGTACTGATAAATAATAATTATATTTCTGAGCTTGAAACATATTCGCCTTAAATATAGAAGAGGGAAACTGAAGCCAACTAATATATCAATATAGAATATATATATATATATATATTGGATCGAGTCATTAAGTTTTACTATATATATTCGTGTTCTTGTTTCAGCTTGCAATGTGTTAGCGAATGAGACTAAGGCCCCATTTATGTTACACAATTATCGAAGACGAAGTAATTGTACCCTCACTGCACTTTATCCATGTGCCGTACGCCTGATTGCTTTTAACGTTGGCAAGAAGAATTTATTTACTGATACTAGTATCATGCAAAAGGTATTGTGACAATATTCATTTTTATATTCTTCAAATATAATTTTTTTTTACAGTAAATAATTTTTTTATTTTTCTTTTTTTTATTTTTTATGTGTGCCATTTTAGAAAATTTTGTTTTTTTTTAATTATATTTTGAAAAACAATTGTTTATTTATAAAGTACAACAATTAAAAAAAACAATTGTTTATACAAAACGAACAATAGTTAATAACAATTGTTTTTTCAAAACATACAATAACAACAATTGTTGTTTATTTGCAAAATACAATAGTGAAAAACAATTGTTTATTTAAGAAATACAAAAAAAATTATTTATTTAAACAATCCAACAATATAAAAAATTGTTTAATTGAAAAATACAATAGTGAAAAACAATTGTTTATTTAAAAAATACAAAAAAAAATTATTTATTTAAACAATCCAACAATATAAAAAATTGTTTAATTACAAAATACAAAAAAATTGTTTAATTGAAAAATACAATAGTGAAAAACAATTGTTTATTTAAGAAATACAACAAAAAAAATTATTTATTTATACAATACAACAATAAAAACAATTGTTTAATTAAAAACTACAACAAAACAAACAATTGTTTATTTGAAGAATACAATGAAAAACAATTGTTTATTTAAACAATATAACAAAAAAATAATTGTTTATTTAAACAATATAACAAAAAAAACAATTGTTTATTAAAACAATATAACAAAAAACAATTGTTTATTTAAACAATATAACCAAAAACATTTGTTTATTTAAACAATCCGCAACAAAAAGACAATTTTTCAATTACAAAATACCAAAAAAATATTATTTAATTGAAAATAGAAACAATTGTTTATTTAGCAAATACAACAAATAACGATTAATTATTTAAACAATACAACAATAAAAACAATTGTTTATTTATAAAGTAGAACCATTAAAAGAACAATTGTTTATACAAAACGAAAAATAGTTAATAACAATTGTTTATTCAAGACATACAATAACAACAATTGTTGTTTATTTGCAAAATACAAAAATGAAAAACAATTGTTTATTTAAACGATATAACAATAAAAAAACAATTATTTATTTAAACAATCCAACAATATAAACAATTGTTTAATTACAAAATACAAAAAAAAATTGTTTAATTGAAAAATACAAAAAAAATTGTTTAATTGAAAAATATAATAGTGAAAAACATTTGTGACCTGGACAGTTAAAAGGGACCTTTTGTCCGAAAAAATTAATTTTTTATTGATTGGTGATTCTGATAGAGAAAACTTTTTTCTATCAGAATCACCAATCAATAAAAAATTTATTTTTTTCGGACAAGAGGTCCCTTTTAACTGTCCAGGTCACATTTGCTTATTTAAGAAATACAACAAAAAATAATTATTTATTTATACAATACAACAATAAAAACAATTGTTTAATTAAATACTACAACAAAACAAACAATTGTTTATTTGAAGAATACAACAATGAAAAACAATTCTTTATTTACAATGTACAACAAAAACAAACTATTGTTCATTTAAACAATATAACAAAAAAAACAATTGTTTATTAAAACAATATAACAAAAAACAATTGTTTATTTAAACAATATAACAAAAAAAACCAATTGTTTATTTAAACAATCCGCAACAAAAAACAATTTTTTAATTACAAAATACCAAAAAAATATTATTTAATTGAAAATAAAAACAATTGTTTATTTAACAAATACAACAAATAACAATTATTTATTTAAACAATATAACAATAAAAACAATTGTTTATAATTAAACAATATAACAATAAAAACAATTGTTTATAATTAAAAATTACAACAATACAAACAATTGTTTAATTTAAAAAATACAACAATAAAAAATATTTGTTTATTTAAAAAGTATAGCAATAACAAACAATTGTTTATTTAAGATATACAACAAAACAAACAATTGTTTAATTATAAAATGCAGCAACAAAAAAACAACTGTTTATAAGAAAAATACAACAAAAGAAAACAATTGTTTATTAAAAAATTAAAAAAGTAAAAAACATTTGTTTTTTTGAAAAATACAATAATGAAAAACAATTGTTTATTTAAAAAATACTACTATAAAATTTTTTATTATTAAGAATTGTTTATTTCAAAAGTATAGCAATGAAAAACAATTGTTTATTTGAAAAATAGATACTATAAAATTTTATTAAAAAAAATTTTTGGAATGGCACACATATATATTTTTTTAAATAATTTTATAAATTATAATTAAAATATTCAATTTTAGAATTTTTTTGTATAAATCATTTTTTTCAAAGAACTAATTTATAATCATCTAAATAAATTCCCCTAAATATATGACACGCCTCTAAAAATAGGGATCTATAAAGCAAAAAATTATAGGTTATGTTTATGATTGTTTGATAATAATAATAATAATAATAATAATTTCACAATACAAATATTTCAGTTTCTATAACAACAAAACATAAAAACTATTTGTTATTTTCACAAAATAAATATAATAATAATAATAAAAATTAAAAAGAAACTTTCTTATGAAAGTAAAAACTATCATAAATATAACCTATAAACCTTTTTCGGGCCCCTTCTTTATAGCGCCATCATATGGGAAAAAATTTAATTTACTTATTTTTCTTTTTCAGTGTGAAAGCAATGATAAAATTCAAATTGGTGGAAGTAATTCTCTAGACACAAATAATTTAAAACCTCTTCATACAGTTTGTGGTAGAAATTTAAAACCAAGTAAGTTTTACACTATATTTTTCTAATTAATTATATCGAATTAAAATTTTTTTTATTACAAAATAACATTAATAATAAAAAAAATATTTAAAACAACATTTTTTTTGTTTAAATATTAAAAAAAAATATTTTTTTTTGTTTAAAAATTAAATTTAAAAAAAATATCAGCGAGAAGATTCGAAACCTTGACCTCGAGAACTATACAGTCGCCTAACTTATCCACTGTGCCAAAATTAATATTTACCAAAAAAAGGAAGGAAAAAAAAAATTTGTAAAATTTTCAAATTACATTTTCACAAAAACAAAAAGACCATAAATAAAACATTTATTAAAACATAAATATATTTAGATAAAAGAAATACCATTTTTTTTTGAAAAAAATATTTTTTTTTTTATAATAATAATAATCAGAAAAAAAAGGGAAAATGCAGAAAATAAATAAATTGTAAAACTATGGAAAATATAATTTGATTTTTTATCAGGTGGCGAGATACTAGTGGGATATGGAATAACGTCAGTGAGGTTAATATCTAGCGGACGTTATGATAACTTCGTGAAGGTAATGATCCGTAAAGCTGAGGAAAACGACATTCTCGATGTTAATCTTCCCTATGGTCTATGAAGTTTCGCGTTAAATGGTAAGACATTTGACTTCATCTTTTTTATAATAATAATAATAGGTAGAGACAAAAAAAAAAAAAATTGAAATTAAAAATAAAATTATATCACTTTTTCTTTTCTTAGATTTGATTAATAAAAAAAAAATATATAATTATTGCAGGGAATAAAAATAATAATAAATAAATTTTAATAATAATAATAATAATAATAATACAAAACTATTATTATCATTATTAATAATTATTATTAATATTTATTTATTTACAGTAATAAACTGGCTTATTATTATCATTATTACTATTATTATTATTATTATTATTATTATTATTATTAATATTAATTATTACTAATATTGTATTATTATTTACATTATTATTTTTATTACTTATAATATTTATTGAATAATAATTATAGTAGAAAAAAAGTATTAAAAAAGGGACTAAAGAAACAAAAAAATTTTAGGTTATGTTTATGATAGTTTTATTTACTATCATAAACATAACCTATTGGGATGTCCGCTAGGGGGCGTGGCTTAGCATTTTATCCTACGTTCAGTAGTACCATTTTTCACCACTATGTCTGAAAGTTACTCTGATTGGTTTAAACTGGACAAAAATTGACAAACATTCTACTTTCAAGGGTTAAAAATTTTTCCAACAGAGAGCGCTTCACAGTAACGGACATCCCAATAATTTTTGGTTTTTTAGGTCCGCTTTTTTTCAGAGTGCCAAAACATATTTTCAAGCATTTTTAATTTTTTTTTTTTTAATTTAATTTCAATTTTCTTTTAATTCATTTTAATTAAATTAATTTTTTAATTTTAGTATACAATAATAAATATTTTCAAAAAAAATTCTTTTTTTCAGACAAAATTTTTCAATGAATGTGAGAAGAATCATCCGACACATTGATTATTCGACGCGTGAAAAATTTTGAAAAAAAAAAATTACCAAAAAAAAAACACACACACAAAAAAAACAGGAAAATCGGGGAAAAAATCAAATGTTACCAAAAAAAAAAAAAACAAAAAACGTTATTTCCAAGAGCGCTCATTTTCAAATCCTTTTTTGGTAGCTATTAAAAAAAAAAAAATTGTATAATCTCGATTTTTTGTAAAAACAAAACAAAACAAAAATTCAAAATTATTACACTGAGAAGAAAAAAAAATCGACTCTCACACGTTGTATATTTTGTTATGTTTTAAAAAATTTTATGTATATCGACAAAAAAAGACAAAAAAAAAAAAAAAAAAAAAACATTCATCTCAAAAAATAAAAATGTAACGTAGCTCATCTTCGTATATATATATATATATATATGGAATAAGATCTTATTGCGAAAAAACAGTGGTAAAAAAAAAAATTTCACGAAATATATATATTAGGGGACAATATTTATTTCTAAATTTTTTTTTTTTTTTTTTAATTAATATTTTGAGAAAAAAAAAATGCAAGTTAAACTTAAATTATATAATTAAGTTATATTATTTATTTATTTAGTTTTAATTACTATATATATATAAATGTATATTATAAAAAAAAAATTTAATTTTTTTAAAAATTAAAAAAAAGATTCCCTCTTTTTCCTCACTTTTATTCTTGTCACTTACTCTCGCAAAGTTAGAAAAATTCCTTCTTTATCATATTATGTATTTATCGACAGAATCAAAGGATTCTGTTCTTGAAAAGTGGTGACGCGAAACGAGAAATACAAGAAAATTACCATTCGTTCAGTCGGTAAATAATTTTTCTTTTTTATTATAAAACAATTTTTAATTGATTTTTTATTTTTTAAAATAATTTTTTAATTAAAAAAATAAATAATTCTACTTTTAGTAACGGACAAAACTTTATCACACAAATAATAATAATAATAATAATAATAATAATAATAATAATAATAATAATAATAATAATATAACTCGAAATAATAATTATAATAGTAATTATAATAATAATTATTTATTTTTATTATTAACATAAAATTATAAAAATAATTTCAGTTTATTATTATTTTACCTCTTTTCCTGTTTTTTTTTTAAATAAAAAGAAATAAAAAAATAATAAAAATAACTAAAAAAAGAAAATAAAATAATAATAATAATATTTTCTGTTTTGGAAAATTTAATTTTCTTAATTAAAAAATAAAAAGGAATGAAATGCAAATATTTGTACAAAATTACAAATATTTGTTTTCCAATTTTTTAAAAATTTTTTTTGAAAGAGAAAATGAGGAAAAACAAAAACTGGACAAAAATAGAAGAAGAAAGAAGAGCAATTATAAACGGCATTCCAGAAAGCAAAGAATGGAAAACAAGAAAACTTTTCTAACTGCATATTTATATAATCTTCATCCTATTCATAAAAATCTACGCCAAAAAATATAACGAAACTTTTTTAGTGCTAGAAACAAATTTAAAATTTGTTTGCTATTTCAACGGAATTTCATTCTTCATTATTGAGGAAAAAAATAATCGTATAAGAAATTTAATATTTAAATTAATTAAATTTTAAATTTAAAAAAAAGACTTTTATTGACTAAACAATTTAATAAAAAAAAAAAAAAAAAATATCGTCTAAATAAATAAATTTAGACAATTTAAAATCAGAAAAAGGTTTACTTAACCCTGAATGTATTTTTTATAAATGACAAGCAAGATCAATAAAATTGATTCACCCTATATAGTATTTCATAATAAATTTATTCCAAATATTTTTTTTTTCATAATTAAAAAATTTTTTTTTTTTTTGGAAAATTAAAGTTGAAATTAAAGTAAAAAATATTATTAACTTAATATTAAAAATATTATAATTAATTATTAATAATAAAAACAATGATAATAATAATAATAAATAATTAATAAAAAAAAATATTTAGGTATAATTATACATTTTTTGTTCAGAACTTTCTTCTAATCTCTATGGCGGTATTCCCGAACGAATATCTAGCGAATTTAATTTTTCGAAAATTTTTCCAAAATCTTTTTGAGTGTAGCTCAGCATCCGCTGGACCAATCTAAAAGTGCGCCATACATTTTTTGTTCGAAACTTTTTCCCTATTTTATTGGCGGTATTCCGGGACGATTATTTTGCAAATTTAATTTTTCTAAATTTTTTCCAAATTTGTTTTCTAGTGTAGCTCAGCATCCGCTGGACCAATCAAAAAGTGCGACATACATTTTTTGTTCGGAACTTTTTGACTATTTTTTTGGCGGTATTCCGAAACGATTATCTCACAAATTTAATTTTTCTAAATTTTTTCCAAATTTGTGTTCTAGTGTAGCTCAGCATCCGCTGGACCAATAAAAAAGTGCGCCATACATTTTTTGTGCGCTACTTTTTGCTAAAGACTTTGGCGGTATTCCCGATCAATTAACTCCCAAATTTAATTTTTCGAAATTTTTTAAAAAATTTATCTGTGTGTAGCTCAGCATCCGCTGGACCAATCAAAAAGTGCGCCATACATTTTTTGTTCAAGACTCCCAGGTTAAGACTTTGGCGGTATTCCCGAACGATTATCTCGCAAATTAAAGTTTTCAAAATTTTTTAAAAAATTTATCTGAGTGTAGCTCAGCATCCGCTGGACCAATCAAAAAGTGCGCCATACATTTTTTGTTCGAGACTCCCGGGTTAAGACTTTGGCGGTATTCCCGATCAATTATCTCGCAAATTTAATTTTTCGTAATTTTATAAAAAAAATTTATCAGAGTGTAGCTCAGCATCCGCTGGACCAATCAAAAAGTGCCCAATACATTTTTTGTTCAGAACTTTCTTCTAATCACTATGGCGGTATTCCCGATCAATTATCTCGCAAATTTATTTTTTCGAAATTTTTTAAAAAATTTATCTGAGTGTGGCTCAGCATCCGCTGGACCAATCAATAAGTGCGCCATACATTTTATGTTCGAGACTCCCGGGTTAAGACTTTGGCGGTATTCCCGATCAATTATCTCCCAAATTTAATTTTTCGAAATTTTTTAAAAAATTTATCTGAGTGTAGCTCAGCATCCGCTGGACCAATCAAAAAGTGCGCCATACATTTTTTGTTCGAGACTCCCGGGTTAAGACTTTGGCGGTATTCCCGATCAATTATCTCGCAAATTTAATTTTTCGTAATTTTATAAAAAAATTTATCAGAGTGTAGCTCAGCATCCGCTGGACCAATAAAAAAGTGCGCCATACATTTTGGTGCGCTACTTTTTGCTAAAGACTTTGGCGGTATTCCCGATCAATTAACTCCCAAATTTAATTTTTCGAAATTTTTTAAAAAATTTATCTGTGTGTAGCTCAGCATCCGCTGGACCAATCAAAAAGTGCGCCATACATTTTTTGTTCGAGACTCCCGGGTTAAGACTTTGGCGGTATTCCCGATCAATTATCTCGAAAATTTAATTTTTCAAAATTTTTTTAAAAATTTATCTGAGTGTGGCTCAGCATCCGCTGGACCAATCAAAAAGTGCGCCATACATTTTTTGTTCGAGACTCCCGGGTTAAGACTTTGGCGGTGTTCCCGATCAATTATCTCGCAAATTTAATTTTTCGTAATTTTATAAAAAAAATTTATCAGAGTGTAGCTCAGCATCCGCTGGACCAATCAAAAAGTGCCCAATACATTTTTTGTTCAGAACTTTCTTCTAATCACTATGGCGGTATTCCCGAACGATTATCTCGAAAATTTAATTTTTCAAAATTTTTTAAAAAATTTATCTGAGTGTGGCTCAGCATCCGCTGGACCAATCAAAAAGTGCGCCATACATTTTTTGTTCGAGACTCCCGGGTTAAGACTTTGGCGGTATTCCCGATCAATTATCTCGCAAATTTAATTTTTCGTAATTTTATAAAAAAATTTATCAGAGTGTAGCTCAGCATCCGCTGGACCAATAAAAAAGTGCGCCATACATTTTGGTGCGCTACTTTTTGCTAAAGACTTTGGCGGTATTCCCGATCAATTAACTCCCAAATTTAATTTTTGAAATTTTTTAAAAAATTTATCTGTGTGTAGCTCAGCATCCGCTGGA